TTAATTTCAGAACTAATCGTAAGTACCATAAAAGCCAAAGTAAATTTATCTGTAACACTACCACGCCCAATTCACTTTCTTCAGTTATGGAAATGTCGAATTTATTGACATCAAAACCTTACAATAACACAAGAAAAATCCCATGAAAGTCTAGTTCGTATAATAAATAAGACGTTGACCCTTGTCTCTTGACGATTCACACCCGACTTGACGTTATCAGTTATACATCGCCGCCCAAAAATACGAAACTCATGTCAAAATAATGTTATTAGAAAAGTTCTTGAAACTCAATCCTTGGAGAGTATAGCTGCCTGGAATATTGTACGCGGGAGATTATTTTATTACAGAAAGAGAGAGACGCATATAACGAGGTTTTTGTTATAGCTAGGTATAAAAACAAAAAAGATTTTTTTCGTCTTTTAATTCTAATTCAAAAAAATATTATTATTAGTTAGTATTAGTCGCAAGGAAGCCGATGAACAAGAGGTCTCGTTAAAGGAAAAACTAACTGGAAGACTTTTCGATTTTTTATACTTTTTCAATATTTTTTATGGGATAATCCGGTAAACGAGCAGACGGATCACCTGATGGTAAGCAATCAGCGTCGCCCATGGACACCTGGAACGCCAGAGGCGTGTGTACAAGTGCGTTACTGGCCTTTTGGGGATTTCGGGGATTAGGAGTATAACGAGTTCAGCTTGTGATCTAGAAATGTGATTCATATATAGTAATAGGTTCCTCATTGTTAGCCCTCATGAGCCCCATGTTATAAGCACGGTTATGGACGAACCTATCAGTTATGTTACGAAACACAACTAAAGAAAGTATGTGTTACATTCTACTTCTAATTAACTCTTGTGGGTTTAAAAAGAATTATTAAAATATTATCTTTGTTATATATCGTCATACTTGCGACTAATAGACCACCTCGTCAGTTGTTATACCTATACTTTGAAACAGTTGTATTATCAAAAATTATATTAATTATACTGAAACCAGAGATCAAACAATCCATAATTAAATTAAAATTGCACCTTATTAAAATGAAACGAAAGTCTATAATAGCTCTGTCAATGTAAATGGCCTTCAAAATGATAATTGCTACATAATTTTATCACGGTAAATGGCTACACAAACAGTCAAACTTCAATATTATGTTTATATAAGATTAATATTATTAAATTTTATGCTCGTTTATTTATTATTAACATTGTGTGTTTTATACATGACGACAACGATGACACGATGCGTTTCAAAAATGTACCATACACCTCAACTAATAAGTTTTGTTACTGCAAGTGCAATTACCATGCAAGAATATTTCTAACGGCCAGTTTCAATTACCTATCTATCTGTAGATTTGCGTACTGGAGATAGAATTTTGACACATTATGTATGGAGCTTATGTCAAAATTATATCTCTAGTAAACAAATCTGCAGATAGATCTATATAAAAGAAAGTCGTGTTAGTTACACTATTTATAACTCAAAAACGGCTTAATCGATTTGGATGAAAATTGGTGGGGAGGTAGATTAGAACCAGGAGACGGACATAGGATACTTTTTGTATATTTTTTTAATTTTTATCTAATATCACGGACGGGGACGGGAAAAAACGAAATTGCGCGTACGAAGTCGCGAGCAGAAGCTAGTAGGTTATAAAAAATGGCCATAAGCGAATACTTATTATAATTCAAAGATTTTTGTAATTAGATTCGTAATTTTCAGTTATAGTCTTTTCATAGATGACAAAGTAATCAAATTGCATGACTATATCAAAATGTTAAGTACAAAAGATAGAAAAAATAATTTTGGGTTAGCAACATAGAATATCGTGATCGTGTCGCAGTCGTATCGTCAAGTATAAACACGATGATGTAACAACGATGTTAATTAAGTATTTCCGTCGATCCCTTTCAATCAGATACGGAATTAATAATACGTATGTTTTGAGGTAATTTTGTATCTAATATCTAATAACAGTAATAACTAAATTCCTCGGTACTGATCACCCACGCAATATGGCTGCTTCATTGGTCGAAATGTGTATGTTCGCGGAATGGGGCTATCGTATTTTACCTCAGCAGATGGCGCTAGTGTGGATCTCTTTTTAAACTTACACAGGAGAAAGTACATGTGTGGGGCAAACTTGTTATTTCTCTTGTGTCGTGGGTGCGTTTACAAATATACAAGTTCACATACACAATGACACCCAGTCCGACACAGAAACGAACCCGCCCCCGTTGCGCGGCAGCTAGTTGGCCAGCCACCGCGCCAACTGTGCAATCAAATTAAGTAAAACATGTTTGCGATTGTAACTATGTAGGTGTATGTATACGTCATCCAAATTAACACCGTAATACACACTAAATTATGAAACAAATTGGCTCATAAAACTTCAACGGCGTACCAAAAGTCGGAAAGAGTTAGTGAATTTTCCACAAAACAACAATACAACAAAATATACAATGCCTGTCGTCCCAACACTAATTTACAGAGACCGCATTGCATCCGATAATGATTTTCCACTGAGAACACTAATGGTAATGGTTATTTTACTTACTCATTAAGTCGTACTTTACATTAATTAATTACAACACTATTTTGTATTTGTTTTGTTGGTTATTTGCTCCATAAATTACACATTTTTGCCGCTTCATTTAATTGTTGAGAGGGTTGCAGATTGCCTTTTGCATGCGCTTATATAAAAAATTGTTCTTTAAAAATAGCATTACTTATTTAAATATAATACTGTTTAGCTTTTATACCTATAAGCACCCTTTGCTTTTAATAATATGCCTAATAACTATTTTCTGTTTTTTTACACTTCTAGGTTTTTAATTTCCCAACAATACAACTTGACGCTGTCAATAATACGTCAGGCGCTAGTATGTTTATTTATTCTTCGGGTTACTGGGGTTCCGACTCGAAGTGCATGAGTAGGAACGGGGTAATTTTTAGTCAGTAAGAGTCTGACACTCCCTCCCGCCTCACCCAGGCGAAAAAATTCTTAAATATATTTGTATTGGAGCGAATGATAAAAACTTAAATTATTGAAGACAGAATTAGTATTTGATAGCACACTTCCTAGAGCCGTTTTGAAACCCGAATAAAAACTCGCACAGTTACATTCCCTAGACAGAAATGAAACATCCTATACAGAGTGTTTCTTTTCCACCCGAACAACCCGGTGTACATCTCTCGCCTAGCCTACACCACCACGGAGGAGGACATCGCGGAGTACGTGTTCCAACAGATCAGATGTAGGGTGAAAGTGCAGTTGCTAGAGTTGACCCGCAACGTCAATTTCAAGGCGTATGTGGTGAGAATACCATCATGTTTTTTCATCTTGTTTTGAAAGAGGACTTCTGGCCACAGTGAGTGGTGTTCCGTCGCTTCTGCGGACAAGTGCCACACGAGCGCACGGTTACCTCGTGCATAATGAAGTGCTACTAACATAGACCTATGTTTATTTACTAACATCAATTGTAGATTAAAATATTTATGTTAGTATGTAAGGTGTATCTATGGGCCATAGTTCCCTGAAAATAAAGTTTAAATAAATAATTAAAAAATAAATTCGCATTATTGCTGTTGCATGCATATTTTTTTTTATTTAAGTAAAATGTCTTTAATCCATTCTACTAGGTGCAATATGTTTTTGGAGATTAATATGCAAATGATACCATCAGATTATTGGCACCAGGCCCGATCAATATACGTTTGACCAATATAGCAAAATTCTTAAACGGTTATCGATCGACGAGAGCCTCCATATTACTTGCAGTATCAACTGACAAGTCGACGACTTTTATGGGCCTCTAATCTTTTAAGAGTCGGGTTCAACAATGGCCAATGTGTGTGGCCAAACGTTTGTGCCCAATTTGTTATCGTTTTACAAACCATTTGTTACTGTGTGGGGTTTTTCATTCTATTGTTGTTAAGGATCTTGTAAGTCTTGTAGTCGTGTACTGTAGAATTTCGTAGCAAGTGCGTAGACGAATCGTAGCACTCCGTAGCGTAGTCGTTGTAGAGATACCCCGTCTTGTCGTATATTGGATAGCCATGTTTACTAAGCCATGGTGACTCCTATAATCCAGGATTTACAGTCGATACTAAGTACAAAAATACCGAAATAAAAAACTGGCATGGATCCGAAATAAATCAAAACATATCATTAAAACAGAATATGTATTTCCGTAATGTTCAACTTTATAAGTGTACACAAATAAACAACGCATGCTGGTTCTTATAAACCACAAATGAAATCTAAAAGTTGTTGCTAAACCCATCAAGAAACTGCCACAATGAGTTTATCGCGAAGGACCTAAGTTATACAAAATAACAAATTTAATTATACAAGAAAATAGAAAAGAAACTTTGTAAGTGAAAAAGTTTAGATAACTTAGGATAATTTATAAGAATCAACGCAATTCCTTTTGTAAAATGGTGGTTAATATTGTGTTTTAAAAGCTAGCAGTAACTGTGTACCACTCTACAAATACTTTTAGGTAAAATTATAGTTAAGGTAAATAGATACAGAAGTTTTACAAAGATGGCTTTAAACGAGAGATGTATGTGAATACAAAAATCCTTTGCTAATTAAATATCATAATGTCAACCACATTGTATTCCAAGAACAACAACGTACAATTTTATTGAAAAAGTTACAACTTTATTATAAAAAAAATATATAATATTACACGCAGAGCTTCGAAATATAAATAAAATCCTTTCACAAAGGCTTTGATAAAGTGACAGACGCGAGTGTTCCGCACATAACATGAAACCAATTTAATTAAAACCATTATCGTCGTAATAAAATGAACGTTTTAGCGAATATTAACTCTTTTGACAACGCCCTATCAGATGTCACAAATTGTTAGTAAAATATTTGGAATAGAACCAGCTAACAATGAACTGTTTCTAGGAAATAAGACTAGGGCATATATTCATATTATATTTTTCAATAACCGTTACGTCAGTATCACAATACAGCATTAATCTAAAGGTATCGTATGAAATGGCACGAAATCTGATAGCAGCATGGCCGGCGGCTCGCTCTCGACACGTAACGAAGATGAACTATCGACTAATGGCACCACATCGCTGCGATGCCTCAATCTTCTCTTGAGCCATCCCACTATAAACGACGCGATGTATATCAAAATCCCACAAGTCACACCGATCCATAGTAGAATCGTCTTCGATTCGGTAACACTGGTAATTTTTATCCAATCACTACAAGAATTACTGGAAGCGAGTGTTCTAACACACACCCTAACTAAATATTTGGAGACTATCACAGATTGAACGAAGATCCTTGTTTCCTCAGCCGCCACGCACCAAACTTGGGGCATTAGGTCATTTATATTAATTCTAGGTAATACTTCTACTGAGTAAGATAATATTGGTCCATTTGTGACATTCGGTGGATTCCACCTCACAAAAATATGACCAAATTGGTTCGCATGCAGGTAGGTGATAGAGGGTATGTCAGCATTTTTTAAACTGAATGTTCTGACAACACCTCTTGCTGATCTACTGCAATGACCACCGGAGCAAGCTCTTAACCTAAACTTATAATCACTAAAGGGTGCCAACCCACCAACTTGAAAGTCGTTTCTGGGGCTGCTTATATTTAACAATACTAATGTGCGTACATAGTTGCCAAAACTTGAATTACTTGATATTATGCTTTCTTGATTATTACAATCGAAATTAGAATCATCACAAACATCAAAGTACTCCTCTACCATTGCACCAGGAGTGACAGACGATAAAATGCCACACATAGATTCACAGCCTCGTGCGTATTCTGGAGGTGGTCTCCGGACTAACGCATGCCGAGTATAGTCAGCGTCAAATAAATCCTCTTTATATCGACAATAGTCTACTACCATTGAAGTCCTGGAATAATTATCGATCAAGGTTACATCTAGCTCATAGTAATCAATGTGAAGAACATAATCTTTGTGGTCGACCCATCTTAACACAACGACGTCGGATGCAGATGCAACTAACTCCACGATGAACGGTGGCTCTGGGATTCCAACAGGCGTTGTAAAGTTGAAGATATTACTTCTGACCAAACGTTTCTTCTCAGGATCATATATTTCGATACAGAGTGCGTAAGATGATGCAGCATGTAAATCATTGATTTCCACAACACCATAATTTTTATCAAAAATTGTAGGAATGTCGATAGCATGCCATTCAAACTCGCTACAAGTTTCAGGGACCACCGTAGTGTAGACTCCAGGCGGTAGACGAACATACAGCGCAGTATAATGCGTACTGTGATCAAGGATTGGCGAAAACTGGATTAAGGCAGAAGATTCTCCTGATAGTGTTATTTCGAACTCAAAAGTAACTTCTTCACATGCTCCTCGATATCCATTAGAACCTTCTGGAATATCTATGGCACTAGGTGCTACTGGCAGTCGGGTTTTTAATTCATCTATTTTGGACATACATAGTACGGGGTTGTGATCAAATCTTGCTGTTCCAGCTTCGATCGTTAGATTTTTAGTTACAGATGCAGTGAATAATGTTTGAAGATTATTGTTACGATGGATATCAATACTGTATTTGTCATCTTTTAAGTGTTGACCTTTAATTTTCCGTAATGATGATAGGAAGTCAAGTGTTGTTATATCAGATCCTTCAATAGATACAAATTGAGATACTTCTTGGATTTGACCGAGATACATTCTCAAGTCTCCGAGTACTCCAGGAATTGCTCTTACGTGTATTTCCAAGTATCCATTGACGTAAACACATTTCTCTGCACTTTGGATTGAACTTAGAGACTGGATTTTTAGGTTACCACAAGTCTGAAAAAGAAAATAATATAGATAATGTTAACACAATTTCAGTAATTATTCTTCAGTCTTTTCACTTTGTACTCGTAACCAACAAGACAGATACTTTACAATCTGCAGAAAAATCACATTGGTTTATTTTCCTATAAATTTAGTAACGTGAAAACAATGCAAATAATAAATGAATTTGATAATAGTTCTATATCTTTTGGATAACAAAATAAAATAAAGTTTTATAAAACTGACTACCGCCATCCATTGGTCATTGTATAATACTAATGTGTAATGATTGACTTTGGATCTCAGAAAATGCTGATTCTTCTTTATTCTCAATTTCTTTATGACATTCAAAATATCTACTTACAATTTCACAATGAGTACACGGTTCACATATGGTGGGTCTATTTCGGGTACCATTTTTAATTCTATAGTCCATAGGACACTCGGAGACACAGGTGTTGTTGAACACCCATCGATCTAGCTCAAAACATTCCTCTACGGTGATGCAATACTGGTTGTCAGGAAGAAGGATTCTGTAATACGAAATGATTTGTATAAAAAACTACAAAATGAAATAGTAACTTGTTTTACCAAAGTAAGAATTGAGATACTGTCTTGTACTTCACTACTTTTTCTTTCCAAAAATTAGGCGCTTTTTTACTTTTTTGTTTCAGGTTTTAATTAGAGCCTTTTAAATTATGACCCCCAACCCACCAATGGAAATAATGGGTAATATTCTAATTTAGGGAATGCTCATAGTTCAATATTGGACTGTCACGGACTGTTGATAATACGGATAAGTAATCTATCTATCTATATAGAAATAAAAATGTATATCCGTTCGTTAGTTTTGCTAAAATTCGAGAACGGCTGAAGCGATTTATCTAATTATGATTTTGAAATATTCGTGAAGTCCAGGGAAGGTTAAAAAAAAATGTTAGGTAGATCAGGTAGTTAAGTATATTCAAAGAAACTCACGTATGAGGCGGACACTCTGCCAAACATTTTCCTTTATACGTAAAATTGCGACACACAAAGCAAGCATCCTTGTTTGTTTTACGGCATCCAAGACACTGATCATTGCATTTATCAGCATCTGGTCCATCTAGGAATATCTGACATCGTCTGTAATATGAAAATTAAATATTGTTTTATAAATTCTTAATATACGATTTTTATGGGATTATGGCAAATCGATGAGATGCATCACCTGATTGTGAGAAATCAGTTCTACCCATGGGCAACCACATTATCAAGGAACCCCTACTTCGGCAAACTCGCTTACACGCCGAAACACTATGCAAGCTTTGATCGATTGATTTCTGTGAGACCATGACATAACTCCGGGAGTATAAGGACAGTTCACGATTACAGGGAAGCTTATTAAATTTATTTAATTCGCCGTAATTTTTATTATTGCACTTCGTGGCATCTATGTCATCTATGGCATTTCAAAGTCCACCACCACCTTGTAAAAACGAAGTGACCCAATTATGATACTATTTAAAAATTGGACAATAAATAAAATAACCTCACCTATTGTTCCAACACCGATTTGTAGCAGTATTACTTGAGCACGAACAAGGGACGCTACACTGGATCTTCCTCATAGGGATATCTATTAAGGGAGGACTGATCACATGCCGAGCCCTTGGGGCTAGCACTTTCCAGTCGATGGTGTCAACGAAGCACGCCTGTGGCAACGCCCACATCGTTACCCCTCCTCGGTCAATTTTTATTAAACTGAAGAGTCCAATCTGCGAAAGTTCATAATTAATTATTGCATCGCTCTGTACTTAGTCCAGATTTTTTTATTTCTTGTTTACCCAAAGGTTACCTGTAAGAATAAACTTATTGTAGACTAGCTTTTACCCACGGCTTCGCTCGCGTCACAAAAGGATAAAAAGCCAATGTGACATATACCGATACACACAGCGCCATCTATACCAATATTTTTGTTTTCCCTCGGGAATATCAAATTTTTCAGGGATAAAAAGTACCCTATTATTTAATCCGGACTTCTAACTTTACGTCTGCAAAATTTCAAAGCAATCTGTTTAGTAGTTACGGCGTTAAAGTGGAACAAACAAACAAACTCACTTTCCGATTTATAATATAAGTAAAGATATGTACCGTTACTTTTGAAATAAGACAGTACATATCTTATAACTGTGATTTTATTTGTAGAAAAATCAAATAAATTATCTGTATATGTATTTTTTATAGTTCAAAATAGAATTGAAAAGATAAATAACAAAAGGGACTAACTAAAAACTAGTTTAAAGTGGGTGATTAGAGTGGGTAAGCACACCCACCCTTTCGGAGAATTTTCTACATGATCATGTGTGTTTTATCCCACAAAAATAAGCCTAACAAGACAAAACTTTTATCTAACAAGCCTTTTTGTGTGTAAATGTCAAAAGAACATTTTTTTTTATTTAACTGGAGCCTGCTATTGGTTTTGCCCGCGTTCCTAGTATGAAGATATTAATTCCCAACTACTCTATCTGATCACATAGTCTTTTAGTCGTTTTTGAGTGAAAGAGTAACAATCATGCATTTCATATTTTAATAATATCGTAGAATAGGGTATTTTTTAAGGGGGGTAAATCATCGAATGATTGCTCCCGCCTGGGTGAGACGGGAGGGAATGTCAGACTCTTACTGATTAAAAACCACCCCGTTCCTTCTCCTGCACGTCGAGCCGGAGCCCCGGTAACCCGTTAGGTTTTCCGCGACTCCGAAAATATCGTAAAATATGGTATTCATTTAATAAATAATAATGTTTTTCTATTTACTCACGGTCGATCAAATAAGAGCCTCTAGAATGGTTTGAAACTAGTCGACTTCGTCGTCAACCAGTTACGTGAGTAAGCCGAAAAACATAATAATTATTTTAGTTTGTACTATCGTTGACCGAGTGGTCGCAATTGCGACTGCCGGGCAAGGGGTCTCGAATTCGATTCCCAGGTCGGGCCAAGTATTACTGGCCTTTTTAATAATTGTCAGTAGTAGCACGGAGTCTGGAATTGTGCCCGGTATATGGCAATAGGCTCACCCCCTACTACAACAGACTCCGAACATAAATAGTGAAAAATGGGTGTTACATTGTACAGTGGCATTAAGTGCTGTAGATAATGTGCTCCTCTGAGTACCCTTTCAGGGATAAAAGGCTTGATGTAGTTTGTATTATAATGCAAATATTGATTCCATGTTAAATGTTTTACAAACATTTGTTAGAAAACTCAGTTCAGAGAGCGGATTGGAACTACACTACACAAATGAGGTTAGGTTCGCTCCATTGGGACCTAATTCCTTCACCGTACTACTGTGAGTTCGTTAAATAATCATCGGATTTTACCATGGTAAATCTCTGTTTCCAATAGATTGTTTATCTTTTGCATTTGTTTGCCTTTAAAAGATTTATGTGGATATTCATAGGATATTTAGGTCACTTTATTTTATGTTTTATGTCGCACTTACGAAGTAGCTAGGCATGTTGTCTTACATATTTTTTTTTACTTTAGAACAATTATTATTATTGACTGCCTCATTGGTCGAGTAGCTGCAAGTGCGTCGGGCAAGTCGTCTCAGATTCGATTCCCAAGTCGAGCAAGTATTACTGGGTTTTAAAGATAAAAATCAGTAGTAGTACGGAGTCTGGAAATGCGTCCAATATATGGCAATAGGCTCACCTCCTATTACATGGGACTCATAACATAAAATAGTGAAAAGTGGTTGTTACATTGTACAGTGGCATTAAGTGCCGTAATGTACACCTCTGCCTACCCCTTCGGGGATAAAATGCGTGAAATTATGTTATGTTAATTATAGAATCAAGTTTTTGACTTAATTTTTTATTGAATTTTTAAGTCTACCTTTTGTCGTCCACAGATGAAGATTTTCCTTCTTACGGTCGTGGTCTGTAGAAAGACCAAATAGTAACAGAAATTCCAACAAAAGAAAATACAGGAAACATGTTAGTTTCATTTAACAGAACAACCCGTCAAATATTCATAGTCCATTTGTTAAAACAAAACAAATATTCATACAGCCATTGTTTGTATTTTAATACGAAATTCCATTAAAGCTATCTAAATGTAAATACCTTTTTGTAGTTCAGTGGCGAAAAATTGACTATTGAATCATAGATATTGGCTTTAATTGGCCGGTTTTATGGTTCGTCCAGTTACAAACGCGATATTCGCTTCGCTAGACTCGGAGTCCACATTCATTAGTGCAACGTACACATCAAGCCATACAATACCAGTATAAACTGACCCCCGACTGTGCGGAACGATCATATAAAACGAGACTGTAATAAATTGGTTGGTTATAGCTCAATGTAGGTACAAGTGTAGGACCAGCTGTGTTATTCTGTAAAATCTGCTCCGGACAAGTTGCTGGTGAAATGTACTCTAGTTTTATTCTTATATTTTGTCAGTCTCTGTGTGAATTTGAAGTGAGAAAGGCAAGTGATGGGACTGTGATTTGTGTTAACGAAGTGTCGTTTTTAGAGGGCTGAAGTTATTCTTATGTTTTTGTTTTACTTACGCCAGTAATTATTATAAATGCGAAAATGTGTCCGTTTCTCTATTGGTCTTTGTAACTTTTTTAGAACAGTGGCTACCTACTATTGTTCTATTTCAGACATCAGACACATCAACACCCTATAAGTGGCCACTGCTGACCAAATACTTCTCACATGGAGAAGGTTTTTTTAAAGGGGCAAAATCATCCAATGAAAAGGGGGAAAATCATCCAATGACTTCTCCCGCCCAAGTGAGGAAGGAGTGTCAGACTCTTGCTGAATAAAAACCACCCCGTTCCTACTCCTGCACTTCGAGCCGGAACCCCGGTAACCCGTTAAGTTCTCCGCGGCTCCGTATCGGCATGAGCCGTATTGGGCCTCATTGGGTGACGCGCCGCACGCTCGGGTCTGGTTCTGGTCGGACGGCGAGCTACCATACTCGCCGTCCGCAGCCCCGTGCAAACGAAGACGGTTTGAGCATTAATCACCACGCTTACTCAATGCGGTTCATCTATTTCACCCTTCGAAGTTTTCGATCTTTAAACAAAGTATATTAAAGCAATTTATGTTGCAAAAATTCTAGAGGTACAAGAAGCACTTATTTACCTACCTCTGTAAGATTGGAATTATCGTAGACAATTAGAGCGAAGTTATTCAGTAACCTCACTCCTCTTATTCTGGCTAGGTTCGGAAACAGTTGGCCGACGGACTCCAAACCTCTTACCCGGTAAATAAGCAGGTATTCAGTGATCTGAAACATACAATTTTTATGTAAAGTTATTGTGCTTGTAGTAGTGGCCATTTCACTTTAGTGATTGGCTTGCACCAGGTTGTTTTTCTAAATCGTGGGTGCGTTTACAAACATACGTGGTTAGAGTCGTTCCGTATGAGAATCGGCACCGTCGACAAGTTGTGCATTAGTTGCTCAACAGTGGTACTAACGGTGTAGTCACTTAAGACTGCTAATCTATACATACATACATATAATAAAATCGTAGGAAAGTAAAAACTGTACATCGAATATTTTCTTAAAAGATTGCTTGGAACGTGATCTTCATTCAGTCGATACCGCAATCAAAAATATGGATTTTAGAATTTTTATCTGGTTGTCTATATGTATGTCCGGGATGAACTCAAAAAGTGCTGCATGGATTTACTTGAAATCGTGCATGAATAGTACTAACAGGTCGGGTCAACATATAGGCTACATATTATCATGCTAACAACTACAGGGGAGGAGCTGTGTATCACTATTCCACGCGGACGAAGTTGCGGGCTCAGCTAGTTTAGTATGTACTAATACTACTGATGAATGATAGGTGATGATGAATAATAGAATACTGATACTAGAATGATAATACGCAAAGAAGTAGAATACTGAAATATCATGTCATCTCTGTCGTTTTACAAAGAATTCGTAGTGACAAGAACTATACTTAAGCGCGACTTAAAATTGAGTAACGTTTCAGTATACCAGCAATAGTCTACTAATCTTATTAAAATAAATTCATCTGTTCACGTAAAACAATCATTATAATATAAACCAAAAACTTTACCTCTCTAAGATCCCAAAACGTCATATTAGTAAAACTATCTGCCTTCGATTTCTCTATGAAGATCTCCACGCTGCCCACGACGACTACGCATCCTTCTAAATTCTTCAGATCTGCAACACTCTTGAAGAGATCCCCTTTGCATATTCCTGAACTGTTTGTGTATTTGACTTGCAACCTTTGTGGTGATATGCTTCCAATGTAGAGGAACTGGATTAGTAACCTAGAACAAAAATTATTTGTTTCACTGTTTCACTGTCATGATCCTTTCAAGCGTCAGAAATAGGGTAGATGACTAATTTTTATTTTAATGTCCGTCTGGTAGATTATTTTAAAACATTACGTACACGTATTTTTTATTTTTTTACAGAAACCAATACTTTCCACGATATATTGGTTTAAAATGTCGCGTGACGTCATTTCTATGCACATTTTATACGTAGAAATTACATTTTAGCCCCCACTCCGAAACTTTGATTCGTTATATCTAAGTATAATTTATTATACAACAAAATAAAAGAATACGTGACTAATATTTTTCATTACCTAACTGACTGACTAATTAGATTTCTAATTTTCATACCCCGTCATCCCTATTGGGGCAAAGCTCAGAACTCTAAAATGACGTATATCTGTTGAGTTAGAAGAATGTTTGAGGTATACGGACCAAGGCGCATTCAGATTACCTGATGGCAATTTACAGCGTTGCCCATGAACACCCTTGACACCAAAAGGTCTCTGGTAACCTCAAGGCACGGCTAAACACAATGCAAGCGTTGATTCATACCAGGTTTTTTTTGAGGGTGGAAAATCATTTAATGACTCTCCCGCCCGGGTGAGGCGAGAGGGAGTGTCAGACTCTTACTGACTAAAAACCACCCCGTTCCTACTCCTGCACTTCCTGCCGGAGCTCCGGCAACCCGTTAAGTCTTCCGCGGCTCCGTATCAGCATCAGCCCTGTTGGGCCTCATCTGTCGTGGTCTGATGGCTCCTTGAAGCGCGCGCGGAACGCGACGCGCCGTTCGCTCGGGCCTGGTTCTGGTCGGGCGGCGAGTCACCCGTGCTCGCCGTCCGCAGGCTCGTGATTCATGCCAGCTGGGGTGCGTTTTAGTCAGTCAGTAAGAGTTTGACAGTCCCTTTGGTCGTCCCTAGGCGAGGAGCTCCATGAAGATTTAGACTTCACACTTCAGGGTCAAAAGAAAGGTCTAATCTGTATGGCTAATTAGTGACAAAGCAAGGGACTTCCACGTGTTGTCTCTTTTGGAATAACAACATATTTTCAAAAGGACAAGAGGATTACAATATTACTTTCGTAGTTAGGTTTAGGTTAGTTTAATAGAATAAACATATTTTCTTGTCCTTTTTCTATTAGCCCTAAGTGAGGTTCCAGATAGGCAATGCCCTTTAATGTGGTTAAACTTCTAACTATTCAGTCCTTAGACCCTTTTAGTCTGTGAAGTGGGCCCTAAATTACGTACGGAGATTAAGTCGTATTAAAATTTGTATTTCAGAATATTTTTAAGTAATTTTGTATTTTATTTCAGTTGTAATAAGAGTCATATTCTAATGTGTGGCATGTATAGCAAGTTTTATAAAATTTTTAGCTTGTTATTTAGTACCTACAATCTCTTTGGTTTTTTTCTTCTGTAAAAGGCGAGGTTTTTGGCATTTTATTTAAAAAAAACTAACATTTTCTTTATTAGCCCTTGACGGAATCAAGAATGTATCCAATGTATGGTGATAGGATCACTTCCTATTACATGAGATGATGGGACTCCACTGGTATAAACAATGTTTAAGGATACCTCGGCATGATTACGTAAAACATTACATAAAGTAGATTAATTTAAAATTTCTATTAAAATACAGCAATAAGGAAAATATGAACATGTAAATTTTCCTAAGTAAACAGTGTTATCTAGCATTTATAATAACTCTAGCAGTTTCTAGTAGGTACGTATTTATATGTATATTATATGAAAATTGATAACATTAATTAGAAACTATTAATAAATGACACAACATCTTTTTATCCGCGAAGTGGTGGCACAGAGGTGCACATTTCGGCACTTAATGCCACTGTACAATGTAACACCCACTTTTCACTATTTATGTCATGAGTCCCATGTAATAGGGGGGTGAGCCTATTGCCATACACCGGGCATATTTTCAGACTCCGTGCTACTACTGAGATTTTTAAAAAACCCAGTAATACTTTGCCCGACCCGGGAATCAAACCCGAGACATTTGCCCGGCAGTCGCACTTGCGACCACTCGGCCAACGAGGCAGTCATTATTAATAAATATTTTTACTTATTATTTCTCCGGGTCATTACAATATCGATAACTTTAAAAACTTAGTTCAACACTTCCTGTGTTTATCTTTTAATTTATTAATAAGTGTGGGAGAGCCATGCTTCGGCACGAATGGGCCGGCTCGACCGGAGTGATACCACGGCCTCACAGAAAACCGACGTAAAGCAACGCTTGCGTTGTGTTTCGTCGTGTGAGTGAGTTTACCGGAGGCCCCATTACCCTCCCCTTCCCCAATCTCCCCAATCCCTGAATTCCCAACGGTCCTCAAACTCCTAATACCCAAAAAGCTTTTTAATTCAAAATGACTTTCTTGCAATTGGGTAGTTTCCTGAGTCAAAAATAAATTATTTTGATTTTTCAGTCCAATTAAATATTGAATAAAAATAATTAGACTTTCATTCATCGATTTGCCGATATACTTAATTTTCGATTTATTCTACCATTTATTTTAGATATAAGTGTGCGATTTGAGTGACACGAAAATATGATATTTGTATTGTAACTTTCGTGAGACATACTAAATAAATTATTATGTTTTCGGCTTACTCACGTAATAATTTGACGAGGAACTCGACTAGTTTCGAGCCATGCTAGACAGTAGCAGTGCGTGGCGGGATGAGCTCCGGCGCGATCTCATGGCGGAATGGCAGCAACGACTGTCGCAACCGAGGGCTGGGCTCGCTGCCATTGCAGCGGTAAGACCCCTCTTTGAGGAGTGGCTTGAGAGACGCTACGGCGTCCTCACCTACCGCCTGACGCAGGTCCTCACCGGACATGGAAGTTTCGGGAGGTACCTGTGTCTGATGGGGCGGGAGGAAACGCCCGGGTGTCATCACTGCGAGGACCGCCCTGAGGACACGGTGGAACACACCGTAGCGGAATGCCCTGCGTGGGCTGAGCACCGCCGTGCCCTCAGGGAAGTGATCGGCGATGGCGACCTCTCGCGTCCGGGCCTAGTGCAGGCCATGATGCGGAGCGAGGGGGACTGGGATGCCGTCTCCTCCTTTTGCGAAGCAGTCATGCTAGCTAAGGAGGAGGCGGGACGCGTGAGGCAGCGAAGCGCTGCCTCCTCGCGACCCAGCCATCGCGAAAGACACACCGGGCGTCGGGGATCGCGGGACGATCTCCGGCCACCGTAAGCGCGGGCCTGCGGACGGCGAGCATGGGTGGCTCCCCGTCCGACCAGAAACAGACCCGAGCGTACGGCGCGTCGCGTTCCGCGCGCGCCTCAAAGAGCCATCAGACCACCACAGATGGGGCCCAATAGGGCCGATGCCGATTCGGAGTCGCGGAGAACCTAACGGGTAGCCGGGGCTCCGGCTCGACGTGCAGGAGAAGGAACGGGGTGGTTTTTAGTCAGTAAGAGTCTGACACTCCCTTCCGCCTCACCCAGGCGGGAGCAGTCATTCGATGATTTTCCCCCCTTAAAAAAAAAAAAAAAAAAGACAGTAGCAGTGCGACAGTCGCCGCGTCGCGGGTCGCGAAATGCTGCTCATGAATATGAGCCTCTAGTCGAGTTCCTCGTCAAATTATTAAATGAGTAAGCCGAAAACATAATAATTTACGAAAATATGATGACGTCATAAGATGGTATTTCGTACAAAATTCATAGAACAGTATAATTTTTGACATTTCGGAGAAAGTAATGAATTTGACTAGTTGTCAATTACCGTATTAAACAAATCAACAATAAGTATATACGCCCGAATACTGAAAGAATACTCAATTTTAAATTGTACTTAAATGTCGTGAGATCTCTGTAGTCTCGATTTAAAATAGAGTAGCGTTTGAATATTTCAGCGTTAGTCTGTCAGTATTATACTGAAAATTCTTGGTTACACACGTTATCTGATTTTTGTAAATATCGTGCCACTCGTGTCCAGGTTGCTTACTCTTGAGACCAATGTCAATATTGTCAATGTCAATCCAATAAACTCTCAATAATTATTCAATGTCAAAACTATACAACCCCTTACAATATACAGTGTACGGAATTTAAAGCCAAACTCAATACTATTTAGTTCATTCATATCCACGCAATACGGATGCAATGGGCGCTAGTGTTGCAACTCAAGAGTACGAAATTTCGCAAAAACAATGTCGATCGATCGGAAATGGATTCAAGGGTAAACCACCTTATCAAATAAAAATGTACCTTTGGATGAATATTAACATCATTTGAACTGAGTTACTGACCTCTACTCAACAGGGCAAAGGTCAAGGCAAAAGTTAGGATAATTTCATAAAAATATATATTTTATTTACACTTCATTCGCGGTAAAAGAGAATAAATTATTAATGTTTTTCTGTATCTTTGGTTACTTTGAAGGTCAAGGTTAAAGATTAGATGTATTTTTACTTATTTAAATTAATTGTATTGCATTAATTTAATCAGATTCACCGAGCTCCCACGATTGATAAAGTTTATATCATTGTTATTGCAATGGCGCTTACAAATTGAGGACAATTTTAACCGACTTTAAAAAAAAGGAGGTTCACAGAAAAAAAATACATCTTTAACTCTGTTTATTTACGACTACGAGGAACAACAGGCGCTAAACAATACAATTGCAGTTACTTGCCCATAGCAACAAGAAGCTATAGTTTTTGTTAAATACAACGATACGGTAAGTGTAGCTATCATGCACAGTTGAATCCGAAACGAGTTTTTACTCTACACGCGTGGGACATCCATTATTATCTAGTAGCAATCTGCAGTAATTGTATATTCTTGTACAGACCAGCACATAAAGATACCCTAATTTGATTTTCAACTTTATTGCAAAATGATAAAGTTGAAAATAAATGAGAGATGTGGGTAGCTTTAATTGTTAGCGTCTGTGTATAGCTGCATTTATTTTGATCACACATTGTGCTACGCGCAAAAAATACCCGCCAAATATGTCAGTATTTAATTGAGGTTTTGGCATGTTTATTTAATTTGTGTCATTGAAATAAGATTTAAACTTATTTTATGGTCGGTAGTACTAATGATATGCAACTGAAATACATTGAATATGAACAATAACTTATTTATTTATTCAGATAACTGAGATCCATCAAACTAATAGTAAAGGAAGAACACAATCATACATAACTATATAACTATTTAGGTACAATATTAATAAGCAATAGTAAACAGGGACTTAGTCCGCTGCACTAATTTCCATATCAATGGACAGTCATACTTCCAGTCGACCATTCGACCAGTCAACTTCCACGCAGGCGACTAAAGAGCGATGCAGGCTATTTGCGCCATAACATAGTATAGGTACTATAGGTAGTAGGTACAATAAAAACAAAATAAGTACCTAATTATTAAACATGTTATATTCCGTTTCTAGTACAATATTGCCACTATCAGAGGTAAAATATATATTTTGATCAAGTTTCATATTTTAATAAGGTGTATTATACACAAATACCTATATAATACTAGGTATTTTCTAAATTAGATTAATTATTATACGATTGATTTTGAATCCCAATGTCACAAAAACTGCGAACTACGTTGGAAGCATTAAAAGAATGTTTGAATTTTTTGTAGGATCTAATTAGAAAGTAACCTCATACCTACATAAAGACAACATAATGGACGTTAATTCTAACACTGATATAAAATAAATGAGGTTAGGTATATTATTGTCTTTGACAAATGACTTATTAGTCATTTAAGTAAGGTAAGGTTTCCTTAATCAAAAATAAATTATTTCAACTGTTCAACACAATAAGATAATCACAAATTCATTAATTGATTTTATGACCAATTTACTTATAGTATTGCCCAGCATTTTTTTTTAAGAAATAAGAACGCTGTTTGGCGCTAAAAAACGTGACGTCACAATACAGAATCTCGTGTGAAAATCATAGAAAACTGTCGTTTTTGACAGTTCAAAAAAGTATTCAATTCGACTAACTAGTCGGTGCAACTGCACCACCCGACACTGGCAGTATAGTCGATAACATCGTATTGGAGACTCGGTTGCCAAAGAAGAAAAAAAAATGGACTAGTTGGCCAGTAACCAATTGAATGATGATGGAACAGTTACAATAAATTAAATAAACCCGTAAAATATCAAACTTAGTTGTTAAATAACAACTTAAAACAAGCACGAAGTAGTTCGAAAAGTTTTTACTAAGTTACTGTTTATCACAACAACGATGCTTAAAACTTTTACCTTAAAATATTTTACTAAATAAATAAATATTGTAGCAACAACTGGAACTTACCAAGTCAAGGACAACGTGTAAAAGAGACAAAACATACTTACAGATCCTTCTGTCAAAGAAATACTGAAAATACACTTTTAAACTAAACAAGACACCAAGCAAATAACAAAAAGGTAATAAGAAAAATAAACAGGCTTAAAGAACAATAAAGCTTAAACTAATAAGTATAAAATCAAAATTACCATATCACCGCTTTCGCCATGACACTTTGAGTTTGCCTCCGAACTTTTTATACTTTTTCTGCGTGCGCGCTAACCGCTTCCTCAGTACGAAACGACTGAACAGCCTCAAGTGAAGGTACCTTACATTTATGGGAAAACACATTGTGTTTCGTTTCCCATGGCCCTATATTGATCATGGGATTTTAGCTATTGTCTGGATCAATTTCTAAACTATTAACCACAAAGAAATCTATTAAAATCATGTTCGATTTATAGCCGTCTCTTTCTTTTGTAAGGTTAAAAGTTCGAGTGAGCAGGACAGCGTAATAAGTGGAGTTTATTGACTGAAGTTGCCAATTAGGTAGGTGGGTACTTTATTTGTTTTAATTTTGTGCTCGTGTACCGTAGCTAATAGATGTCATACTTAGATAAATAGTTATTACACAGCTATATTTACTGTATTTCATACATATGTATAATATACCTTGACGTTTATTACTCTCCTGAAAGGTAGGCAGTAATACCCATTGCTAATTTTTTCATTGCATTTTTTTTTACTTTTACCCACACTAGGATTTTCTCCTGTATCGTGGGTGCGTTTACAAACATACAATATCACATACACATGACACTCAGACCCGGCACAACAATTTGTGGATCATACAAAGAGTTGCTCCGTGCAGGATTTATGAGTGTCACGTAAATCATGCAGTAGCCTAGAGTATTAAGAAATTCTAAAACTCACTACATACTGCTCTAATCAAATATCGAACCCTAAGCTTCCTCAACGGCAGTCGCGCTTGCGACCACTTCTCCGTCAAGGCAGTCAGCGTTATTGCGAGATAAAAAATAATTTATCAATGATCCAATATTTTCTGGAATTTTAAGCAATTGCAAAATGGTTATCGTTAAATTAGGTACATGACACTCGTAAAATAATGTATGTCACATTTTAATAATTATATGCAACTAACAGTTGCCGGCGACTTCGTCTGCATAGAATATGATTCCTGTTTTATCCCATATGAGCATTTAAGTCGAGATAGAAAGTATCCTATCACCTAAGTCAGCCCATACCCTACCTGTATACCAAATTTCATCAAAATCCGTTCAGTAGTTTCAGCGTGATTGACGGATAAACATCCAAACAAAGAAACTATCACATTATAATATTAGTGTAATGAAAGTGCATTGCATTTTGGTACTTATTGCATAATAAGTCTGGTACGTATCAAGGTTTGATAAATAAATAATGATTAAAATAACACTACACTTATCTACTAATGCACTGCACATGTTAATCAATAAATTGATTAAAAGTCCCTGACCCTAGATGCAGCGAGTGCAATCGAAATAACATCACTTCCTTAATAATTAATGTTTATCAGCTGACGTAATTGTTTGAATAAAATGTCGTGGTGGCCCATGCATGAGGGTAAAGGTTCGAAACCTACCAACGGCAAGCATCCATCTGACTTTTTCAGAGTTAAATGTACTTTCTTAGATTACTCATGGTATTTTTTTTAAGGGGGGAAATTGTCTGCTCCCGCCTGGGTGAAGCGGGGGGGAGTGTCAGACTCTTACTGACTAAAAACCACCCCGTTCCTTCTCCTGCACGTCGAGCCGGAGCCCCGGTTACCCGTTAGGTTCTCGGCGACTAGATTATGGTGTAGACACCACTGACAAACAGTGAAGGAGAACATCGTGAATAAACCTGGGCTTATAATTTCTAATTATTAGTTTGAAATCGTCAACCTGCATTGAGCAAACGTGGTAATTAATGCCCAAACCCTCTCCATGTGAGAAGAGGCTTTGCTCAACATTGGGCATTCATAGGCTGTTGATGAACTATTTGAAGGGGAACTTTAAAGAGGACGAGAATATGAGCCTCTAGCATGGCTTGAAACTTGTCGAGTTCCTCGTCAAACAATTACCGAAAAACATAATAATTACTTAAGTCTGACAAAAGTCGTATTATAAATATTGCTATCGTTATGAAAGGTGGATTATCTTTAGTTGAGTGATTGAGTGATCGACTATTAACCGGAACGTTTAGGATTTGTTACTCGAATTGACCTAAAAATTCCATATTAGTTAGTGATAACTTGTGATATGTGCTTAGATTTGGAAATTATGCAATAGACTCAATTATTATTAGAAACCTGAATGTATAAATTGGTATTGAATATATCCTTAAAAAGCGATATCAAATCGACTTTATGAAGGATATACATGCAGTCATGTAGTAAGACCGATTTTTTGCAAAATATATGTCCAAAATTTCTTAAATAAAAATAAAATTATTCCAAAACAACTCTGATTTAGCCTTTCAGTTAAAATTACTCTCTGTATTGTAATGACACATATCTACGGTACATAATGATGACGTCATTATTGCGTTCATTATTTCAATTTACCCATGATACCGTGACAGGCTTTTGTTTACACGGATCATGAACTATTTAAACAATGTGTATTGCTTTCTAATTTCTGCTTTTGACAATGTAGGACACTGTTTTAATAAGCCTCATTATCATTGATTATGTAATTGTGTTTTTAACTTTATGTACAACATTCAAAGGATCACACAATTATAATAAGTACGTATTATAAAAATACTGATAGGGTAAGCAAATAAGCATTTTCTCTACTAGTCAATTTTCATAGGAATATCATAAATTTTGAAGTTCTAAAACCATTGCATCTGAACTTAAAATGATATAGTGAGATAAAATGGACAATTCGAGAAGGTAGTACAGTGAAACTTGGTTAAGTGGGACCTGGATAAGTGAGAAACCTCCATAACTGGAACTCATGCTGAGGTCCCAACTCATTGGCACTGAATTACCTCTGTTAGTGGGACGAGGTAAACCTCTATATCTGGGATTTGATCTTTCGATTTATCATCATAGTTACCTCTATAACTGAGACAGCGAGTAAATTTTATAAGCATAAACCTCTGTAACTGAGATAACATTGTTTGTTTACTCATTCTTATTCTACCCACAAATTCTACACGTAATTCCAAGTCCACCTCTATTAATGGAACCCTCTGTAAATGAGACAGATATTTATTTATACCTGTATATCTGAGACACTGGGTAAGTGGAATACCTCTATAAGTGAAACGACATTGCAGGTCCCTTGATGTCTCACTTAACCAGGTTTCACTGTATATGGACGATCAAGAGAAAAGAACGAGAAAATACTGGTGTATTTCCATTTCCTCTTGTTCATCCTTTGATAGTCCTAAGGTTGAACTTGTTGAAGAAAATTTCTCCTCTTGCATTTTTCTTCTTCTCTTGGTCTTTAAATCACCCAAAGACAAAGAAAACTCTATATGTCTTGAAGACTATCTATTCTGCAACCAATTATATTGCCACGTAGTCAAAGGTCTTAAATATCAAATTACCTCACACGGCATGACAGAAGAACAAATTATTATTACCAATAAACGGTTCAAGGACCTAATAAAGTATCAATCAATGACTCAGGACGATATGACGTAGTAGGGGCCAGTGTCCAGAAATGGGTGGCTAAACTGTCAACCGAAAAAAAAACAATGAATGATGAATCAAATTCAATAAACGGTTTTGTTCTTAAAAGGGAACGTGTCGATAGAAGATTTTTGCATGAAAATTAAGTTTGTTAAGCCTTTGACTGCCAATAAAAAACTGTTGACGGTAAATCCTCCGCTAACGTCGGTCACGGTCGAAAATGGATCTTCTAGATTATAATTTCCTTTCTACAAATGTTTTGATGTAAATGAATAGATAGTTGCAATTAAAATTTTATGTTAATAGTATTCTCGGTGAATAATAGTCTAGTATTATATATATATTTATTCCTATATATACATAATAATAATAGTCTAGTATTATATATATATATATATTTATTCCTATATATTCCTTGCATAAGTACTTTAAAGCAGAAGCACACTTACCTACATGACTTTAAAGAATTTCGTAAAGAAGGAATTTCTCTTTTAAGATTTTTGCAAGTATGCGAAATTGAATTACTTCCACCGTCGCTTTTGAATGTCCAAACATTGATTACAATTGTAAATTGTAAAATAGTCACATTTTATCTCCTAAAATCATATTACTTAAATAAGTTCAACCATACCTCACGAGGGCAGCCCTAACATAATTCCAAGTTATCTATTATTGCAAATAGCTCAATTAAACGACATAACAAGATGTTCTTGATATCAAAATAAACCTCTCGTTAGGTACAAAGGGACCGTTGCGAAGCAATGAGTCATGTAAGTGGCGTCCCGACAATGCTGCCAGACTGAATGAGTACTGAGGAATATCAAGAAGAATTGTGGAAGAAATTACTTTGAATTTATTTTGAAGCCTATGCACCAAGACATAATGACCGATATGGTGTTTCTTGTATGGAACTCTGTTGCTGATAATGCGATAGAATATATTTTAAGCGACCTACCAATATGAGGACAAAGGAGTATTTTTAAGGAATTAACAAAATTGTTCTAATTTCAATACAAATAAGTGTCGAGGAAAAAATAATGTCGATTTGATAACACTATCGAATACTTAATAAAGTTTTTTTTTAATTAGATAGGTACCTACTTACTTGCTTTTACCTAAACGAAAACTAAAAACACAAAACAATTCGATAATATTGCGTAGGTATTATTAAATATTGTAACACTTTAACACTTGTGTATGACATCTGTAAATAAACAAAAGATAAATAAATAAGTTAGGTACTATGTATTAGTTAACTACTGTCAACAAATTAATATTTTCGCCGCAATAAACTTCATAATTATTTTCTATATTATAATAAACTCAATCAGACACTATTTACTAATTACTATTAACAACCTAATCATAAAACATATTCATGAATAAATACCAAAACCAACGATAGTCGCGGTTTAAATTAAATCCTAATGATTAATTTGTACCTGATCATGACAGGTACATGAACAAACCAACAAAACATTATTTATATGAAAATTGTATGACAAAGGATTATTTTGCACCACAAAACACCACTTATTACGCTCACTATTATTGAAAACAAACACTTATTATTATAGCTATGTGTATTTATATGGATTATTAAATAAGGAAAAGTTCACTGAGAGACTCGGGTACTCGATAAAGTCTGACATTAATCGCGTGTTGGCAACGACTGGAGCCGAGAAGTCATGTTATAATTTTAAATTGTTAACAAATTGTCTAATTATTACCGTGATGATTTCGATGAGAGGTAATAAAATGTAAACGTATTTGATCGCGACCTCAACAAAGGTCAAGTATCTACAGGATGGTTTGTCTTTGTAATTTATATTTCCAATTGTCACTATGGTCGAATAAACGCTGTCGCCTCAGGATTTAATTACGCAATTCATTATTACATTAAACTTTAAGTTTCCGTGATATTATTAGTTGTACAAGCTGTAGGGCAATGACCTGCTTTAATTGGACTTGTAAACTATTTAATTCCTGGACCCAGAAGTTTGAGGGGTAAAGTAAATATCATTTAAGATTGGATCGAATTTGAGTGACCAGATAGTGATACGGTATTTAATGTATGTTTCATAAATAAAAAAGTATAACAATGTTGTTAGGTAGGCAGCTAGGTAACTCGATCGGTGTGGTAGTCACACACACACACACACACACACACACGTATGCACAATTTGCAGCTATTCACCGATTTATAGGTATCCAGAAATAAATAAGTACCGATTATGTTATACTTTTTTTTTTAAGGGGGGAAAATCATCGAATGACTGCTCCCGCCTGGGTGAGGCGGAAGGGAGTGTCAGACTCTTACTGACTAAAAACCACCCCGTTCCTTCTCCTGCACGTCGAGCCGGAGCCCCGGTTACCCGTTAGGTTCTCCGCGACATTATGTTATACTAGGTACTCTTTATTTACAGTAGCGAAAAAGTACAAGTAAAAAGTGGGATTATATTCATTATCTCAGGATTCCAGATCAAACTTCAAAGAAAAACAAAATATGATCCTTCGGCAAGAACTCAAAAAAACCTCTTATCTCATCAACATCTCATAAACTCATCAAACAATCCTTCCATCAAAGCGCAATCCGAAACCCATTCCCCGTTAATTAAAAACAATATAAGTATACACGTAAACATAAATTCAAACGGAAAATTAATTTGCGCTGTTGAAAAACATTTTTAAACTCAACATTTTTCCAAGTCACCGTTCATAACAGTGGTTGGAGTAATGAAACGCCCTGTGTATACGGGGACCCGCGGGTCAAGTGGGTTTAACGAGCAATATTGCATTTTGTAACGTTCAAGCCGGGTGCATGCGCTATGATATTGCCTGACGTACTTACGTATACGATATTACGGAAATAAATCTTGTTATAAAATAAAATTAGATAGTCTGATAGCCATACCTTTGCTGAGCAGACCGCTTTGTCGATGCTCTTCTTTTTTGAATTACGCCTCGATCGGGCTCCTATTAAAAATGAAAATGTGGGTTGAATTTCGCGGTCTTTCTAGTACAATGGTTCTCAACTGGTGGTTCGTAAACCAGAGAGAGGGAAACACATAGTCCGCGAAATAAAAAAAAACACGATAAGACAATGCTTCTATCCAATAGATTTCACGGTTAAACCATAGTATAAAGAACATTATACCATGGTTAAACCTCGAATTAAGCTCATTTAAAGGGTGCTGTGCTACTGAAAGGAGGAACCGATTTTAATAATCCAGAAAACATTATTTTTACCCCTATCCCACGACTGGAGAAAAGGTTACTTTGGGACCACTTAAAAAAAGTTACAGTAGGCAAGTATTATTGATCCCTAACCTAACTATAATGTCGCGGAGAACCTAACGGGTTACCGGGGCTCCGGCTCGACGTGCAGGAGAAAGAACGGGGTGGTTTTTAGTCAGTAAGAGTCTGCTACTCCCTCCCGCCTCACCCAGGCGGGAGCAGGCATTCGATGATTTTCCCCCTTAAAAAAAACCTAACTATAATGAATATATGTAGGTAGGTAAAAGTGGCCCTTGATCAAGAAAAGTTTGTGAACCCCTGTTCTAGTGAAATGGACGGCGCTTGGCTTCCACTGTACTCTGTTGCCGTTCTGCGCTTATGATGCAGATATTATTATGCACTGATTCAACAAGTTGCCACTCCTGTAGGAGACAATTTGTTGTAGCGAACTGCGGCGTGTCTGTGGAGTCATGTACACTGTACCTACACTTGCTACTTCGTAACTTTGGTCGCGTATCGCTTTACTGAATTTGGTACTTCGGGGTATTATAGGTAGGTTCAATTTGCATCGGAAGAATATATATGTATCTATTTTGCCACGAAATTGTTGGAGACCTGTTACATACCTTATAAAGTACCTAGTTACTGTATTTGTATTATAACTTTCGTGAGACATACTAAATTAATTGTTATGTTTTTCGGCTTACCTACTGCTACTCACGTAATTGTTTGACGAGGAACCCGACTAGTTTCAAGCCATGCTAGAGGCTCATAGACTTTGACTGTATCGTTGATGTATGTACTGGATCGGCGACGCAACGACAATGTTGCATCACGGGTTTGATTCTACCACGGAATAACTAAATACTTAAGTAGGTACCTAATGTTGTGTGGTCTTAAAGTATTGTTTTATGTCATTTTGGTAAGTAAGAAAACGTAGGTAGCAACGTAATATAGCCGCCTTGTCGCGGAGAACCTAACGGGTAACCGGGGCTCCAGCTCGACGTGCAGGAGAAGGAACGGGGTGGTTTTTAGTCAGTAAGAGTCTGACACTCCCTTCCGCCTCACCCAGGTGGGAGCAGTCATTCGATGATTTTCCCCCCTTTAAAAAAAAAAAAATTTAGCTGCCTTCGGCTAGACTGTTGGCGCCACAGTTGGCGCAGTGGCTAGGGTACCGGCTGCTGCGCAACGTGTCGTTCGACAAGTCACTGTGAAATTTTGTGTTTGTAATGCAGGAGAAAACAAATATACCTAATTTGTTGCAATCATCATGCGTCATCATATAACATTAGTTAGGTACTCATTGCAGTGCTGAACCTACCTACCCCAAGCCCCCGTCTGTGCCGCGGAGGACTTAACGAGTTGCCGACTCCGGCTCGAACTGCAGGAGTTAGAACGGAGTGCTTGGTTTTTAAACAGTAAGAGTCTGACTAATGCCTCTAGATCTGCTAGTTTTTCTTTTTATTTAAACATTTAAAATATTTACTTTAAACCAAAAGTTTTTGTAATGCGACATTCAAAGAATAGGCTATATCTACAGTTGCTAACCCTGGTCAAAGGGACTGGCAGCATTGTCATCCAACGTGGCAATGCTGCCTGTCTTTTGGACATCCTTTTTCACGACTGCAATGAGGATAATTTTTTCGATGCCGTAAGTTATCTATTTTTTTTTTTGTTTTCTTCCTTTTTCCTTTTATTTTAATGATTTAATTTTGTCTATTAGTTTTAGTGTATTATAAGGTGTACATATTTATTTTCATTTTCTTATTTCTAAAAGTTACTGATAATATTGATTCTACATTAGATTAATTCTTGTATGGATAATAATATCAAATAGTGTGCCATAAACCTTGGTCCACAAATAAAAAAAAACGTCAAAATCAGACTGCTGACTGATTGACAATTTGTCCCTTCTTTCTCGGATGTCACTGTCAGACATCATGACAATTAGTAATTTTTGATATTATAAGCATTGCATGTCTCGTCTATCTCTTTTTTTCTTACTGTAGTCAGTATATTACTGTCTCCTTCTATAGTTTGTGTGATCGCAATATAAACTTCAACCGCAACAAAGAGCTGAAACGTTTTATTCTTTATAAAACAACATTCCCATATTTTGGTGATAAAAGTACGCTAAAAATAAGGCGAATATTATTTAATTTGTACATCAAGGTAAGTCGATATAAGTTTAAAGCGATCTAGAAGTATTGAGGAAAAAAGTATACAACTTCATAACCGCAAAACGTAAACAATGGTAGTTTAACGATATGTTTTCTAAAGAAATAAAACATTACAGTAATATTATATTTTATAAATGTGTCTAGCTTAGTTTCAATAGAGATTAGGGAAAGGTTCTTCCTATTTCATTTCCTATACCAAATATTTTGTTTAATAACTTAACCATATTGGTTTCATGCTTTCATGAGGATTTATGTATCAATGTAAGTACTTTTCATCGCTGTTCTGCATCATATTTATTTAAAAGAATATATATACCACATTACATATTCCAGTCGTAATTTTGTTAAGTAAATTACGCAGTCATGTCGTTATTATGTCATTCATTAGTAAAGAAAATGTTTTTTATGCTACAAACATACTTTCAATTCCAACTTGAAATAAAATGCTATTTTAGCAGTGCCCTACTAATTGTACTCACAGTTAATAATCTGAATTACTGCCATTTTAGTATGCCCATTTTCATTCCTCGGGGTCTTTTTATATATTTGATGGGCCGACATTTGACCACTTATTATTCATTAATTCTGCAGATAATTAACAAATGAAAATTCTAAATTGTACTTTGCCTTACATATATAAAAAAAATAAAACCAATCCTTGTATGTTTTACAGTAGATTGAAAATCATAACTGATAAGTGGAAGTAAACAAATTGTTACTAAAACAGAAAAGTGGGGATATCAAAGTTTTCCCATAAAACCTCCCTCAGTTATATAGTAACTGACCAACGAAAATACACAATAATTTAACATTAAAAAAATTACTGGATCATAAACATAAATGCCAGAATAAAATTATTAGCATTAAAAAATTTAAAATAAAGCGGCGAGCATGGCTGGTAACTATGAACATATTCAACAAAATTATCAAGAAGATAATATGGATTTTAGCCAAGACGACTTTAGTGTAGGTGTTACTCATTTTGATCAAGAGGACACACTTGGGCATAAACCTGGTGGTAATCCAAAAACCTGTAACCCCAAGAATACAAAAAATAATTTACCGTAAGTTATCTTTATACCATAATGCATATATTTTCGTATACAGACATGTATTAATTCATTTGCTTATTAATGGCTAACAGGGTATACTGCGGTGGACCTGCATCTACATAACATAACATTGACCTATCATCATTTTATATTACGAGTCCCATGTTTCAAGTCAGGGAGCCTCTTTAATCTATTTAATTGATAATAGTAGTAGTTAGTCAAAGTCAAAATCATTTATTTCAATGAGACCAGGAAGGCACTTTTGAATGTCAAAACATAGTATATCCTTTTTACGAGTAAACCAAATTCTGTACTTATCAATATTATGTTTTATGTTTCAGAATCCTCTCAAAAAAGAAAAAGATTAAATACCTTAGACAATTACACAAGAGCAAGTATAGGAAAATTAACAAAATGAATACCGTTCAGCCAGGTGCGGGCCCTGGCAATACATCAGGTAATTTATTTATACAAAATATTAATTGAAGTATTTGAGTGGAAGGAGAGTAAGGAGGCTTTTGCCTTCCAGTGGGACGACCATGGGCTAATGTAGTCAAAGTCAAAGTCAAAAGTCAAAGCATTTATTTAAATTAAACCATAGTTTGGTACTTTTGAAACGTAAACAAATACAAAATAAATAATAGTCTGTCAGTCAGTCCGTCAGTGGAACTAGGTGAAGCTAGGTGCTCATTCCAAAATGTACATTGGAATGGAGAAGAACAAGCAAGAAACTCCATTCGTTACTCTTTTTGACTGGATTTTTTCTAAACTGGCTAATAAGTGGAGCAAATAAAACTAAAATTAATAACTAATTCTGACCCTGACCGCTGGTACCTTGGATTTCTCCCGTTACTGGTGGGCTAAATACATATTTCAAAATGTAATTAACAATCATGTAAATAAATGAAGATAACAATCTTACTAATTACATTATTGTTGAGATATTAAATGAAAGTGAAATCAATTTAGTCTCATTGATTCAAATAATAATTTGCAGGCTTGCAGCTACAAAAGGAAGGTCAAGCTAGTACACCAGCACCACAGACAATTAAAGCTCCAGTTACTGGGACAGGTGATTATTATGAATATGCATATTTTCTCGATTATAGATATAATTTTCTTGTAATTTGTGCCAACCTCATTGGTCAATTGGGCACTTTATTTTAATGTCCGTCTGGTAGATTATTTAAAAACATTAGACACGTATTTTTTATTTTCTCACAGAAACGAATAGTTTCGAAGATATATTGATTTGAAATGTCGCGCGACGTCACTTCTCAGTACATTTTATACTAAGAAATGACGTTTTAGCCCCCACTCCTAAACTTTGATTCGTTTTATCTAAGTATTGTTTTATTATACGACAAAATAAAAAAATACGTGTCTAATATTTTTTCATTACCTAACTTACGGACTAATTATATTTTTAATTTTCATACCCTGTCATCATCCCCATTGAGGCTGTTGACCAAATAGGTCTTGATTGAACAAAGTGTCCTTTTAAATTTTTGGTTCTTGAATTATTTGTAGTGGAACATAGTCTAGATACATTTTTTTTTTGGAAATGGAATAGGAGGCAAACAAGCAGACGGATCACCTGATGGTAAGCGATACGAAGTACATAGTTAAGAATTAATTTTAATTGTTGATTAAATTGCAGTACTCTGTGCGTTTACCTCTGGTATGTCGGAGCGTAGATCTACGCGAGACACAATGTGTTTTCTATTGTCTCTTAAATACCGACATTCAAGTGGTTAATCCTTTGTTGTCACTGAGAACTGTCTATATAATAAAGTACTTACTAATTTCTGCATGCGGTTTCGCTCGCATTTTTATGCGATATAAAAAGTAGGTTATGTATTATTCCAGACCATGATTTATCCATGGTCCAAATATCATCCAGATCCCTTCAGTCGTTTTGACGTGATTAAGTAATAAACATAGAAACATACAGACAAACACACAAACTTGCGCATTTATAATATTAGTAAGATGGATGGTGACGAATGAATGACGATACATACATACCTACACCCACGTTACACGAAAAAATCCTAGCGTGGGGCAAGGTTAAAAAAAAACAAAAACACATTCCAATAGGACCCTGTATTATTTGTGCTCATGCGCCTCAGCGTAATCTAAGGTGGCCCTGGCTGTGTCACGTCAGATGTCTATGAGGCCGTAGTATCACTTCGGTCGAGCCGGCCCAGTCGTGCCGAAGCATATGGCTCTCCCACACTTAAATTACTTACTTATTTATTACTAGCTTTTACCCGCGGCTTCGCTCGCGTCACAAAAGGATAAAAAGTAGCCTATGTGACATATACCAATACATACAGCGCCATCTATACCAATACTTTTGTTTTCCCTCGGGAATATCAAATTTTTCCGGGATAAAAAGTACCCTATTATTTAATCCAGACTACTAATTTTACGTCTGCAAAAATTCAAAGCAATCGGTTTAGTAGTTACGGCGTGAAATCGGAACAAACAAACAAACAAACAAACTCACTCACTTTCCTATTTATAATATTAGTAAGGATTGATGAAGCGAAAGAGGTATGTAAGAGGCGTTCCCTAGTCTCTGCCTACCCCCATGGGAGACAGGCGTGAAGTTATGTATGTATGTATTATTTATTATGTCTTATTTCCAGCAATACCGACATTGCAGAACAGTAGCCATGTCAACGTTAAAACAAAGATCAGTCTTAAGCAAGAGATGATGAAACAAAGACTCAACTGGATAAAACCGGAGAATAATCAACCTGGTGAGACATGCTTTTTTTTTCATGGTATAAGTCGGTAAACCATCAGACGGATCACCTGATGTTAAGCAATCGGCGTCGCCCATGGACACCTGGAACACCAGAGGCGTTACAAGTGCGTTACCGGCCTTTCGGGGATTAGGCATTTAAGGATTGTTGGGGATTAAAACAAAGAAACTTTTCTTTAATATATTGAGTAGTAACGACAGTTTGTATGTTAAAATTATGTACTTACATATATCCTGAATACAACCTTTTTTATTTGATGGGTAGACGATAATAGTATGGTTTAGCCCATAGGGACATTTTCGTATTAATGTCTAGGTTTGATACCTTTATTATGATATTTTTATTTCTATTTATATTTTTATTATTATTTCCGTAAATTAAATGATAATACGTAAATATATTATTTTAATTATTAGGTTCCATTCAAGCTACGACTCCGGGATTGCCACCAAACATGGTCGCCGCTCCTGGACCCGTGTCTAATCTAGGTAAGTGAAAAGTTTAGTTAAAAGAATTTAAAACAATGTTTCTACTTGTCACTATTGAACATAAGTTTTACGTAAATTGAAATATTCGAGTTCGACGCTTTGATTAGTTGGTTTGTTGGAGCCGGCCAATCAGATCAACGCTCTCATTGGCGTTAAAAAGCAAACAAACAAGTTAGTAATAGGCCCTCGGTACTAGTTTCGAGAGCGTCCCGATGTAACTTGGGGGGGGGGGGGGGGAGAAAATCATCCAATGACTTTTTCCGTCTTGGATAAGGCGAGAAGCAGTGTCATACTCATTACTCATACTGACTAGAAACCACCCCGTTCATGCTTCTGCTCTATGAGTCGGAGTCCCGCAACCCGTTAAGTTCTCCGCGGCTCCGAATCCCGATGTTACTAAAAACTCGTAAAGCTTATTTCCTTAAGTTCATATGAGTAAACAGTAACATCATAACATCACGCCTTTTTTCCGCGAAGGGGTAGGCAGAGGTGTACATTATGCCACTGTAGGTACATTGTAACACCCACTTTTCACTATTTATGTTGTGAGTCCCATGTAATAGGGGGTGAGCCTATTGCCATATACCGGACACAATTCTAGACTCCGTGCTACTACTGAGAATTTTTAAAAAACCCAGTAATACTTTGCATTACCCGGGAATCGAACCCGAGACCCCTTGCCCGGTAGTCGCACTTGCGACCACTCGGCCAACAAGGCAGTCAATCGTATTATTAATGAAATAAATATTTATCTTCAGCTCCAGCAGTGTTTGAGACCCCGATACTTCAAGCCAACGTAAGGAGTACAGCCGGTAGTTTCTTCAAGACGTCAGTGCCAACACAGATACAACAACAACGTAGAATGTTGGACAATCTTGGTAATAGAATTATATTCTTTATTTATCCTACTGAGGTGGGAACTTGGGTATATTTTTTAATACCGGAATCTCGCAGCTATAGTAAAAAAAATATATTTTTAAAATGATTTCAATTTTTAATTTTAAAAACTCATACTACAGCCTTAAGGGCTCTCCAATTCGGTAGGTAGCTCATTCCACAACCAGATTTTACAGATACTAGTACTTTCAACTTTACTGTTCAGTAATTAAGTCGAAAATCTATTAAACAAAAATCGGAGTGACTTAGTATTGACGCTTCTGTATGTGAAGGATAATATTATACATATTATAGTATAGTTCGAGATGTGATGATGATCAATTTCCTAAATAGGTTGGTTATGGGTCCATCCACGGCCACATCATCGGTCACGACCAGACGAGTTGATGGAATAAAATCCTTGAAATTAAATCTATACCACAAGCGAAGAACTATTATATTTGTTGATTTGCTGCATACTTAATCAATATATACTATTAATATATACCTAATAATACCCCTATTACGGTGTATTAGAATTAATATAATTATATATTGTTGTATTATAAATATCGTTCGACATACTAAATGAATTAATTATGTTTAACATCTTATGTCCAAATACTCAAACGCCACTCAAGTTTAAGTCGCGCTTAAGTATATTTTTGTCACTTCAAATTGTTTGTAAAATGACAAAAATGGTAGATATTTAAGTTCAATTTATAATTGAGTAGTCTTTCAGTATTCGGGCGTTACTCACCTACTGTTTGGCGAGATAACTCAATCAGTTAGACACACGACGCGTCGTGTGTCGCGCTTTGCTGCTCATGAATATGAGCCCCTAGCAAGGCTTGAAACTAGTCGAGTCATCTTGCCAAACAGTTATGAGTAAGCCGTTGAACATAATTTAATTATTATAATTATAAAATTTTTGTTTTAGGTTATAAAACTCCAAAAGGTATGTTTAACATTTAAAATATTAAATTATACAAAACGTTATTTTATACACAACAGACACAGTTTATATGCACATATATTATATCAAGTTGCACTTAGCCGGTACATTATGCACTTACATAATATCAATTCGAAGAGAATTGGCGTTTCATAGTCTTTGCATATCCCCATGGGACACAGGGATGAGGTTATGTATATATGAATAATATCAAATATTATGGACTAATTTTATTGTATACATTGTATAATATGTATTTATTTTACCATCGTGTTTAAAGAAGAGAAAAGAAAATAATAACTTTATTTCACGCCAAAAAACAAGTGGCATATACATAAAAGTCATTGTATTAGTAGGTATTGATGGATACATGTTCATGCCCCAAGTCTGCCGCGAAATGGGACCAGTTCAGCATGTGCAAGACTGTTTCGTATTTTACTATAACAGTTTAAAACTGTAATCATCTATACATAAATAAAATCGTTGAAAAGCTAAAAGTGTACATTGTATACTATTTTAAAACAATACTTGGGACGTGATCTACAATCGATACCGAAGCTAAAAATATAGATTTTCGAATTTTTGTCTGTTTGTATGTATGTATGTCCGTGCTAAACTCAAAAAGCACTGCATAGATTTTCTTCAAATTTTGCATGAATATTACAAGTTACAAGTTCAGGTCAACATGTAGGCTACATATTATCACGCTATCACCTACGGGAGAGGAGCTGTGAAGAACTATCGAAAATCGCTATTCCACGCAGACGAAGTCGCGGGCATCTACTAGTCAATCATAATTGTATATATTCTGCTGTCCTTGTTTCTACTTATCTGGCCTTTACAAAACTATTTTAATTAGAAACTTTCAACCAGCGGTTTCGTCCGCGTTTTGGTTTTGGGATGAGTGACCTAACAAACTATGATCTCTTTTATATTTGGAAACTTATACTTACTTACATATAACAATAGGTTACTTATATGTTAGTACGAACCATAATGTCGTTAACTGTCACTTATCTCAGCTTAGGGGTTCCCTAACATGTAAGAGAAGTTGGTAAAAACAGCCATAGTTAGAGTTATAAGAATGGTAGATAATACGGTGTTCTAAGGACTGGGGGTAAAAAAGTTAGTATTGTATTAATTCAAATTCATTCATTACTAAGAATAGGATTGAATTGTCGCCATATTGTGACGTCACTGCTCTGTCAAAATAAGTTTTAATGTTTTTTTTTTCAAATGTTTACTGTTTGTGATAATATGTTTCAACCGCTTTCATATTATTATATGCACTGTACTATTCTATGTATCTATTTAATATTTATGGGAATGGTAAGGCATCTTTAATATTAAGTATTTGTATTGTAACTTAAATACTATTTTCGTAGGAATCCCGAGAAGTTTTCTCGTGAAGCAAATACAAACAAATCAGGAAACGGGTGGGCAACCAAGTAAGTGCTTTTTATTTCTGGAAATTATGGTAATTTATAGATTAAGAAAACCTACTAGTTTCGAACCACAGAGGGGTTCTTCCTCATGAGCTGCGCGACGTCGCCGCGACCGCGCACGCTGTTCATGAGGAAGAACCCCTCTGGTTCGAAGTTAGTAGAGCTTTTCTCAGTATATTCACGTGAGTAACCCGCGATTTTAGTTAATTTAGTATGTCTCAAGATAGTTATTATAAAAAAATTGGAAAAAGTGCGAAAAGGAACGGATTTTGTGAAGTTTTATTTGAACAAATAGTGTATGTATGTATGCATGTACGTTATACTTACCGTTACCCAATTTTAAGTTCAACTTAAATATCGTGCCATCTCTGTCATACAAAGAATTTGTAGTGACAGAACTATACTTAAGCGCGAGTTAAAGTTGAGTAGCGTTTGAGTATTCGGCCGTAAGTCTGTTTGGTAGTTACGTAATGTACTGATATTTGATAAAACTATGCTATAAAATAGTTTAGTGACTGCCTCGTTGGCCGAGTGGTCGCAAGTGCGACTGCCGGGCAAGAGGTCTCGGGTTCGACCCCCTATTACATGGGACTCATAACATAAATAGTGAAAAGTGGGCGTTACATTGTACAGTGGCATTAAGTGCCGAAATGTGCACCTCGTGGATAAAAAGGCGTGATGTTATGTTATGTTATAAAGTTGGCATTTTCGAAACTTATCTTCAATAGCAATAAATATATTCACTTGACATTTCTTGTCATTATTTTTTTCTACGTAATAATTATAATTAGGAAAATAATATTATTAGTAAAAGAGCATCATCTTTAAAAAAAGGTGTTTCAATTCCAGCTACTGCCGATATGCCAATATGGCCAATATCCACACAAGCTACAGCAACCAACCAAACGCCACCAACATTGGCCCAACCCTCAATAGTGACAATGCCAGACGAGACGAATCCATCCACATCACCAATATTTGATCAAACGGAGACCGATACGATACAACAACCGTATTCACCTTCTGATATTTATATGGAGAATGCTAATCCTGGTGAGTTCAAAAATATTTTTATTGTCATATGAAGCATTAAGGCCCGTTTTCACCATTGAACTTGAATATCTTAACTAAGAATTACTTAGCGTGAGAGAAAGAGCAGCTAAACCTATTATTTATTCTACCTTTAGGTGTCACTTAAATGTTGATGAAAACCAAAATAGTTATGTACCACCTATCTTAAGGGGAGTTTCTTAAAATATAAGAGAGGTTAATGAAAACGACAATTAACTGTTAGTAATCACAGGATTATACCGGATGTCCCATAGGAAATGGGATAAGCCGGTATACGAGCAGACGGTTCACCTGATTACGGTTACGATTTTGAGGAATGTTTGTGGATTCGGGGATTGAGGAGATTAGAGAGGGGGTAATTGGGTCTCCGGTAACCTCACTCACGCGACAAAACACAACGCAAGCGTTGCTTCACGTGATCACGTCGGTTTTCTGTGAAGCCGTAGTATGCCTGGCCGAGCCGGCCCATTCGTGCCGAAGCATGGCTCTCATTACATAGACAATCTACTGAAAAAAACAGCTTATTTTCTTAATTTATAACCGATTTCAAACCAAAATTTTTGTATGAAGATGAATTTAGACACGTACGGGGTTTCTATGAAAATCCAATGTCGATCCTTATTTTGGTTTAAGATCGAATTAAATTTTGGCTATTAATAATAGTAATAATAAATCATCGTTCATTTTCCAGAACCCGCTGAAGAGACAGAACCATCAGAAGGGAATCAGACCAATCAGAAGCGTTTGAGTGCCTTCCACAGATTGGGACCAGTCTCTCAACCGAAGAAACCTAAACTTACCATCAATTTGAACTTGAATAAAGATCAGCCTGTAAGGTATGGAGAAAGAAGAATTTTATTATATGTAATTCTCCAAAAATTCGTTATACCGCCTCGTTTTTGTAGTGGCCACAACCGCGACTGTCGAGTAAGAAGTATTGCGGTCAATTCGCTACAAGCCAAGTACTATTCCATCAGACCACCATAGATGGGGCCCAGTAGGGCTGATGCCCGATTCGGAGCCGCGGAAGGTCTAACGGGTTGCCGGGGCTCCGGCTCGAAGAGCAAGAGTAGGAACGGGGTGGTTTTTAGTCAGTAAGAGTCTGACATTCCCTCTCGCTAACCCAAGGCGGGAGAAGTCATTGGATGATTTTCCCCCCTTAAAAAAAGCCAAGTACTATTGAGTTATGTCGGGTTTTCAAAATTTCTCGTAGCAACTTAAATTGTGCGAGAACGGCTTACATTTTTTTTTTATTTCATGTAATCTCTTGTGATGAGGCCTACCGAATTTTTGCTCAAAAGATGACGCTAGTGTGAACCTCTTATTCTTCGTCCAATAGGGAATTACCTGGTATCACGCCATTGGACGTTCGATATTTGACAGCTCCTGTGATTGGACAAACAAAATCCTTGCTACATTTGGCGCCATCTGCTGAACAAAAAAGACGTTAGCCCTCATATGAGCATAATCTAATACATTCATTTCGAACCTTTTTTTGGCAAATAAATGCATGCGGCAGTTAATTAAGTGTGATAGATGGCTCTCCCACACTTAATTAGCATGGCTGCTTCGACACGAATGGGCCGGCTCGACAGGAGTAATACCACGGCCTTACAGAAAACAATCCTCAAATTCCTAATCCCAAAAGGCCGTTAACGCACTTGTAACGCCTCTGGTGTTCCTGGGCGACACCGATTGCTTATCATCAGGCGATCCGTCAGCTCGTTTACCGGCTTATCCCATAAAAAAAGTTAAAACGATAGTAATAATTATTGAGTGTGTTAATTTGAATATGACCTATGCTGTAACCCAAAACTACTATACTACCTACGCATAAAATAATTACACCAATAAAATCTAACAACTCCATCTCTCTATTACAGGGAAGTAGTAGACGATACGGACGATGACCCCGATAAATACACTCCTACGCATCTCCGTAAAAACATAATAGCGAGCACTGACGAAATAGTCATGAAGTTCCTCACCTTCTGGCCCTGGAGGAAGAATGTTGGCATCAGGAAGAGTGTTACCGCTAGGAATTCCAGGGTAAAATATTATTATTATGTATGTCTTTACCATTCACGGGACCACAGGGTCCCGGTCATTTGGGAGGCGTACGAGGGGCCGAAGCCAACTGCGCAGAGGCCCTTTAGACAACTATAATATAAATGTAATGGACACACAAACCGGCGACTATCCCTGTATGCACTATGGAAATGCACCCAAGGACAGTCCCCGGTTAGTGTAGGACTATTGTGAATAATGGAAAAAAAAGGTAGGGCTATGGATGGGTTGTTGTGGACTGGTAAATTGGGAACTATGGATGACTATGACACCTGCCGAAACAATGTAATTTTTACACGTAAAAATGGCAGGCGGAGACTCGCCAACTCACCGACCGGGCCCCGGGAATGGTTGCTAGATATAGCAACAGAGGGGCAACGAGAATGTGAGTGGCTGAAGGGTTAAGAAACTACCACCGCTTTCTACTCAGATCATCTGCTCCAGCCGAAGCCTCCTGCATCCCTGGCCCACTCGCGACTTACGAATAGTTTCTTACCCTCCGAGCAGGATCACTGCTCTCGCGACTCCACTCTGGACGGCCAATGAAGGCAAGCCAGAAGTGGGAGACCTGTTCCTTGTCATCTTTCACTCCAGCCACCCAATTAAGGCAAGCCGGAGAAGAAGGAACGGTGACTTCTCCCTGGAGCACTCGGGATGATGGTAGCCCGCGGGATCGCTAATGCCCGTCACCTCGCCTCAAGGTGCCCTGCGGGCTTATTATTATTATTATTTTATATTATACTAGCGGACCCAACAGACGTTATCCTGCATATGCACTTGAATGTATAAACAAAAATTCATTCAAATTAGTTCAGCTGTTTAGGATAAATAACCTAAACATCGACTGCAGCGCCATCTACCGGGCTTATTTGTGAATCTAAACCATTCCCAGATCCCCTTGAACACACACAAAAAATTTCATCAAAATCGGTCCAGTAATTTAGAGAAGTTCAGTGACATACACACTCACAGAAAAATTATATATATAAAGACTAGGTATGACTGCCTCATTGGCAGAGTCGTCACAATTGTGACTTATGGCAAGGGGTCTCGGGTTCGCTTCCCGAATAGGGAAAAGTATTACTGGGTTTTAAAAAAAAATCAGAGTTTTAGCACGGAGTCTGGAACTGTGCCCGGTATATGCCAATAGGCTCACCCCCTATTTCATGGGACTCATAACATAAATAGTGAAAAGTGGGTGTTACATTGTACAGAGGAAGTCTAAATATGGGGCATCGCCTTGTTTAATTATGGTAAAGATTTCATCTAAATCGATTCAGTAGTTTTTGTGATGTAGAAAACAACATCATCCTACCCATATATGAGTTAAAAATGTTTTTTTACTACAATTAATAGTTTCAAAGTTATTATTTATAATTATTTTATTACTTTTTACAGACCGCCATGCTGATCGAACAAGAACAAATGGAAGAGGCGTATGAAAAAGATAATACCTTCATTCAAATTGCGGTAAATTTTGATATTGACGACTCAGTAAAATCTCAGTTCCAGGGCCAACTTCACATCATTCTTAATTACCTGAAAAGGTTCCTGATAAACTGGTGACCTGGTAACCTGGTGACTGCCTCGTTGGCCGAGTGGTCGCAAGTGCGACTGCCAGGCAAGAGGTCTCGGGTTCGATTCCCGGGTCGAGCAAAGTAGTACTGGGGTTTTTAAAAATTTTCAGCAGTAGCACGGAGTCTGGAATTGTGCCCGGTATATGGCAATAGGCTCACCCCCTATTACATGGGGCTCATAACATAAATAGTGGAAAGTGGGTGTTACATTGTACAGTGGCATAATGTTCACCTCTGCCTACCCCTTCGGGGATAAAAGGCGTGATGTTATGTTATGTTATGTTCCTGGTAAACTGACAGATAGTTCGTACAAACGTACCTATTTTTTTTCCATTTGATAACTTTGTCTCCAACAAACGTACCTAATTCAATTGAGTACTTGCCGACTAGTCAAATTCAATACTTTTTTCGAACTGTTAAAAACGACAGTTTTCTATGAATTTTGTGCGCGGTTGTGTATTGTGACGTCATGTTTTTTCAGCGTCAAACAGAATAGTTATTTCTTAAAAAAATACTGGAAAAATACTAAAATTAAGTTGGTCATAAAGTCAGATAATGAAAGTGTGATTATTTTTTAATATTTTATTGTATTGAACAGTCGAAATCATTTATTTTTGATTAAGGAAAGTACCCAATTTTCTATCTGTATAACATAATGTATACTGTAAAATGGGGTGGATAGGAATCGAGATGTGAAGAAAGACAAAAAAGGGGTGAATAGATGTAAAGAAATTTTTCATAGTATCGATTCACCCCTCTTCTATCTCTATTCACCTCTCGATCCCTATTCATCCAATTTTACTGTTACAACATTTTAATTTATCTAGATAATTATTAATTTCGGTTCAAAGATCTCATTTACATGTTTTTTTTGTCATGTAATAGAATGGAGTATATTTTTTACAGGTAAAAGGATACCCATCGTCATGGACAAAGGAACAAGTATTGGATGCTGTACTAGACAGTGTAAAGGAATATAGTCTTATACCCTGCTTTGTTGAGGTAATATTTTGTACCTTACTGTCAGTTAATATGCTTTGCGAAAGTCGACCTTTCGATTAGAAAGATAAAGTTGCTTTTGAGGACCATATCCTCTCTTAATAAGATTTTTTTATGGGATAAGCCGGTAAACGAGCTGACATATCACCTGATGGTTATCAATCGGCGTCGCCCGTGGACACTTTTTTTATTTTTTTATTTTGTCCTGACGAGAGGCAGATAGTGGGATGTATGGTGCTTTTAGTCCAATCAGCTTTACTGACATAAGTTGACTAACCAATGACTTGACGAGTTGACATTAGCAAATATTTTACTGGGCAATAAACTTGAAGCTACATTAGCGCCTCTAGTGGCACGAACAATCTCATTGTCGAATTGGGTAGTTTCCCGGGTATCAACATTAAAAATCGAATTAGTCCGTCAGTTAGATAATGAAAAAATATTAGACACGTATTTTTTTATTTTCTCGTATTAAGGTGCAATACTTAGATAAAATGGCGCTAAGTTTTGGAGTGGGAGGTCGTTACGTCATAATCTGCTACAAAATGTGGCACGCTGTGACGTCATACGATATTTCAAATTAATATATCGTCGAAAGTATTTAATTTTGTGAGAAAAGAAAAAATACGTGTCTAAAGTTTTAAATTAATGTACAAGACGGACATTAAAATAAAATTTAGGAATCTACCCTATTGTTTGACTCTTTATACTTAGATTTTTTTACAAGTCTTCTTCTTTTATTACAGTTCTACCAACACGAATGCAAGTTCTTAACCCTTCGTACGCGTTCGGCACTCGTAGTCCTACACAAGACCGGCTTCTATCTACACAAGGACGGGGTCGAATTGACCGTCACCATATCTTTAACTGATTTAACCCTGAATCAGATCGATTTCATCCCGAGGATCATTTTGAGGAAACGAATGGCTATGGGTTACTTGGAGAAGAAACTTAATGTTAGCGCGTTTACTTTGCAAGATGGTGAGTTGAATACTATTAAGATTTTAAAATAAACTTTGCCCCACACTAGAATTTTCTCCTGTGTCGTAAGTGCCTTTACAAACATACAAGTTCACATACACATGACCCCCAGACCCGGAACAAATCTGTGAATCACACACACAGTTGTTCCGTGCGGAAATCGAATCCACGCCACGTTGCGTGGCAGCCAGTTGCCCTGCCACTTCCGCCAACCGTGCAATCAAATTATTTAATTTTAATTATTTATTAAGTTTATCTTTTACTTAATGAGATTTGCTTAATATTCATATGGAGACATTTTCCAGTTATAAACACAGAATTGAATTCCAATTCTGTAATATTTTCTGGACAATCCCAACAAGTCTTGCTCGATCCGGAAATCTAATGATTGGTGTTATTAGAAATATTACCACAACAAATTATGTTATCATTTTAGGTTCTTAAACGAAATCTCCGTGATCTGACAGTATAATTATTATACTCATTGAAAATCTGACTCATTGAAAAAATAAATTACTATACGGTTGGCGCGGTGGCTGGGCAACTGGCTGCCGCGCTACGTGTCCTGGGTTAGGTTCCCGCACGGAACAACTCTTTGTGTGATCCACAAATTGTTGTTCTGGGTCTGGGTGTAATGTGTATGTGAACTTGTATGTTTGTAAACGCACCCACGACACAGGAGACAATCCTAGTGTGGGTAAACGTTTAAAAAATCACATTGGACTTTGTTCACGGCACAAAGTACCTTCACAACGAAGCATTGAATATTTTGTTTCAGATATAAGTCACTTCTTATACTTTCCGCTAAACCGCTTGAGTAACCAGAGAGAGTTCGTTCAACTGCAAAGCGTCATCGAATGGGAACATCTGACTGCGTTAGATATCTCACACAATAGATTATCGTAAGTATAATATGATAATACGATTTAAAGCTACTTTCGCCTGTGATACAGGGCTTTCCTAGTACAGGCATCTAGGCAAGGTAATATTTTGTAATTTGCTAATTTTATCATCAATAAATAGTATGTATTATTATAAAATATTTTATATTGATACATAATCTATACATCATCTTAGGACTGCACGGTTGGCGCGGTGGCTGGGCAACTGGCTGCCGCGCTACGTGTCCTGGGTTCTATTCCCGCACGGAACAACTCTTTGTGTGATCCACAGATTGTTGTTCATGTGTAAGTGAACTTGTATGTTTGTAAACGCACCCACGGCACAGAAGAAAATCCTAGTTCCTAAAAAATCCTAGACAACGGTCTTAAAAATAATAGAAATAGTATAACTTTGAAGTTTCATACAAATGCATTAACTTATAAATAAACAGTTCTCGAGTAAAGACACAAGTTACTGCCGTAACCGCTATAAAATTTTCTTATATTAACTAAAAATCACGGGTTACTCATGTGAATATATCATGTCTTCCCTCTTTAATATTTTATTACCTTAACTTCGTTATCTACTTCATACTTTCTTTTTACAATTTTGCACCTACCGCTTTAACATTCTGCACCACCCAATGGTCGACTGTCAGAAAATGCCTACGGGATTAAGTCCGCCAATTTGACTGTATGTGCAATAAAGTTTTAATAAATAAATAAATATACTTACTGGGAAAAGCTCTAATAGTTTCGAACCACGGGTACTTCCTCGTGAGCATCGTGCGCGGTCGCGGCGATGTCGCGCAGCCTACTTAGTAGGCTTGGTTAATTTAGTATGTCTCACGATAGTTATTATAAAAACAACATTTCTTATACTAAAATACAATATTGATATGGAAGTTAAGAAGTGACTTATCAACAAACTAAGCTTATAACTAGCTTCAGAAATTCTACAATCGATATCCTCAGTAATATTTTATCTGAACTTGCGATCACTTGAAAAACAGTTTAAACAGTCATGTTAACCGACTTCCAAAAAAAATAGGTTCTTAGTTTGTTTATCGGTTTGTTTCTTTGTATGTATGTACCTATTTATGTTTGTTTGTTTGTTGGGTGAACTCATTTTGATGCGGTTTTCAAGTCTTTGTTATACTTAGGAGATGGCTTTAGGATATTTATTAACCAACTTCAAAAAAAAGAGGGCGTTGAAGTCGGTTTTTTTAAAAGTAGTTTTACTGGTTTATCAACATGTCAACGACTAATTATAATAATTATCTTCCAGGGACATATCAGGCTTTGATCTCCACAACGTGACACCAAAACTGAAACATCTGAACTTATCCCACAACTATTTAGACAAGATCACAGTGCTAATAAACTATAGGTCGTTACCTCTAAAGTCTATACATCTGGAAGGGAACCCGCTATGTCTGGACTACATCGATCCGCAACACTATATTAAAGTGCTTCGCATGATATTTCCTGCTATTACTGAAATTGTAAGTGTTTTGAAGTTAAAATTATATAATTTATTTACGCCCGAATATTGAAAGGCTACTCAGTTTTAATACGTACCTAAATATTGTACCATATCTGTCATTTTGCAAAGAATTTGTAGTGTCAGAACTATACTTAAGTGCGACTTAAAATAGAGTGGAGTAGTGGCGTTTGAGTATTCGGACTTAAGGAGCATAAATTAGAATTTTTGTGGCTGTGACTGCCTCGTTGGCCGAGTCGTCGCAAGTGTGGCTGCCGGGGAAGGGGTTTCGGATTCGATTCTTGAGTCGGGCAAAGAATAACTGCGTTTTTAAATATAAAACTCAGTATTACAAGAGACTCATAACATAAATAGTGAAAAGTGGGTGTTACATTGTACAGTGGCATTAAGTGCCGTAATGTGCACCTCTGCCTATCCCTTTGGGGATAAAAGGCGTGAAGTTATGTTATGAAAATTAATATTGACACCAAGTCGTGCTTGCGACCTCTCAACCATATTCTATACAAGGTCGTATTATATTTTTCTGGGTTTTGATCCCTGAAGGGACAGACAGTTTCCTGGGTTCTTTATTAGGTTCTCATTCTTATTATATATTACATAAAAATAACTAGGAAACTGCCTATCCTTGGATTAAAAGGCATTGTACTTAACAAGTACATGTTGTAATTTTTAATAAATATTAAATTCCCAATTACTTTTTAAATTTTCCAGGACGGCGTACCAATACACCGTAGTGGCGAAATGCCAGAGTTCAGAAGGAACTATTGTCCGGATGAAGCTAAGCCGATTGTAGAGAAGTTTCTAGAAATATACTTTCCTTTGTTAGACGCTGGCCCGGAACATAGGTCATTGATGCAGGGAATGTATGAAGATGATGCTACACTCACTATTACGTATTGTTATAAATTACGTGAGTATTTTTCAGTATATTAGCGTTAGATAATTAAGACGGCACGATTGGTGTCGTAGCTGGACAACCAGCTGCCGCGCAACGTGTCGCGTGTTCGATTCCCGTACGGAGCAACTCTTTAAAACTCCTATTGTGGACCATCTACCCGCAGGAGTTTACAATTACATAGGAAAATGTTGTAAATAGAGCCTACCAACTCATAAAGTGTGATCCACAGATTGTTGTTTCGGGTCTGGGTGTCATTTGTATGTGAACTTGTATGTTTGTGAACGCACCCACGATACAGGAGAAAATCCTAGTGTGGGGCAAGGTTTTAAAAAAAGATACTAGTATGTGGTTGGGTAGAGTAGAAGAAATTGTTACTATCCCTGCTCAAGGGTATCTTACGTGTCGCGGAGAACCTAACGGGTAACCGGGGCTCCGGCTCGACGTGCAGGAGAAGGAACGGGGTGGTTTTTAGTCAGTAAGAGTCTGACACTCCCTTCCGCCTCGCCCAGGCGGGAGCAGTCATTCGATGATTTTCCCCCCTTAAAAAAAAGGGTATCTTACGTGTCATCTAAAAGACTGCATATTAGACAAAGATCGGTTGGCTCTGATAAACCTACACCTTTGTAAATACGATCTTTAACCAATTCAAATGTAAGGAGACACATAGTCTAGCTGTTAATTGCCAGGTGCTATTGACGATGGTGATGTCTAACGACCAGCCTCAGTAATCCATTAACCTGTGAACTTGCCAACTAGTCAAATCCAATACTTTTTTCGAACTGTCAAAGACGACAGTTTTCTATGAATTTGATACGAGATTATATATTGTGACGTCACGTTTTGTAACGTCAGACAGCATAGTTATTTTTTAAAAATCCTTACTAATATTATAAATCGGAAAGTGAGTTTGTTTGTTTTTTTGTTTGTTCCGCTTTCACGCCGTAACTACTAAACCGATTGCTTTGACAGACGTAAAGTTCGATGTCTGGATTAAACAATAGGGTACTTTTTATCCCGGAAAAATTGTTATTCCCGAGGAAAAACAAAAGTATTGGTATAGATGGTGCTGTGTCTATTGGTATATGTCACAAAGGCTATTTATCTTTTGTGACGCGAGTGAAGCCGCGGGTAAAAGCTAGTTAGTAAATAAGTGCTGAAATTAAGCAATGTTATTGATAAATTCATTTTATTCCAGGCTACAGCCAAACATACAGACAATTTAGAAACCTATTCCTCTACGCTCGGTTTCTTGATGAAGGCGAGGTGGACTCGGTGACTGGCGCCATGGCTATCACCAAGCTGGTGAACAGATGGCCACAGACTGAACATGATCCCTACTCGTTTAGTGTCGATGTTATAACTCATACGGTACGTAAAAGAAGCATAACATCTAGAACTAAATTGAACATAACATAACATCACGCCTTTTATTCTCGAAGGGGGAGAGGTGCACATTATACCACTGTGCAATGTAACACCCACTTTTCAATATTTATGTTATGAGTCCCATGAAATAGGGGCTGAGCCTATTGCCATATACCAGGCACAGTTCCAGACTCCGTGCTCCTACTCAGATTTTTTTTAGAAAACCCAGTTATACTTTGCCCGACCCGGGAATCGAACCCGAGACCCCTTGCCACAAGTCGCAATTGTGACGACTCGGCCAACGAAGCAGTCTAAATTGAACTGTTATTATAAATGCGATAGTGATTTTGTATATTTGTCAGTCTTTCAATTTACAATGAAGCGTTTTTATGCTATGATTATGTCTGGAGTTTCAAGAGATGGTTAGGAGCGCGGGCAACAGGTAGTACCTCAATAACATACATAACATCACGCCTTTGATCCCCGAAGGGGTAGGCAGAGGTGCCCATTATGCCCATCCCATGTAATAAGGGGTGTGACTATTGCCATATACCCGGGCACGATTCCAGACTCCGTGCAACTACTGAGATGTTTTAAAAATCCAGTAGTACTTTGCCCGACCTGATAATCAAACCCGAGACTCCTTGCCAGGCAGTCGCACATGCGACCACTCGGCCAATAAGGCCTCAGTAAATATAAATAAATTCAAACCACATGTTACCAGTTATGAAAAAGTCGTACATAATTATATTAAATGCGAGTTATTTCAGACTGGTCGAGTCGAACCAGAAAGGTTTTACTTAGCAGTCGCATTGGCAATCCCCATTAGACTATCCGTAGGGACATAGCCACTTGATGTGATTAGTAAGTCATTAGGGAGAGCCTAGGGTCACCCGTGTCGCGGAGAACCTAACGGGTTGCCGGGGCTCCGGCTCGAAACGCAGGAGAGGGAACGGGGTGGTTTTTAGTCAGTAAGAGTCTGACACTCCCTGTCGCCTCACCAAGGCGGGGGCAGTCATCCGGTGATTTTGACCACATGTTATGACTTATGATAATTACTATCATCCTTACTAATATTAAGTATAAATCGGAAAGTGAGTTTGTTTGTTTTTTTGTTCCGCTTTCACGCTGTAACTACTAAACTGAATGCTTTGAATTTTTACAGACGTAATGTTAGAAGTCCGGATTAAATAATAGGGTACTTTTTATCCCGGAAAAATGTGATATTCCCGAGGGAAAACAAAAGTATTAGTATAGATGGCGCCGTGTGTATTGGTATATGTCACATAGGCTATTTTTTATCATTTTGTGACGCGAGCGAAGCCGCGGGTAAAAGCTAGTAAGTCATAACATGTAATATATTCTCTTCACACAGCCATCAACAACAATACTCCGAGTGAGCGGCATGTTGAAACTGTCAGCAGAGACGGTAGCTGATGATGAGCACCTTCTAGCGTTCTCAAGGACAGTAGTCCTAAATTGCGAGGACGGGGATGAGTATAAGATACATAATGAAATGGTCTACTGGGACGAACCGACTGCTGCATCTGCCCGGTCTGCCTTCAGAGTCAATAATGTAAGTCATTTTTACTTATTTTAGAAATAAAGGTAATAAGAAGCTTTTGTCTGTCTGACGAATAAAAGGTGTGATGTTGTTTGTGTTGGTTCTTACATATTAAATTAAATATGTTTATGGTACGAGTTACATGTTAGGTCTTATAGTTGAAAGCTTAGAAGCGAAGAAACGGAGCCAGGAAATATATTTTGATACAAGTATTTTATTAATTCGTTACGTTTGTCGTATAAAAGGCAATTTATGTACCTTTTAAAATGAGAGCATTTTGTTGTATAAGGATTTTTTTAAGTTCTTAGAGGTGTCGATAGAATGAGGTAAACGTTAGTGGCTCCTTGCTTATTGCTTAATAACTTTTGCGACTTGACTAGCAAAATAGTAGGTATTTACATTTTATTTATTTTTTTCTAAATACAAGGTGTTGTTTTATAGCCGCGTCATTTTCTAGGAGGTAACTCGGCTATCGATTCTGAGTCCGAATCAATAAAAAAAATTGTAGGTAAATATTTTTAATTTTTCTGTAAATTACGGAAATCTTTAAGTGCGAACTAAACGCCGCCGTCTTGTAACTTGCTTTATAACGCGGCTTAAACACACAAAAACTCAAACACGTAATTGATATTATTTCTATATTCCATAAAACTCCAATAAGAACCATTGCTGTTCCTTATTCTGAAATACTGTCGAACTTAAACATATTTTATTATAGGCGTATTTTTAACTAGTGGCCCGAAACTTTCTCTTACATTGAACCTTTATGACTTCTGTGACATGCCCCCGAGAAACGTCGCGGTTTCAAAACTACACCTTGTATAAATTTTTACCAAGTTTAGTGCTCGTTGTTTGAATGATCACGTCTTTAATGTGCACCAGTGCACAGGTATTTTGTTTTCCTGAAATTCTCAATAGTTTAATTGATAAGACTGAATTTTATTACAACGAGCGATAAATAAATAATTACTAACGAGTAGTTGTTTAATAGATATTAACAGTGATGTCATGTTACAGTGCTTGAGCTATAAGTACCTAGGTACCAGTTTCTATGCATTGATAAATAAGTAGGTAATGCATGTTAGAATGAATGGGCGATGTGGTGTGTGTGATCTGATGACAGACAGAGGAGATTAAGACATTTTTTCTAGAAGTTCTATGAGAAAACATGGGATGCCTATATAGCGAAATGTCATATTGGATAACTGCACAATCGTACTTACTTGCATTTCTAGATCTTTGGTTCTGAGAATGAAAATCATGAAATTGTGTAAGAAACCGCGCTTGTCATACAATTGAAATTAACGTCATCAACGTGAGCCATACCAAAACAAGTATGTTTTGAATTTTTCCTTCTCCACAATTCAATACTACGTATTCCAATATTAGCATGTCTTGACATGCGGGTTTTTATGTAAACAAATGCCATGTGTATGTAAGTGAATTTTAGTCAGAAAGTCATTGAGTTGTTCGTGTTCATTTAAAGTTAGAGAAATTGTTATTAATGTTGAATGTGGAATATTGAGTCCAGAAAGGATGTATGTAAGATGTGCTTGTATGAGGGCAATGAAAACAGTTATAGTAAAAATAATTATATTTATTCATGTCCTTAAACTTGAAAATGTGCTGCATATAAATGTATTATGTATCTACCGGTATATCTAATCATTTATTCACAAAAAAAACAATTCACATTGGTATTTTGTTAATTGTCCACTCATTAATTAATTATTGTTCTTATGTGCATGTTATGGACTTAAAAATAAACAATAAAATTTGCTTTAAAAGGAACAACTTGGCACTATATGGTATGAAATACACTTAGAATAAGGGTCGCGATATTCAGACATAACATGTAGTCTGTACCCATCGGATTGATTCTCATACGGTGTCCATAGATTCTTCATTTAGAGGTTCTGTTTCCATTTCCATATCTCTATCATCTGCTCCCGAAGCATACTTCAATCTCAGTTTCTCATAATGTAGCTGTTCTTTCGTCGACACTGACGGCTTGCATTTCGCGAGAGCAGTTCTAAAGTCTTCGAAAGTAACAAAAATGTCACCTTCCAGACTGCCACTCGCAATGTGGTTCGTCAATGTATTCGTAGCAGCAGCTCTCACCAACCCCGCCAAGTCTGCTCCTGTATATCCGTCCGTTATATTCGCAATAACTTTTAAATCTACGTCAGGTCCCAATTGCGGCTTTGTGCCATTTTTAGTAAGTTTTTGCAAGATATCAAAACGATCTTCACTGGCTGGCATTCCAACATACATGACACGGTCCAAACGACCGGGTCTCAGCACCGCCGGGTCAATGATATCCGGTCGATTTGAAGCTGCCAGCACGAAAACACCTTCCCGGCTCTCTATACCGTCCATTTCAGTTAGTAACTGGTTTACAACTCGAGCAGCGCCATTGTTATCTTGTGACGTACGACGTGGACATAGTGAGTCGAATTCGTCGAAAAATATGACACAAGGTGCTGAATTTCGCGCACGTCTAAAACACGTACGAACAGCTCTTTCACTCTCACCAACATACATGTTCAATAATTCGGGGCCCTTTACCGAAATAAAGTTGACGCCTGCTTCATTTGCGACAGCCTTTGCTAGTAACGTTTTACCACAACCAGGTGGCCCACAGAGTAATATACCACTGGGAGCTGATAATCCAAGTTTAGCTAGCTGATCAGGATATTTCACTGGGGCAAGAACCGCCAACTGGAGTTCTTTACGCACTTGATTTAAAGATCCAACATCATCCCATGTTACATCGGGTACAGTCACAATACCTTCTCTGACAGCACATGGTTTGGTAGTCTTAAGAGCTTTAACAAAATCTTCATGTCTGATTGCAAGACCACTTAGTTCTTCCCGAGTGTATGGCATGACCTCAAGGAGACTTAACACCTCATCAACAGGGTCCACTTTCTTAACAGGTTCAGCGACATGATTTTCAACTTCAGTGCTAGCAACTGGTTCAACTATTTCTTCAGGTACTTCTGGGATTATTGGTATTGTTGAAGGCTCGGGAACACTTTCAGGTGCATCACCTGCATTTTCAGCAATGACTTCACTTTCTTTGTCCCCATTTGGTATTACAGCTACATCATCATTAGCAGGAGACAACTGAACAGCAGGTTCTGCCTCTTTTTTAGCTTTAGATTCTTGAATTTCTTTAAATATTCTCTTCACAGCATAAGTGCTGGCCTTATTTACAAGTGCTTGTAAATCAGCCCCAACAAATCCAGGTGTTATTTGAGCTAAGACATTCATATTCACATCTTCACCTAGAGTAATATTCTTACAAAGAATAGAAATAATCTCTTTCCTAGCTTGTAATGACGGTATACCTAAAGTGATTTCCTGTTCAAGGCGTCCAGCCCTTCTAAGGGCAGGATCTAAGGCATCTGGATTGTTTGTAGCAGCAAGTATAAGAACGGACGCATTAGTATCAGTCAATGTATCTAAGGAAGCCAACAATTGGGCGACCATTCTCTTTTCCATATCTTTCTGTGCATGGATTCTATTACCACAAACTGCATCAATCTCATCAATAAATAACACACTCGGGGCAACAGATACTGCTCTCTCAAATAGATCTCTAATTCTCTCTTCGGATTCCCCAGACATTCCACCCACTAGTTGTGTTCCCGTAATGGCAACCATGGGCAATTGAAGTTTTCCTGCAATAGCATGAGCTAGCAAAGTCTTTCCAGTCCCCGGAGGCCCATGCAACAATGCACCTCTGGGAGCTTTTATACCTAATTGTGTGTACACCTCTGGGTGCTTCATATGTAATATTAAATCGCAGATCTGAGTGATGATTTCAGAAATGCCCCCTATGTCCTCAAAACTAACCTTAACAGTTTTGACATTTCCAATATCAAGCTTTTTCTTTGGTGGTCCATTTTTACTGGAATCAACTTTCCTTTTCTTATCATTTGCATGGTCATTTTGTTGAGCTTTATGCGCGCTTTCAGTCGCCGTGCTATTAGCGTTCCTGTTAGGTATGTGGGGGGTTATGGTAATTTGGTCATTGATTTTCGGTAGTTTCGGCGCTGTAGTGCCATCTTCGTCGCTGCTTAAAATATCTATAGGCTCGCCTGACTTGTCTGTGTTACGCCTGTTGTTTGTTGGACGTTTTTTATCCTGCATCTTGTACATGGCGAGCAGGCGGTCGTTCAACGCACTGTTGTTTTCGTCTAGGAGCTCTAAATCAGATTCTTCTTCTGACCCGTCGGATGTAGACGCGCCGTCAAGTCCGTAACTCTGCAATACGACTTTATAAGCACTTTCAACCATCTGACAGAAGGCGCTGTCGCTTCTGTTGTTGTACTCGCGGTAGCGCTCTTTCAATGAACGCGCCATTTGGCTAACATCGACGAAAGTCTTGTCGACATTCTCCGCGAGATAATTTTTCACACGTGAAACAATCACAGGATCATTTAAAGTCTTTTGCCTTGTTTGATGTTTCTTCATTTTGTACGAAAATAATAATTATATTAAATTTACTTCAGCGGATACTACTTCTCGTAAAAAGCAATGTTTGACAGCGGCGTCGTTGAATCGATGGAAAACTTGCCATATTAAAAATATATTGTTGCAGACATAAAGATGCCTATTCACGGAAATTAAAACAGATTCTAACGTGGTTTATTTTTACAGGGTCTAAATAAGCAAATAAATCTAAAAATAGAATCAACAACTGATAACGATCTGCGGAATAAATACCTTCAAATCTTTATGAAATTTACAACAATGGATAAAAAAATTAGTGAAAGGTAACCAAGCTTAACGATTTTTTTTTTGATAAAACGACTGTAATTTTTCATAAAAAGAGAATTTAATTTTTTTTTATTTTCAGGTGTTTAGAAAAAAATGATTGGAATTTTAAACTCGCCCTTGAGCATTTTACAAAACTATTGAAGAGCAACAATTTGGGATCATTAACACAGGAAGAACAAACTACTACCAACTAAAATAATGAATACAGAAGAACCAACTTATGAAGAAAAAGAAAAAAGAAATATTGTATTTTAAATAAAAGGCAATATAGTTGTACCTGCCGTTTATTTTATTTATTTACTTAGGAAATTAAACCGGTGTCTTAGTAGTCAAACCTTTAATATTTTTATTAATTTTTGTGAATATAAATTGATGACATTTTTAGTAAATTATTGCTAATATTCAAATATGAACCTCAAAAATGAACTTCAATTGTTCGTTTGCATTATAAGAAGTATCTAGAGTAATATAAACATTAGGTGCATCCTATATCTATGTCTGGCGGATGCGCCGCTCGTGTGTAGTTCGCAGGGAGCCCGCAAACGGCTCGCGAGCGGCAAATTCGCCAGTTGAGGACGCACGCTGAGGCTCTCACAATTAGCCTACTTTATATAACAATATTTCTATAAGAACTACACACAAATAGCCGATGAAGACATACAAATAATTGTATAATAAAACAATCGATATTACCAAAGAAATTTAATTACGACATAATAATACATAAATTTAACTACACTACACAATCATCTCAAGATGTCTAGCATATTCGATGATTTGGCCAGCGAGTTCAGGAGACGGGAGCGTTCCAGCGGCGGCGGCACACGTCTCTTCGGCAGCATTGAAATGATAGCAGTTGTCTGGGCCAAGAACCCAGTTGCGCTAGAAAAAGTAAAAATAAAATCATCAAAAAACTACATGAAATGTTACTTTGTCCTATAATAAAATTAATGAAACAAAATGCAAATCAGTCAAATATTCTTGTGTATCTAGTCTTCTTTCGATTTACAAAAAGACATTTGAACATAGCTATACCTTCTTGCCATATTCATGCACAGCTTGTTGAGATGGTAAATTCAGTCTGCGGGCAGCTTCAGCGCATGAAATGCAGAGGTATGCTTTCTCAATGCACGCAGCAATCTCCCCTCGGACAGTATCTAGGAGAGTGTCCATGAAAAGGGTGTAACTTTCGGCTGGTACATTGTCCTAAAATAAAACAAAATACCGTTAAAATTCTATCATGAGTTGGGCGTCCATGTTATAGTGAGAATGTATACAGTTATTATTAGTTAGAAAATTAGTAAATTATTCATATTAGATAATCAATGACAACAAGTTTCAACACACCTTAGCCAAAAATATCTTATTGTAGCTGCCTTCCATCAAATACTGTTCCAAAGCTAGCGGATGTCTAATGTAAGGGTCAGCCCTAATCACATCCACTGAAAGACGTTCCAACTCAGTATGGAACTCTGCAACACGGTTCTGAGAGAGCAGGAACAATAAATTGAGTCCCAGAAGCTGATACATAAATGCTGACTCGGGTAGATGGTCTCTGAAAGGTTGAGAAGGATATATGATAACTAATTGACTGTTAAAAACACCAATACCAATGTTCATGTAATGTGATAATGCAAGTTAACAGAAACTAAGGAGGCTCCAATTTGTCACGTATCTTTCATTTTCGTAGTTTACCAGTAGAACAAGCTGGCTTTAAATATAAACACCACAGTTAATTGCATTTTTCGAGTATTCTGTTAATACTAAGATTATTGATGTTTCATCTAAGTTGTGAATGTTATTGCACTTACTTGTAATCAAAATAGTAGCATTTCAGTTGAGACATGAATCGCTCGAATGCTTTCACATCCTTCGCAGCAACTGCCCATTGAGCACCAATTTCCAAAACATCACGAGCCAAAATCAACTCTTTCTGATTAGCGGCAGCATTGTTACTCGGTAGGAAAGTTAACTGTGTTAACGCTATCTGTAAAATTAAAAAAATTTCATAGTAAATTCTACAAAACTAATCCAAACAATGATAAATGTCAAGTCATCATTCGATACATACCTTTATTTTGTTCAGCAGCTCACCGCATTTGTCAAGTTTGCGTGGTTTCTTAGCCCACTCTGTTTTAAGATTTTGATATAATGTTGCAACGTCTTTTACTGAAGCCATGGTTTATTTTATTTTGTGATACGAAGAATTCGACTTCTACACCGATTGAGGTTGTTTTGCTAACTTGCGTTTAGAAGACTGGAACTGTAATTAACCTTTTTTTCTGATACGTAATACTAAAAACATGTACCAAACCAATAAATTAATTTTAAAAGTATTGAGTCAGTACTGCTATATATAAAATTGTTACTTTTTGTTTATTTTATACATTTACATTAAGTATCGTATTTCTTTTCAAATAATTTTATTTATTTCGTTTCGAACAATATTGTGCAAATCTTAGGTTTTGAACGGACCATCATGACATGTCAAAGTCGAATTATAAATGTTGCTAGCTACAATAATTAACAAGGGAGCGTTGTGGCGTGTCACTGTCCCATTTACGCCCGTTCGGATACACAGTTGAATTTCATTATATTATTGATTTTTTATCTGGCAATGAGTTTGTTTGGTCTGTTTGCATTGGCATGGCAATTATTAAGTTGAAAAAAAAACAATCTGACAGAATTTTCTGTGTGCGGAACGGAGATTTTTTTGCCGAGTTTAAAATTGCAATTAATTATGAGATTTATAGAAAGAAACAATTTCCGCGAGTGTCATGGCGAGTTATTAGTATATAAAATAAAATAATGATACGGTCGCACGATGTCGTCGCCCGTGGTGTGTCGTGAAATATTCGATGAAAACAGTCAACCATCGGCCGAGGGTTTGTACATTAAAATTTTATAAGTATTAAACATAAATATTGTTGTTTGAGCAATTAAATGTGATCTAATGTGTATATAAAATCTGTTTATAATTTTATACGCGTTCAATCTACTGATTCATTCCATTAATTATTGCTTACTATTGATCTAATTGAGTTCTGAGTTTTTGTCTTTTATATTCTAATTCATCCTCAAAAATGAGTAATTAAATTAGCTACATTTTTAATACTACAAGTCAACGTTTGGTGTACAAAACATTATTGATTTTTTGTACATACATAGTAATTCAAAATTCATTGGCTTCTGTATACCTACATTAATTAAAACACCTTTAAAATATTTGTAGAAATATCTGACTATGCTCAGCAACTGGGTATTGATCCTGAAAGTGAGAGTCATCTCCTGCCATTGGCCAAAGATGGACTTATGCAAGCACTACCACCTCCTTGGAAAGCCTAGTGAGTATAAAACCTTATTGGAAAAACATTTCTTATTAGAATCCCATTTGTAAATCACTTCTGTTATATTGTATCTGTATAAGCTTCATAATATTACTTTTTAAGTATGCTATGGTAAAGTAAAAATTAGAAAAATTCAAGAAAAGTATTATCAAGATTAGAAAAATAATTTAGCCAGTACTAATCAAGCCATAAATACGGTAAATAACAGTTGTTACCTTTTCCGGGTTGTTTAATAAGAGAATTTGTTGAAAAATAATGCTGTCCGTACAGTTACTGTGCACTGATAAACATCAGCCTTTCCTCTTAACCTCTTATCTGTTGAAACGCCGGCTCCCGGTATAAAACACATTATGGCCGCAACTCTCAACAGACAAGAGACTAAGAAGAAAGGACAAGTCTTGAACTTGCTCAGGGTGGGTTAGTGATTACAGACTTATGTTTTAGTTGAATGTTCAGGTTACCACACAGTTTTCAATTTACAATATGACAGTGCTGTCTATATAAACTTAGAAAATACATATAAATTGGAACACCTCATGTTCATATTTATCTAGTTCTATACCTGCACCTTCATATTTGAGAAGTCTTGAACTGGGTTTCTGGTCAGGTAAAAAATATAGGTTATAGTCTATTGAACTAGATTTTTATCAGGTAATAGTTTTACATATATAGGTAATAGTTTTACATATGAAAAATATTATATAGTTAGAAATCAAATCTTTATATGTTGATATATCGTACCAAAAATCCCCAAACTTTTGTCATACAGAAATAGTCTCTAAATATTGGAAATAAGGTCTAGTGCAGTGCAGTTAAGGAATTATATACATAAACATTTCTTAATTGTTACCACCACCGCAAAAACCGTACCGCCTTTATCAAAAATAAATTATTTCGACTGTTCAATACAATAAAATATTAAAAAAGCTAAATAACGTGACGTCACAATATACAATCTCGTACAAAATTCATAAAAAACTGTCGCTTTTGACAGTTCGAAAAAAATATTGAATATGACTAGTTGGCAAGTACCCAATAGGGTAGTTTCTTTATTATTATTTTAATGTCTTGTAGATTAATTTAAAACTTTAGACACGTATTTTTTCTTTTCTCACAAAATTAAATACTTTCGACGATATATTAATTTGAAATATCGTGTGACGTCACAGCGTGTCACAATTTGTAGCACGTTATGACGTAACGCCGTAAAAAATACGTGTCTAATATTTTTTCATTATCTAACTGAAGGACTAATTAGATTTTTAATTTTGATACTCTGGAAACTACCCAATTACTTAAAAACAGACTGACCACCATGCTTGAGAAAAAAAAAGGGTAGTTTTTTTTGGCAACGGTTAAAAAAGTGTTTTCTATTGTATTTGTACATATTATAACTTTCGTGAGACATACTAAATAAATTATTATGTTTTCGGCTTACTCACTTAATTATTTGACGAGGAACTCGACTAGTTTCAGCAGCTTTTTGCGACGCTGCGACGCGGCGACTGTCGCGAAATGCTACTTATGAATATGAGCCTCTAGCATGGCTTGAAACTAGTCGAGTTCCTCGTCAAATAATTATGCGAGTAAGCCGAAAACATAATAATTTGTTTTCAAGCGGTTAATGTAAGTCCAGTCCAGGGATGGAACAGTTCATTATAAGATAGTAATATAATGTATTTCCTCAACAGTTATGACGACAAGATACAATCGCACTACTACTACAATGAAGACACGAAGAGAACACAATGGGAGCATCCACTCGACAATGTGTACAGGGAACTGGTGAAGAAAGCAAGGGATGCGTCCATGCAAGATGATACGTGCGCTTCAGTTCAGGTAGGATTTTGTACCTGTAGTTTATTTGCTGGTTTTTTTTAAGGGGGTAAATCATCGAATGACTACTCCCGCCTGGGTGAGGCGGGAGGGAGTGTCAGACTCTTACTGACTAAAAACCACCCCGTTCCTTCTCCTGCACGTCGAGCCGGAGCCCCGGTAACCCGTTAGGTTCTCCGCGACTTATTTGCTGGTTATGCTGTTGTTTTTTTAACTTAGGGCGACAAATGAGTAGTCGGGTCACCTGATGGTAAGCAATCGACGCTGCCCATGAACACAAAGTGCGCGTACAACATTTTGGGGTTTGAGAATATGAGTATTAGGGATTGAGCCTCTATTTTTTTTTTTAGTATTATCTGTATCATCAGTCGCATGACAAAACATAACGCACGCGTAGTTTCTGTTGGTTTTTTATGAGGATTTTTACATAACATAATATCACGCCTTTTTATCCCCGAAAGGGTAGGCAGAGTTGCACATTACGGCATTTAATACCAATGTACAATGTAATGTAACACCCACTTTTCAATATTTACGTTACGAGTCCCATGTAATAGGGGGTGAGCCTATTGCCATATAAAGTGCACAATTCCAGACTCCGTCTTGCTACTGAGATTTTTTTTTTAAAACCAGTAATACTTACACGGCAGTCGCACTTGCGACCACTTGGTCAACGAGGCAGTCATTTTTGTATTTATTTTATTATACTGGCTGAGCATTTTGTTCTAAAAAAAAACTTTAAACATAGTAACAAAAGCACACAACTTAACTTATATAGTACATATTAGGTAACAAAAAACTTGACAAAAGGTTTGAAGACTTGATGCCCCTAATCCAAAACTCAGCCTATCTTGTATACTATTATATAAAGCGGAAGAGTTTGTTTTTTTTGTTTGTTTGTTTGAACGCGCTAATCTCTGTAACTACAAGTCTGATTTGAATAATTCTTTTTGTGTCGGATAGCGCATTTATCGAGGATGGCTATAGGCTATAAAACATCACGCTACGACCAATAGGAGCTGAGCAGAGCGTGTGAAACCGCGCGGAAGTAGCTAGTATTAGATATAAGCTAACCTCCTACTAAGAGCTAAAGCTAGTAAAATATTAATGGTGGTTTCATCGCGTGCGTAAACACACTATTAGACTTATACCGAATTTATAGTACATAGCCGTAGTCAGCACACTAATCAAGTTGTTAATTAGTTTATGTACTTACGTAGCTAATCAAGGTGCGTCACTAAGGGCTTTTACATACACTAGACTATTTAATTAGGGGGCATGACTGTGTAAAGATTTTTATGGCTATTTTTTAGTAGTCTTCGTTGTTCAAATGCTAGACAAGTTTTATGGCATAAGCCGGTAAACGAGCACACGGATCACCTGATGGTAAGCAATCGGTGTCGCCCATGGACACCTGGAACACCAGAGGCGTTACAAGTGCGTCACCGGCTTTTTTGGGATTAGGAGTTAGAGGATCGTTGGGGATTCAGGGATTGGGGAGATTGGGGAAGGAGAAGGTAATTGGGCCTCCGGTAACCTCACTCACACGACGAAAAAAAAAGGCAAGCATTGCTTCACGTCGGTTTTCTGTGAGGCCGTGGTATCACTCCGGTCGAGCCGGTCCATTCGTGCCGAAGCATGGCTCTCCCACACTTAGCATGGCTCTCCCAGTTTGGTTTTTCACTTCATTAAATGTTTAGTACTAATAGAATTTGTTTATTTTATTTATCATGTTAGTAGCTTCTGCCCGCGACTTCGTACGTGCAATCCCGTTTTCTCCCGTTCCCGTAGGATTTTCAGGATTTTTTTAAGTCATAAGAACCTATTTCTAATAATAACAAATCAACAAAAAAAGAATTAGTGAAATCGGTTCAGTGATGCCGTGACCAAGGAAAAAGGAATTCATTTTTATATACATACACAGATGTACACCAGCACCCGAAGGGGTTGGCAGAGGAGCACATTATGCCAATGTACAATGTGACACTATTTATGTTATGAGTCCCATGTAATAGGGGTGAGCCTATTGCCATATACCGGGCACTATTCCAGACTCCGTTCTACTACGAGAAATTTAAAAAAAACGAATAATACTTTGCCAGACTCCTTGCCCGGCAGTGGCACTTACGACCATTCGGCCAACGAGGCAGTCGTTTATTTAATCAACATTATTAACTTATCTACACAACTTTTGAAAAGTGAAACCCGCCTGCTACCTATATCATACTCTGGCTTAACCCCTGAGCAAAAGTATAAGTAGGTGTCAGGTACCTGACTTTATATTATGAAATTAATTAAATTAGTTGTTCATTCGCCCGTGTGTAGAAGCCCAACCACTCGCGCGTGTACCCGTATAATTGTGCGTGGGCTTGAGTAAATAGACGATAATTGCCTCTCTTTATTTACGACCCTAATACCTCAGCCAATATTTTAAATACTCAAGGTAATATTTGTAGGTTTTCGCAAAGCTTCTTTGTTTGGTTAGGAACTTGGTAAAAGAATTTAATGAAATATTGAGCGTACCGGCTTTTTGTTGGAAATGTTGGTTCCAAAGAGATTAATGCGTACATAAAACTCGTGTATGGTATTTAGCAGTTAGTAGTAGGTACTTTGGTACATCCACCATATGAGAAATTACTAAGTACGGCTGAAGTTTTACTGTCTTCTCTTTTCAAAGAAAAAAAACAACTGTTGTAAGCGATAAATAGCTTCTACTAACACTGTTATTAGTCTAACTAAAGGTTTCGCTATCGAAAATTCTAATAATTACAATCCAAGTGTGGGAGAGCCATATTTCAGGGAGTGACACAGCCTCACAGAAAACCGACGTGAAACAACGCTTGCGTTGTGTTTCGTCGTGTGAGTGAGGTTACCGGAGGCCCAATTACCCCCTCCCTAGGCTCCCGAATCCCCGAATTCTCCACAATCCTCAAATTCTCAATTCCCAAAAGGCTGGTAACGTCTTTGTAACGCCTTGGAGTTTCGGGTGTCCATGGGCGACGCCGATTGCTTACCATCAGGTGATCCGTCTGCTCGTTTATGCTATAAAAAAAACATCCTTTTGCCTCTGATTCTTTCTGCGATCCAGTAAATTCCCGACTATATTCAAAACAAATACTGTTCCTTTAGCTAAAATTAATTTCCGTACTATCACGTTCATCAATCGAAATGTACCAACAAACATAAGTAAATATCTACTATGGCTTATCGATTTCTACATCAAGACTTGTCGCCAGTCGCTACCGTTGCATGTCCAAGGTTGTCAGTTCACACCAGTACTCCATGATGTCTTTACGACGCAATATTTATGTAAAGAATCATTTTCATTGAACTTATCGGACGTGGCTTTTAGTCTGTGATGTGTGCGTCAACCCTATGTGTTGTGAAGTGTTACCTATGTTTGTGTGTGTTTATTCTTGTCGTGTGATTTGCATTTGTTTTTTGACACGTAGTTAAGGAAGCTCTTGTCGGTATGTCGCCTAGCATATTAACTGAGACTTGAATGGCTTTGGTTAGTTAAAATATGATGTAAACAGAAGATACGTATCTATCGAATTGATTTAAGTTTTGTTTTTGTTTGCAGTATTGAACATAACTCATGTGTTGTTGTTTGTAGGTACTGACTTTCAAAGTAATTGATCGTTTGATCGCACATAACTTATGAGCAAAGTTGGAGGATTTAAACAAATGAACATTTACAGCTTGATCAAATATAGAGGTATAGTAACTATGAAATAATCTCGGGTTCGATTCCCGGGTCGGCAAAGTATTACTGTTTGTTTTTTAATTTCTTAGTTACCTACTAGTACGGAGTCTGGAATTGTGCCTGGTAAATGGCAATAAGCTCACCCCTTATTACATGGGACTCATAACATAAACAGTGAAAAGTGGGTGTTACATTGTACAGTACCATGAAGTGTCGTAATATGCACCTGTGCATACCCCTTCGGAGACAAAAGGCGTGATGTTATAAAAAAATTAATTGTAGTTTGAATTCTTTAATTTTTACACAGGAACTCCTAACGTCGGAGGAGAACACGAAAAACTTAGAGCGCGTCGAAACAAAGGTCGAAAGCGATGAAGAACTAAGTACGGACAGCGAGAACCATGCGTCCGACGTCAGAGAAAACCCAACGCTTACTGGACCTCGACGCTTAACACCATTGGGCAGACCCCCACCATCACCTCTAACCAGGCTCGACAAGAAACTCTCAGACACGCGAATATCACCCCTAAGACGCAGCGTTGATGGTGCACTTTCCGGCAAACCAAATCTCATGAGAAACACTTCTGATAGGGATTTGCTCAGTCGTTCTACGTTCGGAGCCGAAAGACCAAAGTTGTTATTTAAACAGCAGTCTGAGATTATTGATCTGAAGATGCATGTTCTGAATAGCCCTGAGGAAGAGAACTTCAGTCCGTTGTTGATGGGTTCCAAAGTTGATCGAGGATTGCCTTTAACAGGTAAATAATTATATTTTGCTAAGGAACTTAAGTCTTATTTATTTCATTCATAAATTTTCAACTATTACTAAAGAGTAAGATTAGAAATCTTGAAACTTATTTCGACTTAAGCCGTATACACTAGGAGATTATTATCACACGAGATGTCACGAAGCCTGCCGATTTCGCCCGACATATTATAAGACTACAACGCGCGCATTATGGGCCAAAACACATGACAGCGTTGCAGCGCCGCGCTGCTAGAACCGACAGTAGCGTCACTGCCGATTTAAGCGGTGCGGTGCCGCAACGCAGCGCTCGTTCCAGCATAGCAGAGTAATGTCTCCTTAATAACATATAAGCAATAAGTTTTTCACGATGGTCCATGGCTGAGACACGTCTATCCGCCTATAGCCGATTTTAGCGTTGCGGCGACGCAACGCGGTTATGTGTTTCGGCCCTATGTCCACAACTACGTTGATATTGCCAGAACTGTAGACCAAAGTCCGGCAACGTCACACTACTTCACCCATCGTTGCTGGCGACACGTGCCGCAGGACATTCTGTCCCCTAGTCTATGTAACCTTGGCTTTAGCTACCGATTTTTATCGCTTAGTACGTCGGGATTGCCGGGAGAAAGGAAGTTAATGTAATAATATTGTCATCTTGGTGCAAATGTACATTTGTATATTAAATTGTATTTTTGCGCTTTGCCGTTTTATTGAGCTTATCAAATCATGCCTCCAGATTCAGAGAAGCTGTAATTTAATAACTAACTTCAAAAAGGAGCGAGTTCTGAATTCGAATGTATTTTTCCAGGAAAGGGCAGCATGTTTCTCAAAGTATCAAAGTCAGACCTCCCGAGTCCAGACACAGATAAATCGTTACCAATAGACTCGGTTACTAAGAGTGATCCGCCTAAAGGTATACTTCGGGAGAAAATGACGGACCCTTTCTATAAGAAGGTGGATAATATGTTCTTGGGGAGACAGAAGCAGCCGGTCAGTTTTGAAGAAGATCGTAAGAGTGTCAGGTAAGAATGCCAAAGAATTTAAAGCCAATATTTGCCTAAATATGATTTGTGAAGTTTTTGGTGGTTAAAGGTAAACAGATTCTTAAAGTTTGTAAGGTTAGGGGCCAGGGTGGTATGTTCTCACTCTTTACAAAATGGATAGAGCCTCCTAAGTGGCCAAGTTGGTCCAAGGTTACTTTACAAAAACAAAGTGTCTCATGTCATCACATTAATAACTAATTATAAAATACCGGTTTTTTTATTTATTTATTTAAGACATCAATGGTCCATTATATTTTTCCCCTGTGTGTTTGAGTTTAAAATATTATTTAGATTACATTATTCTTTTTCTTATATAATACGCATTAAATATTGACATCTAATAAAACAATCCCCTTACAGATTCAAACTCGAAAACCTACCAGAGCCAACAGTCAGTCCGGGATCGAACAGTTCATCAGAGCAAAACGATGGGCAAAGCTCAATTATTTCAGCCCCACCACACCCAGCAATACCATCACCAATCATCCCGTCATCACCACTATCACCATCACCATTCGTTTCGTCATCACCGGTGATATCACCATCTCAAGTGCCGCTAAACCAGATTGTGTTGACCCCTCTATCGACACGACCGCCTTTGCCGCCGAGGCCTAATGAGAGTCCAAGGGAAACGAAGAGCTTGTCCGGTTCTGAAAGGGATTCTGTTGGTGAGTTTTTTTATTTATTTATCAAGGACAACAGCAGTATATTAAATATAACACGAATGAATAAAAAAATTGGTTTAACAAATGCACTCCTAACGACTTTGTCACAGATTACCATAAATCTACTTAGCAATAACAAGGGGGGCAAACTTAACGCCAACCAACTATACAAACATAAGATAAATTAAAATTACAGAATAGGGTAGACGACTATTTTTATTTTAATGTCCGTCTGGTAGATTATTTAAAAACATTAGACACGTATTTTTTATTTTCTCACAGAAACGAATAGTTTCGAAGATATATTGATTTGAAATGTCGCGTGACGTCACTTCTCAGTACATTTTATACTAAGAAATGACGTTTTAGCCCCCACTCCTAAACTTTGATTCGTTTTATCTAAGTATTGTTTTATTATACGACAAAATAAAAAAATACGTGTCTAATATTTTTTCATTACCTAACTTACGGACTAATTATATTTTTAATTTTCATACCCTGTCATCATCCCCATTACTTGGGATTACAACGGTTGTTACACAGACTATATATTTTATTGTGCACTATATGAAATGTAAAACCAAGGTACCGTGTAAATAAAAAACAAAGTGGTAAAGAGCTGAGTAAGCAAATAGACATAAAATTTTTGCTTTTTATTATATAGTTTTCTTTCAACATTAGTTTCATATTCTTCTTCTTCTTCTTCTTTAAATATACTAATAGAATTTGTTCTTTACAATTCACCACCAAATCTTAATATTCTGTAACGTAAGTTACTGATCTCGGGGTCGCGAAAGTATTGTTTAGACTGTATTTCAGGAATTTAAAAAAAGAACTGACTCTCACTGAAATACTCACACGCCACTCAATTTGAAGTCGCCCTAAATTATAGTTCTGTCACTACAAATCTTATATCTTATACTATTATACTATTATCTATATAAAGCGGAAGAGATTGTTTTTTGTTTGTTTGTTTGTTTGTTTGTTTAAACGCGCTAATCTCCGTAACTACAAGTCTGATTTGAATAATTCTTTTTGTGTTGGATAGCGCATTTATCGAGGATGGCTATAGGCTATGAAACATCACGCTACGACCAATAGGAGCTGAGCAGAGTGTGTGAAATCGCGCAGAAGTAGCTAGTTCTTTATAAAATGACAGAGATGGCACGATATTTAAGTACAATTGAGTAGCCTTTCAGTATTTGGGCGTCTGGTTAGCAAATCTAGACTTTACTGCTTGGAAAATAGTACTATTAAATTGTTACTATTAATCCATTATCTACCTCAACATTACACTAAGTCATGAAATCACAAATTACTTGAATATAAGCAGACATAGGAATAAAACATTATGTTTTAGTTTACCTTGAATGTCGACTGCAATTTTGATATAACAGTGGCATGCTATCTAAACAGGTTTACGACTGTCTGACATTCAATTGTCTGATGGGTATGATCGATATCACATAAACAATTAAACTGTATAATCGAAGCATGCGATGTATTAATACAAAGTAAATTGATTTAAAGGTTTGCGTTGAGTATAAAATGAAATAAAACCTTGTCACATAAAATAGGGTAGTTTCCTAAATTTTATTCTAATGTCCGTCAGGTAGATTATTTTAAAACATTAGACACGTATTTTTTTCTCACGAAATTAAATGCTTTTGACGATATATTGATTTGAAATGTCGCGTGACGTCACAGCGTGGTACAACATGTACACAACAAAATGTACCACGTTGTGACGTAACTACCCCCTCCTAAACTTAACGCCATTTTATTTAAGTATTGTAACTTTATACGAGAAAATAAAAAAGTATGTGTATTGTTCGGCGCTGTGATTGGCCGGTGCCAATGAACCAACCAATCAAAGCGCCGAACGCGTTCTCGTTTCGATTACTTTTAACGTAAAACTAACTCGTACTAAGCCCTCAGTATATTTACCGTGAGTACACCGATATTGTTAAATAATTTTGTAAGTCTCACGATAGTTATAAAAATATGACCTTGAGAATAATATTTATAATCCTGTGTACTTTAATTCTATCTTTTCCTTACCTAGATCCTGGCTCCCCTAAACTCCCAAGTCCTCCTGATGTAACTTTATCATCCATTCCTGTGCCAAAGAACCCAAGGTTCCTAACTCCATTGGTACCTAGACCTGATCCCCTACCAATGTTGAATAAACAGAAAGGTTTTATTGATGCAAGTGATTCTGATGGTAATTGTGATGCAAGGTTCAGTTTTTAACAATAGAAATAGTAGCTAGCTAGTAGGACTATCAAGACTAGTAATTCAGATGTGTACTTAAACCTTTAACACGTTGAACGCCATGGGGGTCATCGGTGAGCGGCGTTAGCGGAGGATTTACCTTCAACAGTTATTGGCAGTCAAAGTCTTAACTGCCAATAGAAAACTTTTTATGGGAATAATCGGTAAACGAGCAGGCGGATCACCTGATGGTAAGCAATCGGTACCGCCCATGGACACCTGGAACACCAGACGTTACAAGTGCGTTACTGGCCTTTTGGGTTTAGGAATTTGAGGATTGTTGGGGATTCACGGATTGGAAAGGGGGGAGGGGTAATAGGGCCTCCTTAAAAGCAAATCCTTCACTAGGCGTCGGTCGTCGGTGACCGCAATGGCGTTTAATGTGTTAATGAAGGCTATTCTTGCGTTATGATACTACTGATACTGCATTTAAACATTGGAGCCATCTTTGAAGTTTTAGCGTAAAGCATTTGGGATGAATAATTGCCTTACGTTGTCTAGCGTATTGACCTATTTAAGAGGAACTATACCCTAAATAATATTTCTTAAAGAATAGCGATGGAGGTTTTTACCCGTTCTTCTCTATACGTTTTAGAAGTAATAGTTATCTTATTATACAACAAATTAAGCGCCAATTCATGTATCTTAACATCAATGACTATGTATCCTTCCAGACAGCGAAAGCCACGCCCGCGGTACTTCACCTCGCCGCCGTGTTCTCAGACCACCGCCCGGGGATTACATCAAGCCAGATCTATTTCAGAAGAATTTCCAAAAAATATCTGATTTAGTCAGACCGGGAGACATAGATACATTGCCTGTTAGTCTGGAGGAACCGGGGCAGTCCGAAAAAGAAACTAGGCCTAGGTATGTGTAGTAACTATTTGGTTCATTTTTGCTTGATAAATTATAGATTTTTTTTAAGTGTAACAGAATTTCCGTGGTGCTTGGCGACTGAGCTTCACCCAGATGTACAGTCTCTTCTTTGTGCCTTTAGGCTTAATTCATTCTGTCTCCTGCAGTAATTCACCGAGGGAAGTAGCAACCATAGTTTTTTCTTCTTCTCCTCTTATAATATCTTCTGATTCACTTCGTTGCGGGAACCAAGACAGTTACTCATGTCCTTGGGACGCGCCGGACTTCAGTGTTCCGGTGTTTACATGGTTGTATCTACTGTAGATCCTGTCTTACAGGAGTTGCAGCGGTTTTGAGAGGATGTGGCGGGGTCGTCCCTCAAAAAAAAAAGTATAACATAGGGATTCACTTTAGCTGTGATTTTGAAACTAGTTTTCTAGCATTTGTGTCATGTTTTGTATGTTATTTGAACATAAAAACAGCAAGGCAGCAACATATCAAGCTGCCAGAAACCAACTTTACTATGACATAATACTTTTGTAATAGCTTGACCTATAACCCTCTACACCTGCTTTAATTTAGTCCAGACCTCAAAAGATGTTTAACATAATTTTAATGTGCGTTTACAGATCACCAATGATACCTCAAAAAAGCAAAATTTCAATTAACCTAATGGAGAGTATAGAATCTGAAACGTCAATAGATTCTCCAGACAGGGAATTTGCTAATTTAGACCTTAATGACTTAGACGAATCTAACGAAAATCAAAAGAATAGCAACGAAAAAGAAATAGAAAAAGATTTAACAAAATCCGAAGAGATTTCTGAGAAGAAATCTATCAGTTCAGATAAAAGGTCGATAAGTTCAGATAAAAAGTCAATAAGCTTAGAGAGAAATCGTTCAAACGAAAACATACAGATACCTCAAATCAAAGTTCCTATATTAGACTTTTCGAAAGCCATCCCATCAGATTCTGATGACTCCAAAAAGAGTTCCATTCGCGAAGAAGATTCCAAATCAAAATCTCACGAACTTTCTAATATAAAGTCGCCTCAAGTAAAAGTATCACCAACACCGAGTTTGGGGTCAGAAATGAGATCTCCAAGACTGGATTACTCCAAACCTTGGAGTCCATTATCAACCTTCAAACCACTGAACAAATCAGTTCTATCACCACAGATTAAAACGTCAGATTCCGCATCAAGTCTTGGAAAAGGTTTAACAAGTCCTAGGTTAGACGGAGTCATACTATCTCAAGGAAAGTCCAGTTCAGACAATGTAGTAGTGGTATACCAATTTGAGACTCAAGAGGAATCATTCCCAAAGCCTATAAAGTCCCCCTTAATTCCTGATATGGGAACAAGAGATTTAATAGAGAGGAACAAAGCAGATGAGAGGAGAAGACTGGAGTTAGCTTTACAGAAGGAGTTGGAGAGTATTAGACTAGAGTGGTCGGTTAGGGAGAGGAAGTTAAGAGGAGAGTTGTTAGAGGAGTTAAGGGAGGCAGAAGATAGGTTTTTAGCGGAGAAGAGAATGAGATTGAGTGAGCAGGCCGAGAGACATAAGAGGGAGATGGATGAGGTAAGATTTTGACTTTAATTTTACTACATATCCAGTGCTCAACATAGGCCTTTTGTTAAGGGAGTTTAGTATAAACCCCACGCTTGCTAATTTTATTCAGGATCACTGAAACTATTGAAAATGTTACTCCCCATTTATTAAGCGACTGATCACGGTCGAAATTATGCATAAATAATACATACATAACTTACGCCTGTGTCCCATCAGAGTAGGCAGAGACTATGGGGCGCCAATTGCTACGATTCTACGGTTCTATATATAATAGTCATAAAATTATCCTTTATTCTAGGCCCTAACATCAGCAGAACAAACACACAGACAAACCCTAGAACAAGCTACGTTAGAACTGGAAGAACGCAACCAGCAGGACATGGAATTAGCAGAGAGGAGACATTTAGACAATATGAACAAGATACACCAACAGTATCGAGACAAACTCATCGAACAACAACGACAGTTGGAGATAGGTAACACATAGTTTATAGTCTACTTTATTTAGTTCTTGAATGTCTTCAAATTCTGTCTTAGGGTCCGGTCCACAATGTCTGATTAAGTTGCTGTTACCTTAACTGATACAAATATCATTTAATAATTTGTATTGCATCAAATCCATCTTGTAATTTTAAATTATAGGTGATATTTAATATACAAGATCTTTAAAGGTAAGTAATACATTATGTTTTGTCAATTGACATACAAATTATTAGGGAAAAACAATGCAAGTAAATTAATATATCCTTCTTTTATAAGTTAATTACAATGTGAAATCTCTATCTTCATAATTAAATTCATTTCATGTATTATCTAAGTTGAGTCATAATATTAATGTCAAGCTTTATAAGTAAAATGTAAAAAAAAAAATATATTTCAATAAATACCAATAGAAACTTAACTAGACAGCGAAATATGCCCTTAGTCTTCTCACCTTTATCACAAGCTGTTTCGCATTGGTTCCAAAAGTTGTCTGGACTACGAACTATCTAAATCAAGTTCTCAAACTCAGGAATTAAACCGTTACCATTAAAAAACAAAATACAGAACGTTTGCTTTGTATGTTTTTCTATAGACAAGGCTCACTAAAAATTTACTGGTGACCCACCAATATCGCGACCCATAAGATTGAGAAACCCTGGTTAAGAGTCAACGCAAAATTATTATTTTACGGTTAGGCATGCATGCAGTTTTGTCCGATGTTCTATTTTTCATTCTGTGTGTTGTTAAAAATCAATAAAATTGAATAATTTTTGATATGTCTGAAATGATAATAATGGTAACTTATTACTTTTACAGAAAACGAACGCGCCCTATGTGAGTTGCGGGAGCAATTACAAGCGAATCTGAGCAAGGAGCGCGCGCGTATGATAGATGAGAACAGAGCTACTATTGAAGCGCTTAGAGAAGAACATACTACTCGAGTTACAGATCTGAGGCACGATTATAGAGCTGAGGTATGTATTTGTTTATAGAGTTTCATAATTCATTTCTTTCTACTTGAACTTAATTTGAAAGTCTCATATTGTGTGAACTATGATGTTTAATGTGTTAAATATATTTTTCATCAAACTCGAAATAGTATTTGTTATAAGTGAAAGAGACATACATGAACTATTAGATTACTTCTATACTTTTAACTTTAATCTATATTTTTAAATGAATGTTGTATACATATGTATATGACATAATATATCGAGCTGTCTCCAATAGCAAGCTTAAAATAGGAAATGTTTAATGTTAATGATATTATAAATAATAAAAAGAGGTAGATATCGCACTGGCACGCAAAAACTGTTGCGAACGAATTCAGACAATTGTCGTAATTTGTAAATAGCTATCTCTTTCTGTACCATACTTTCCGTATTATCTGTCGCACGTAGTTGAAAATGACATTTAAGTACATCTATACTTATAATAAATCTGTAGAGAGGTCAATTCTGTACATAAAATATATTTAAAAAATAACTATCAAGGGGTGATTAGGGATCGCTACTGATGCCAAAAATGCAATCAGTAAAATTTTTGTCTGTCTGTCTGTCTGTATGTATGTTCGTTATGGAAACAAAAACTACTCGATGGATTTTAACGAAATTTGGCACAATTATTCTTCATACTCTTGGGCAGGTTATATTATACTTTTCATTACGCTACAATCAATAGGAGCAGAGTAGTGAAGGGAAATAATGGGAAAACGGGAGAAGTTACTCCATTTTTTAAGCTTCCGTCGCGTGTGCAGGCTTATAAGTTAAAGCTGCATAGAAATCATGTATGACGGAAATATTCTCCTTAAAATTATATAAAAAATGTTCCTCGACAGCATATGTCTATCTTTTATGGTTGACTCACAACACGTGAAACTCCCGATAGCTTAGCAATTCGGTGATTTCTGATTGTATTTGTCTACTCTAACGTTTACAATACTGATTCATAGACTTTACGCTGTAACTGAAAGGCCAATGATTGAAATTAGCTTGACTCGATATTAAAAATGAAAATATGTGAGTTTATGTGTATGTTTGTTACTCAATCATATTAAAACGACTGAAGGGACCGGTATGAAATTCGGAACAGAGGTAGATTATGGTCTGAAGTGATACATAGGCATTTTACCCCTGGGATCGCGGGCGAAGCCGCTGGCAGAAACTAGTTTGTAATAAGAACGCAACAATTTTTGGACGCCGCTTAGTATGAACGTAGCGTATCTTCTTTATAATATCATTGTTTAATGTACTATTGAAGAAAAATTACTAATTGTCTTTGGTACACGGAGATTCGGCGGTCCTATTGAAGAATAATACAATTATTATTGCCAGTACTTCAATCAAATAATACCGATTTTATGTATCATATTCATCGTATATAGTCGGCCCGGAGGTTTAAGACGTCCGCTTCTCATGCATGAGGGCACCCTTATGCATGAGAAGGTTTCGAAACCTACCAACGGCAAGTACCAATGTGACTTTTTCCGAGTTATATGTATTTTCTAAGATTATGTAGAGACCACTGACAACCAGTGAAGGAATCATCGTGAAACATCGTGAGGAAACCTGGGCTTATAATATCTAATTATAAGTCTGTAATCGCCAACCCGCATTGAGCAAGCGTGGTGATTAATGCTCAAACCTTCTCCTTGTGAGAAGAGGCTTTGCTCAGCAGTGGGCACTTATAGGCTGTTTTTTTTATGGCATAAGCCGGTAAACGAGCAGACGGAATACCTGATGGTAAGCAATCGGCGTCGCCCATGGACACCTGGAACACCAGAAGCGTTACAAGTGCGTTACCGGCTTTTTGGGGATTAGGAGTTTGAGGATCGTTGGGGATTCAGGGATTGGGGAGATTGGGGAAGGGGAGGGTAATTGGGCCTCCGGTAACCTAACTCACACGACGAAACACAACGCAAGCGTTGTTTCACGTCGGTTTTCTGTGAGGCCGTGGTATCACTCCGGTCGAGCCGGCCCATTCGTGCCGAAGCATGGCTCTCCCACACATTGTTGATGATGAAGTATCATATTTTTTATTACAGATCGAGCGTCTCCGAACCCAACACGCGTGTCACGTAGAAGAAGTCCGCGCCCGCCTCGCCAGCGAGCGCGCCGCCGGCCCGCGCCTGCACGAGAGGACGCTGCAGGACAAGTACAAGTGTCTCAAGGAGAAATATGTACGGCTCAAACATGACGTTAAGGTATGGTTACATGTCATTAAATTGATTGCCCATTTATCTAAATTAACTACCCCGATGGGAGATAAGTATGTACATATGTCCGTAAGTTACTGCAGGGTGCCATCTGAAAAGCGTTGGGCAGGAATGCTCGACTATATGCTGAGGTGGAGGCCCTTTTGGCATGAGCACGCGCACTTTAATATTTTGGTTTTTTTTTGTATATTTAATTTCTATCATTATCATATTGTACATTATTTTGTTATACTGTGATGTTTTTTGTTCTTTTCTCTACTCTTTTAAATTTATTATCAATGTTTTGTTTATGTAAGTATCTGTATTTTTATTTTTTATAATCTTTGTTTTGTGTGCTAATTGCCAAATAAAATTTTTCATTCCTTTTTTTATGTAATTATGATTTACGGCTTACTCAAACTGTTTGACGAAGTACCTCGACTAGTTTCAAGCTACGTTAGGGTCTCATGTCAAAAGCAAAATTGCACGAGGATCGACACGGTGAGCGTCCCACGGCTAGATAAGTTAATAATCCGTAAAACATAATAATTAATTTGATGTGTAACGAAAATTATCTAGATAAATGTAAAAACGACCTTATATTTATTATATTGAAGTTAGATTTTTGTTTGTTCCAGATGTCAATAGAGCGTCGCAACAAAAGACGTGAGATGAGTATGACTACAGGTTCCGAGACTGAGAAATCTAACTCGCACAAAGCCAACCAATCTTTGGAAAGGTACTATATTAAATACTGGTTTCTGCCACTTTTCAAAGTCAAGTCAAAGTCAAAGTCAAAATCATTTATTTCAATTAGACCAGGAAGGCACTTTTAACGGTAAAAACAAAATATTTAAATAACAAATAATAAGAAAAAATGACAGTCTGTAGGTCAGTCCTCTAGTGAAGCTATTTGCTCGTTCCAAAGTGTCTGACACCAGAAATAAACCTACTTATTAGTCCAGACTAGGAAATCTATCTCTGTCAGATCTTATTTAGACTCGTTTCGTAGCATTTGCTCAAATGAGGAACAAGTATACTGCTTATTTATTAACCCTTTGAGTAAGTCGCGGAGAACCTAACAGGTTACCGGGGCTCCGGCTCGACGTGCAGGAGAAGGACAGGGGTGGCTTTTAGTCAGTAAGAGTCTGACACTCCCTCCCGCCTCACCCAGGCGGGAGCAGTCAATCGATGATTTTCCCCCTTAAAGAAAACCCTTTGAGTACCGTCATTATAGACACAATTAAAGAACCGGTGTCCCCTTGTATTTGACAGTTTAAAAACTAGCTTCTGCCTGCGATTTCGTACGCGCAATCCCGTTTTCTCCCGTTCCCATAAAATTTTCAGGATTTTATTTCTATCATAAGAACCTTCTCATGACAATAACAAACACAACAAAAAAAAAATCAACCAAATCGGTCCAGCCATTCTCAAGTTATGGCGTGACAACAGGAAAAGGGTTTTATTTTTATATAATACTAGCGGACCCAACAGACGTTGTCCTGCATATCCACTTGAATGTATAAACAAAAATTCATTCAAATTAGTTCAGCTGTTTAGGATAAATAACCTAAACATCGACGGCAGCGCCATCTGCCGGGCTGATTTGTGAATCTAAACCATTCCCCTTAAACACACACAAAAAATTTCATCAAAATCGGTCCAGTCGTTTGAGAGAAGTTCAGTGACATACACACTCACAGAAGAATTATATATATTATAAAGACTAGCGACCCGCCCCGGCTTCGCACGGGTGCAATATGCATATATTATACAAATAAACATTCCTCTTGAATCATTCTATCTGTTAAAAAAACACATCAAAATCCGTTGCGTAGTTTCAAAGATAAGCATACGAAGGGACAGAGAAAGCGACTTTGTTTTATACTATGTAGTGAAATAGATGTTATGTTATGTAAAAAATTTTAATTCTACAGATGTAAAGAAGTAAACGAGACCTCGGTGAGCGCGGTACTGGAGCCAGAACCTCGAGCTCGTATCAACAACAACCCAAGCGTAAAATACAATGACAATGAAACTTCGTACTCAGAGAGTAATGCACATAAACCGATAGACAATAACAATGAAGACTGGAAACTTAGGAGGGATAACGTAAGTACAATATGTTTTCATTCCCTTCGTGATTATCATAACAGATTATACACCTAAACCTTGCTAAGTCGCGGAGAACCTAACGGGTAACCGGGGCTCCGGCTCGACGTGCAGGAGAAGGAACGGGGTGGTTTTTAGTCAGTAAGAGTCTGACACTCCCTCTCGCCAACCCATGCAGGAGCAGTCATTCGATGATTTTCCCCCCTTGGAAAAAAAGCCTTGCTTAAACATTACGCTATCTATTGGTAAAAACTATAAAAATCCGTCGAGTAGTTTTTTAGTTTATCACGTTCACACTGACAAACAGGCGCGAAAATGGACTTGTTTTTATAAGGATATGTCTGTTGTATACAGACAGTTTTTGTTATAGTTATTACAATTCCTGTAATAGTCTGTATTCATTCTATCGGCTAAAATTAATATCAGGTTTTTAACCTCAATACTATTGCGTTCTTGTCATAAAATTTGATCGAGAAAAAAATTGTATTGATAATAAGAAAGAAAGAAAGAAAGAAAGAAAAATAATTTATTCGCCACCGACATGGACCACCGAATAACACACAAAATAATAACAAAATAACATTGAAAAACAAAAAAAATAAAATAAAATAAAATAAAAAACAATAAGAACAAAACAATAATAACATAAAAAACAGCAGTAAAAAATAAAACAACAATGAAGGCAAAAACCATAAAAAAGTAAAATAAAAAAAAAACAGGGTGGCAGCATGTCCGCGACGAAAGGGCTCGCCAACTCAGTAACAGATTATTAGTACCCTTAACCGACGAGCATGCATGAAAACATTGATGACTGTTAATGAAGCGAAAGAGGTATGTAAGAATCGTAGTAATTGGCGTTCCTTAGTCTCTGCCTACCCCCATTGGAGACAGGCGTGAAGTTATGTATGTATGTAACAGATTATTTGATACCTAATTTTGGCCGTCAGTTCCACAGGTTAGTAATTTAGTAGTTTTCTATTATTATATTTCTTTTAACCAGACGGTTCCATCAGCGGAGACGTCTCAGACGTCAGTGAAGCGTCCGCACCGTCGCACCGCGGTGGCGTTCCGTGAGCCGCCGCGGCGACGTCGCGACACTGACAGAGATACAGGTGACCACGTCATATAAGTACGACTTGCTGCTTTATTTTTTATTTTAAATTTGAATTTTTTATCTCAGGGCCAAGCACGAATAACTATCGCATTCGTAACTTAATAGTATCGAGCGTTCGGCGCTCTGATTGGCCGGCTCAAGTGAACCAACCAATCAGAACGCTTAACTCTCTCGATACTGTTACGATACGAATGCGATAGTTATTTGTGCTTGGCCCTCTGTTCTTTACAAAAAACTAATAATAATAAGTTTGTATTTAAAATTGCCGATCATTTAAGGCAACTTTATGAAAAGAATGAAATGTTTCGTAGACAAATTATTAGTTATTTTTGAATGGTATTATTTGTTAAGTAAAGTCAATCTTATGAGTCTTGTGTTAAGCTATAGTTTTGTTCCTTATATTTCAATACTCAAAGCTTTAATTTTCGAGACTTTTCTTGGTTTGAAAACACATTATTGTATCGTTAATTTTTGGATTGTTTTCTATTACATTTCAAGTTATTAAAAGTTAACTGTAATTGACTTAAACAAATGTAATTATTGTTTCTAGGTGCTACAACTGACTGCCAAGATTCTTCAGATGCAACAACAGCCGATGAAAAACCAAAAGAAAATATCAATGGTAAATAAACACATGTCATAGTTATTATTTATTATGTGAGTTTTATATTGTCACTAGCTACTTCCGCGTGCCATTGTATGTGTATACAATGGCACGCTAGCTATAGCTAGCGCGCGTTATAGCTAGTGACAATACTAGTAATAACGCGCGTGTATTTTATAGCCCATAGCCATCCTAGATAAATGCGCTATCCAACACAAAATGAATTTTTAAATCAGACTTGTAGTTACGGAGATTAGCGCGTTCAAACAAAAAAACAAACTCTTCCGCTTGATATAATAGTATTGTGATGTTATTTTCCTGTTAAAGATAGCTCAGATTTAAGAATGTTTGCTTTTGATTGTTATCAATCTAAAAATATTATTTGTTGCAGGACACGGCCGACGCAGATGTTTCACAAGATTAAAATCTGCTTCAACGTCGCGACTCAACTATTCACCGAAGTAAGAACTTATAACATAACATTACGCTTTTTATCCCCGCAGGGGTGTGCAATGGTGCTCATTGCGGCACTTAATGCCACTGTACAATGTAACACCCACTTTTCACTATTTATGTTATGAGTCCCATTGTAATAGGGGGTGAGCCTATTGACATATACCGGGCACTATTCCAGACTCCGTGCTACTACTGAGAATTAAAAAAACCAGTAATACTTGGTCCGACCCGGGAATCGAACTCGAAACCGCTTGCCCAGCATTCGTACTTTCGACCAGTAAGAACTTATATTTGCACATTTTATCTTTCATCATGGCGCATATGCAATTTTCAATCTTAGAGTACTAATTTCAGAGTGTAATTTCTATTTTGAAATTACGTGTATATATGTCTAAACATCGCACTATTAATAACCAGTTTATCTTGATCCCGCTTTATATGATCTTACCGCATATTCGACAATCAGTTTATACTGGTTTTCCATAGCTTGATGTGTCTTTGTTATTCCAGACGCGGCGAAGGCTGGTCCAGTCCACTAGAATCTCTTCGGCAGCAGTTGAGAAAATTAGATGATTTAGAAGATCAGTTCCCAGACTTAGCTTGTCAACCGGCTTATAGTCTGCGGTACCCATTTGCTGAATTAGGTAAGATGATGAACCTACCTTATCCTATGAAATGTTTATCACGATAAGTTTTGCTAACTTTTCCCCACAAGTTCTGTCGCCCATGTTATTCAGTATCAAGCAGCTGTAGCCAAATGCCATTTAGCGCTTGTCTACATGTAGAATAGAAAACCAAATTATATGGAATTGACGTAAATTTAGACAATTGTCAGTACCATCCCTATACATTTAGTTTTCTACTCTCTCTGTAGACAAGCGCTAAAGTGGTGTTTGGGTAAAGGCACTGGTTAGATCATAAGGATTGATCCAATATACAGATAGTATCTTTTATTATACTAAATTGTATGTTTTTAAACAAAGCCATAAGCTCTGTAACCATAGATGGATTTTTGTATTTTCGATGCTGAATCTAACCAGTCTTTATTTTCTTACCTGTGTACCTTACCACGCCTGTCATTCCACTGCCATTACGCCTTTTATCCCCGAAGGGGTAATGTAACATTCACTTTACACTATTTATGTTATGAGTCCCATGTAATAGGAGGTGAGCCTATTGCCATATACTGGGCACAATTCCAGGTTCCGTGCTACTACTGAAATTAAAAAAACCTGTAATACTTTGCCCAACCCGGGATTCGAACCCGAGACCCCTTTCCCAGCACTCGCATTTGCGACCACTCGGCCAACCAGGCAACCTTACCTTATATATAAACAATAATAGTCATTTATTACTTGGTCGACTATTGTTGTCCTGCTATCGTCCAAAACAAGATTATTACAGTACACTCGTCCTAATGGATAGTGTAATACACTGCACTACTAATCATCACCACATTTCCCTCCCAGGTCCAGTAACTACAGCGGACACTCCGGAGCTAGAATTCGTCCGTCACCGTGCACTGGTGGAGCGGGAAGGAATGCGCCGCGCCCGCGCCGCGCTCAAACGTAGGAAGGCGGCGCTGAGGGAAACTAGGGCTTCACTCTCACCGCATAGGGCGCCTTCGGTAAGTTATGAATGTATAGGTAATACTTGTTTTGAAATGTATGATTTTATCGTGTTTTAGGCAAGAACTAGATTTTTGTAGAGACACCGTTATCTTCAGTTACTTTGTACATTAAATATGAACCGTTATTAGGCTACTCATACATTTAAATGTGAATTTAAACTTTATTGAAAATCTGCTGTAGAAATCGGAAAGTTTACTACTATAGTAGTAAGACTTATATCGGAAATAGCTTTACGTTTAGGTTAGTAACGTTTGTTAAAATCTTAACTATAATTCATAGATTTCGTACTTATATATTTATATAGGGTATATTCATTTACATAGGTAACTTAAATAGTAATAAACAGTTAGGAGACACCTTACAGTGCCCTTTTATAGAAGGCAAGTATCGAAAGGGTATCATGCGTACGCCTGTATGAAACAGGAAGAACGCGAGGTCACAGAGCTAGAAGTGGCATTACACCGCGCGCGCGCTCTGCTCGGGGAGAAAGAGATCAGGCTGCGACATATCGAGAGGGCTCTGCGCAGGCTGGCCGACACACACCCTCCACTCATACAGGTTCACGACGACATACACCTTATTGTCTACCGCATAACGTTCATTTCAATTCAACCTAGATGTTTCTTTAACCAATATAATTTGCTTCTTTAACTCGTGGCCAAATAATTTTCGTCTTTATTTCGTTTTGGGTAGACGTTACTTTTGGTTGTCGTGCTGTGTATATTATTTGCTCGATGTCTTTCGGTTGGTTTTTGTTTTCAGGGTTTTGTTTCAATGTTTTGATTTTGCTATCGATGTTCGTTTTTGTTCTGTGGTCTAGCTGAAATTCTGATTTTTGCCGTTTTTGAGTTTTTAGCTGATATTAGAAATTAGTTGTAGTATTCATTAAACATGTGTCTCAACATAAATGAAGGTGATATGTAGTATTTTATAAAAACATAAACGCTTAGTACAACAATTGTTTATCTATTGCATTAATTTATGTATTAAGAAGAACTGTTGGTATGAATTCAGACTGAAGACTAAGCACACTCGACTTCCATCAGAGGTAGTATGAGAACTACTTATGTGTATAAATGTTCTCTAGTATGTCCTATAATAATATCATCATTGGGATAAACATCTGCCAACAGCTGCAAACCAAACATACTATAATCATGACTACCGCCATCTAAACCTAACGCAAAAACAGTCTCATTCCACTTAAATTATACACACAAATCCTTCACGTCCGTGTAACATGTCTTTGGCGTGGTGCAGCAGGAAGGCACGGCGAGCTCGGCGTCGTCAGCGAGCTCAGCGTGCGGGGGCGGCGGGGGCGGTGTGGGCGGCGCGGGCGGTGCGGTCCCGGCGGGCCCGGCGGCGGGCGCCGTGCTGCGGTCACTGCGCGCGCTGCACGCAGACGTGCGCGACATATGGCGGGCACTCGACGCACGCCGGCCTCATACCGGTACGTTATCATTTTCATATTTTTTACAACAATAAGTGTGACAGAGCCATGCTTCGGCACGAATGCGCAGGCTCGACCGAAGTGATACCACGGCCTCACAGAAACTCGACTTGAAACAACACCTGTGCGTTGTGGTTTTTTTTTGATACTTTTATTTTGTAAAATATAGGTAACAATTACAAGTGACATAAAAATACAGGTTCAGCCATATTTTACCAATTTGATTCTGTGAGTGAGGTTACCGAAGACCCAACCCTTCTCAAACTCCCCAATGTCTTGATCCTCAACAATCCTCAAATTTCTAATCCCCAAAAGGCCGGTAACGCACTTATAACGCGTCTGGTGTTCCGGGTATCTAAGGGGAGCGCCGATTGCTTTCCATCAGGTGATCCGTATGCCCGTTTACCGGCTTATCCCATAAAAAATAAGAATATAATATTTCTGTTTGATATAAGTACCTAATTATGACTGCACTTTAATCTGGTTTTATATAATTTCACAGCTTCCCCAGAAACAAGTTCATGCAATGCAGCCACTACGTCGCAGACTCGCATGACGTTATCAGCTGTAAGTAGAACATTTGTTCAGCTACATTTTGTAAATTGTATCACCATTTAGGTACAATTCAAGACAGTTCAATGTTAGATTATGGGCGTCCTCTGCATAAGGGGGCTCCATAATCGAACATCGCAGTATAAAAGATTATATTTCACCAGAGAGTGTTGCTGCCTGTCCTCTGTTAAATGTGTAGTCCATTACGCTGAAATGCTCAGATATATTTCTGTCACTACAAATTCTTTGAAAAATGACAGAGATGGCACGATATTTTAGTACAAATGACAATTGAGTAGCCTTTCAATATTCGGGCGTTAGTAGCTCTTACGAAACCCACTGGAGAGAGTGTGATGAGAGTGTGATGACAACTATATAAGTGTATAGTTGTCATGGGGAAGAGTCCCTCTGTGACTCGAAACTAGTAGAGCTTTTCTCAGTATATTTACATGAGTTTGTCGTAATTTTTAGTTAATAGGGATGATGACAGGGTATGAAAATTAAAATCTAGTTCGTCAGTTAGCGCATTGTGCTGCCGTGTCGGACAATGTTGTCCGACGCTAGCGGAGGATTAGCCTTTAACAGTTTTTGTCGGCAGATAAAGGCTTAAGTAATGAAAAAATATTAGACACGTATTTTTTTATTTTGATGTATAATAAAATGAATTTCTAATAAAGTGTACATAGAAGTGACGTCACGCGACATTTCAAATCAATATGTCGTCGAAAGTATTTAATTCTGTAAGAAAATAAAAAATACGTATCTAATGTTTTAAAATAATCTACCAGACGGACATTAAATTAAAAATAAGTAAAAAAAGACATAAAATACCCTATTATATAAGTGTACGATGAATATGTCTTACAAATTCTTCTATTTTTTATTCTACAGCCAGAACCAGTGCTCCAAGATAATTCAGACGGCGGTGTCGCAGAACGGGCTCGTGGTCTCCGAGCTTGGTTACAAACTGCACCTTAGGTCCAGGCACACATATTGGAAAGAAACTACTAGTGACTTAGTACTGACATTATTCTAGGACATTCTTTATGTGTCTTGAAGTATTGTATGACGTGTATTAATCGTGTGGATGTCGGTATATTAAACACAATAGGAAACATATTATGTCTCGCGTACATCTGCGTTCCACGGCATACCACGGGTTAATCGGCCTTTTTTGGGAAAAAGCTAAGAACAAGAATTATTCTTGTTCATTTCTGAAGACTTCTCTATCTGCAGATTTTGCACCTCTAAAGGTAGAATTTTGAAATTAGCTCCATACAGAAGGTGTCAATATTAATTTTCTCCGTGACTCCGTGCTACTGAGATTTTTTATAAAACTCATTAATAAGTGAAACAAGTGAATTTATTTCTGCAAATAGGCTACAAGGCAGCACTTATACTCGTCAATTTTATCAAGCGAACGATGAAGTCGACATTTCCTAACTGACTACTCTGAGAAGAAATGCCGAAACAAACTCAGAGGTCTGTCTCTTTTAATACTTGCTCGACTCGGGAATCGAACCCAATGAGGCAGTCTTAATTTTCAAGTAGCTTTTTTATTTTAGATTTGGATCTTCCGTACGTAGCAAGAGAAAGGTATGTTTTAAAATATTGCCTTACCTTACTTACTTGCGGCAGTCAAAGACAAATATGTTTCTAGTCATTATGTATTTAAATCTACTCAATACATGTATATTGTATTAGATTTTTTAAATTGATAACTCATTACCCCTTTGAGTACAATCATTATAGACACAATTAAAGAACAATAGGTTACGGTCACCGGTGTCCTCGCGGTGTTTGACAGTTTAATATATTGGTTTAAAAATACTTTAAGACACATAAAACATGTTCAGATTTCAGGATACGTACCATTTAAAATACCCAGAGGTGTTCGCACAAAATTATGCATTTAAATATAAACATTTATGTTGTTCATTACTTTTCCATCCAGTATACGTAGATGTATAAAATATTTGACAATTTACTGTAGAACAATATTAAAATGTATTATCAGAATAACGTTTAAAATCAGTATATTTAGAATTTTTGCTATTATACCACAAAAGTCCTAAAGTTAGCTATACACAGTATTAATATGTTGTCACTATTCTCAATGACACCCTGTATATTATACGAATCATTCGCTTGTGAGTAGATACCCTAAGAACATAGGTCCAAGCTGTAACCAACCTTATAACGCAACAATAAGAAACATTTTTCTTTTATCCATTTTGAACAATTAAAAATTTAAAATAAAAGCTTTCTAGTATAATTGAATGTACATTACACATTCGGCCACGAAAAAGTATACAATAAATAAAATTAAGGACTTTTTCTCAAATAAAAGACGTTTGTTCAGATTGTACTTGTGGCATCTGAATAGTAGTGACTTGAATATAAATTGAATGAATCTTTATAATAATTAGCCAAATAATAAAATTTTTAGATATAAGTAGTTATTTCTAGTCAATATCACTCATAGATGTGTTGAAATGTGCTAGTTATGACTTTAAAGTATGTATTAATCGATAAAATAATAATTTACTGGCCAGGAAGTGTATGGTAGTCCTTTTTAAAGGACAGAAGATAGTCCTTTATAAAGGACACAAAATAGTCCTTTTTAAAGGACAGAAAATGTATTCGTAATAAATTGTAGGAAGGAATAGGTAAGTAAAGTGACGAGAACAGACTTTTTTGTGTTATTCTGATGTAGATGTAGATAAAATATCATTAAAATTGTCTGTAATAGGTTTGTATGTTGATATGTTGGTTGCAAACTTAGAATCATTCGAGAAAACCAACAGTGGTTGCATCATTGCGTAATATCATAACGATCGTGTTAATATAAAACATGTTTTCGAATTAGTGCTCGATTTCGGTTGCTAAATGATTCTTGACTATCCCAGGACTAATAGCAATTTTGTGGCGAATATATCAACATAACAAAATTAATAAAACCCATTACAAAAATGATAATATTTAAATGGTATAATAATATTAGTCAATACAGAGTGTTTTTGTGATCGCTAGTTGGTACTAGTGTGGTATAAGGTCCTAGCTAGAAGATCAAAAGAAAATAATTGTCAAAGTACTTCTTATTAACAAATTAGTCTATTGGTGAGACCTTAAACGACACTAGCGCCACGACGTCACAAAAATCCTTTAAAAATAATTGGTAATGATAAATATCGACTTCTTTCGCACAAAACATTCCAGGCCAAGTGAGAGTAGTTTAATTATATTTATTATAATAATGAAATAAAAATAAATAAATGTTAAGAATTTTAATGCATTTAATATAATTATTATAATTCTGTGCCAGATTTACACTGCATTTATTAGTGATTAATTTTGTTATTTTTTGTAAAAAAATGTGTCTATATTGTATGTATTTTTATTTCTAAGTTACTTTGATGGTATAATCTGTACATTTTCTTATGTAGTAGAACTGTTTATACATTTGTTAGTGCACAATGTTTTGAATTAATTTATGGTGAATATTAGGTCATCTCCTTGGAGGGCGTTTTAGACAATTTATGTAGTGTTCACGGTTTATTCAGTGTTGTATCCAAAGCAGAGTGCCAATCACGAATAACTATCGTATTCGTACCGTAATGGTATCGAGAGCGTTCGGCGCTCTGATCGATCGGCTTCAGTGAACCAACCAATCAGAGTGCTTGGCAATAAGTGTTGAATCAATTTAAAATTACGCAGTAATAATGGCAATGTTCATAATATATCATAACTTTCGTGAGACATACAAAATAATTATTATCTATTTGGTTTACTCACGTAACAGTTTGACGAGGAACTCGATTAGTTTCAAGCCATGCTAGAGGCTTAAATTCATGAGCAGCATTCCGCGACCCGCGTCGCGGCGACTGTCGCGCTGCTAGTGGCTGCTCGGCTCATGAATATGAGCCTCTGAGTGTAGTACTCTCATGAGTAAGCCGAATATATCATAATTAATAATGGCAATTATTTTCTGTAAAAGTTCGGGGCGTCTTGTACTATGACGGCCGCTTCAGCTAATAAAATCGTAGCTACTACAGACTTCAAAATAAACTTGTAGCTAACTCCTCTAGTGTTTCTTATGTCCATATGCGATTCTAATCAGATACTCCACCTCCTTTTGTTCGAATCCAATACAATGTGCACTAACAAAATAAACTCCAACGTATTTCTTCATATCATTTGATTACAGCAAGAAGTATTAATATAAAATTGTATGTAGTGTCTTATCTTGGCCTCCATTGTAACTTCGTGTAGTTAGGTACTATTGTATACCCTCGCTAGGCGGGGCGACTGAGAGATACCGACGTGTTTGTATGGCGTGGGGATATCACTATACTCGTATGTTCTAAAAAACTAAAAAGACACAGTTGGCAATAGCCATGAGAAAAATACTGAAAAAACATAAACTTCTTTTGGGAAGCCATGCAAAGGAGTTCAGTTAACTTATTTATACAATTATTTACGAATTAACTTTTTCTTATTATACCCTTAGGACCTTACCTTTTTTAGTTTCATCTGTGTCACGAACAAAACCTTTTTCTTTTGAATTCCTCTCCTTTATTTTCTAGCAGACAAAAACATAATAATCTTATTTATCAATCCAAAAATTTTTTAAACCATAATTCAAGTTGCCTCTACATAAAAAAATCTCTGATGGTTTAATAACCAAGATAATAATATATTACAACGTCAACAATAAATGTTAAACATATTCCTTTGAACTTTGAGTATAGTGAGATTTCTATGACAAAGAATGATGGCACTGTGATAATATTCATCGTTAGGAAATATGGTCGTGATTAATCAGTCATTCATTGTAACATGTTGTATTAATTCATATTAAAATCAAGAGCCTACATGTTAGTCGTAAACCTTTCACAATTTAAAATAATATTGTCCAGAAGGCCTTTTTTACTCAAATCGAAGCGTATATTATGTCAGTCAAATTAAGCGCTGAAATCAATAGAAAATAAATACACAGTATTTAAATATTTAGACAAACTACGCCTGTTTTGAAGTGGAGTAAAATACTAAAAAGGTTTCTTGTTGTTTATTGTCCAAAAATCTCAAATCCGTTCATTTAAAATTTGTTGTAATAAATAGGTACAGTTGTTATGAGAATTTGATGAATGTTTCATTTTACTTGCCTCTGTAAATACATTTATGTAAATTTGAAAATCTAAGAACTTAAAAACTAAAACATTACATTTATTGGTCCCTTAGAATAAACTGATAATCTCAAACAGGAATGTTTCTAAATTATAATAAAAATAGGTGGGCGGCTAACAACTGGCTTCGTCACATTATAATAAAACAAGTAATTATATAATAAAAACACTTATAAATCTGTACTATAATATATAAACTACACTGTCATTCAAAAATATCAACTACAAATTACGTTCCTACCTACAGATCTTTGCTTAAAAATATATTTTCTTTACGCAAACTTGCTTGCAAAATTTACACTGAATAAAGTCAAAGTCAAAGACAGAAAAAAGTCAGATAGAGAGTAATTTCATAAAGTATTGTATAAAATTAAAAAGGTGCTGTGTCTTTTGCAAGCAAGTAATTGTCTTTGACCTAGTCACAAATAATTTTTACGTATTTTTATTATACACCGTTAAATTTTAGTCGTTTTAATCCCATGGACCTGTAGTATAACTAACAGAATACTACTCATTACAAGCTTGTACTGCGGTGTAACATAAAAAATAAATAAATTAGCAAATGATAAGATTATACTCGCAAAATGTATGAAACCAAAAGTTGCGCTACGAGATAGTTACCTACGTCGTCATCGGTCGTTGCGTATCGGGCAGTGTAGGTACCTACACGGCCCGATCAAGCATAAGGTTATTGACTCGATCAACTGATGTTTGCGTAGGTAAACAAATAAATTGATTCCAAATTTTCCTTCATACTTTTACGGGCTTAGGACCGACATAACTGTACTAACGGTTCGCACTATTTATTCACTCATGCGAGAATTGATTCGAGTTATTAAAAAAAAGTACTTTATTTTTTAATTTTATCTTTACAAATCGATAGTGTTTCGTGGACCAGTTCGAACCTCCAAGGGATTAAAACGATTTAAATTTAACGGTGTATCTATCCTTCCAGTGCCTCTGAGGTGCTAAAATTATTATTTTCTTAAAAACTTTCCTTCTATTTGATGAAATATTACGTCCAAAATTTATTTACAATTGTATAGTCACGATTTTATTGATAAAAATATTGTGAAATGCACGTAAACATTCATTGTGGGGGACTTTTACCATTTCCATTACTTTGTCATGTTATAATAATAATAATTATATTACATTATATAAATGGCAAAGGTCTTCCTCTCATTTAATAAGTAGGTTTTTTAAGTGCATATTATAATATACTATGAATTTCAATTATTATCTGTAATAGAAAATTAATATAATGGTAACCTACATAATAAAATGTAAAACATGTAAGAATCTCTAAAAAGAGCCAAAATATGTATAAAATGTAGCTGAAGTTACAATAAGTAGGTATCTTACACGGGCTAAAAACTAAGATATTAGGACGTTGCTTTAGCTTATAAAATATGTATGAATTCCGTTATACGGAAACAAAACAATCATTTCGATAATATGGCATCTCAGTTATCTGTTTGAAAAACATTAGAAATCATATAACTCAGTCTTAATTTTCTGTCTCAAAAGATGGTTTTTTATCTGTGGTGTTTGCCGCTGTCAGTTTGACAAGCAGATATTACTGTCAATTGGTCAGCTGCGCTGCATACGTTTATCCGCCATTTTGTTTCATAAAATAAAAATGTTCATAGTTTCTTTCGATAGCTATACTTATCTTACTTATTGTAACTGCAGCATTGAAATTATAATAATCAATCGTTTACAACGATACTCAGCCGAAATAAAATTGAACAAATCAACGTTTTTGGTTTTATTAAGTATTCGCCGTTTACTCCTGTATTGGTCATCTTAGAAGCGCCAGGTATAGTGCTGCGCTCATGATTAGTTTTACTAGTCCTGAAAAGGAATAGAAAAAAATAATAACTTACAATTTATAAGCTGTTTTCTTGGGATAGCCAGAGGTAATTTTGTGGTAGACATATAATGGGATTGGTCGTAAAACATGTTACTATTGACAATTTCTAAATAGAAAAGTTTATTGAACCATATTTTACTCGACTTTAGAATTGAAGACACGATTTGCTCTGCAATCTCTCTTACAATCGAAAAACCAGACAAAACAGATACATCACATAACATCACGTCTTTTATCCCCGAAGGGGTAGGCAGAGGTGCACATTACGGCACTTAATGCCACTGTACAATGTAACACCCACTTTTCACTATTTATGTTATGAGTCCCATGTAATAGGTGGTGAGCCTATTGCCATATACCGGGCACATTTTCAGACTCTGTGCTATTACTGATTTACAAACCCAGTCATACTTTGCCCGACCCGGGAATCTAACCCGAGACTCCTTGCCCGGTAGTCGCATTTGCGACCACTCAACCAATGAGGCAGTCACAAAAAAGATAATTATAAGAAAGTCTTACCTCTAAAACTCCCTGCAGAACTATATTCAACAGATTGTCCCTTCACTAGCCTGCCTGCAGTGCTGACCTCTGGCGTGCAAACTGCAGTTGTTTCTGCATTTGACGTGTAAGAGAGTACGGACCATACATCCCATAGCTTAGATGTTGCGTTCCAAGCGACACCGGTGAAGTCATGAGGGATCTGAAAGAGTTATTTTCGCTGATTTATGGATTGTTTCGATAATGTCCATGTTTTGTGTAATGGGGTATACCGTATTTTTGCTCACTATAATTATGGCGTTAGTATGAGCCTCACCCAGGCGGGAGCAGCCATTCGATGATTTTCCCCCCTTAGTGTGAACCTCTCATTATTCGTCCAATAGGGAATTAGCTAGTCTCACACCATTGGACGTTCAATATTTAACAGCTGCTGTTATTGGACAAAAAAATCTACATTTGCGCCATCCGGTGCGCAAAAAACGTTAGCCCCCATTGGAAGAGGTGATTTAAGACTGCCTATATTTTTCATCAAACTGAAGGCACAAAAATACCTAAGTAGATAATTAAGAATTTAGCTTCATTACACCTAATGAACGGCTGTAATTTACTGGTAGAACTTGAGTCTAAACTTTTTGACAGCAGTTCATATGAATAAGCTGCAATTCTAATTCTACATCGTAACTAGTTCATACTACTAAGTAAATGATTAAACAAGTTTTGATGTAATTAATTTTGTATTTAGATACCCAATTATTAAGTCAGCTATTCAAAAATATCGTGGTTACCTGGATGTTTAAGCCGTTCGCTTCTCATGCAGAAGGGTGCGGGCTAGAAACCTACCCACAGCAAACACCAATGTGACAATTTCCGAGTAATATGTACATACCTACTTTTTTTTATGGCATAAGCCAAATGTAAACGAGCATAAGGTAAACGAGCATCCGGATCACCTGATGGTAAGCAATCGGCGACGCTCATGTACACATGGAACACCAAGTGCGTTACCGGGTTTTTGGGGATTAGGAGTTTGAGGATCGTTGGGGAGATTGGGGAAGGGGAGGGTAATTGGGCCTCCGGTAACACAACGCAAGCGTTGCTTCACGTCGGTTTTTTTCGAGCCGGCCCATTCGTGCCGAAGCATGGCTCTCCCGCACTTAAAACTTCCCAAGATTCAAAAGTCAAGACAAGATTTTGATCACTTTCGTTAATACAATTTGAAGAGTAGGTTCATACCTTTTGTTGACCAAGGATAGTCCACGTCAAATTAGGGCCCGGTACACCACTAGAGGTGCAGTTCAGGGTCACCCGACCCGTATCCTTATTCTCTGACACAACCCTTAGCGCGGTGTCTGTAGGTGGAACTGTGGAATAAAAACAATTATGATTGCTTTAGTATCGATATTCTTTTAGTTATATCTCATGTGTGGAGACTTGAAGTGGTCAGGGTGCGGGTTCGATAGAATGTAACACCCACTTTTCACTATTTATGTTATGAGTTCCATGAAATAATTAGGGGGTGAGCCTATTGTCATATAGTGGGGACAATTTCAGATTCCGTGCTACTAATGAGATGTATGTACTTTGCCCGACCCGGGGATCGGAATCGAGACCCGTTACCCGGGAGTCACACTTGCGACCATTCGACCAAATTGAGGTAGTCACTTACCATATTTATCAACGAAAATAGTTTTATTTTCCATCCTAAAGTAGGGCCTTTCTCCCGACACCTCACAGGTTATTGCGAAGCCATGTTTCTGAGGCTGGTACAGTTCAGAAGTCAATACACAAGTTCCCATCTGCCTTTCTTCTTTGGAAATTGCACAGTTTGTTGTTAAAACATCCTCAAGACGTCTGTATACTAAAACGCGGTTGTCTCCGTCCGTCTGTAAGTAAAGAAAATATTAGTTAGAATCTAGATACATTTCTGAAAAGTTACCACATCAACGAAGGTGATATCCTAAAAATAATAGATTCAAAAACTACGAATATTATGGGAGGGAAAAGTAGGGATAATGAGATGTACCTAAATATGTTCTACTCTGTCATCGTTGTGAGACACTCCTTCGTTTAAAGTCAAAGCATTTATTTCAATTAAACCATAATTTGGTAGGTGCCTACTTTTGAAATGACAACAAATATAAAATAAACAATAGCGTGCCAGTCTATCCGTCAGTGAAGTTAGGTGCTCGTACCAAAATATAGATTCGAATGGAGAAGAATGAGAAAGACCAACATCATACGTTACAATTTTTTTTAATTAATTTGACTGCACGGTTGGCGCGATGGTTGGGCTGACTGACTGACTGCCGCACAACGTGTCGCGGGTTCGATTCCCGCACGGAACGACTCTTGGTGTGTTCCACAGATCGTTGTTCCGGGTCTGGGTGTTATGTGCAAGTGATCTTGTTTATTTGTTAATGCACCCACGACACAAGAGAAAATCATTATGTAAGGCAAAATCTGTGTGATTCATTATCGTTAGTCACAAAGTATATGCGAATAGTTCCCCTTACTATATTCTTATATACTAAATTCTTAATATTATTCACGATACTCGCTATGTCTACCCAAATATTTAAGAAGATTACTACAAAACAGTTTTAATTCCCTGCAATTGTAAACCTCTAACAAAGAGGACTGCTACAGGATGTTTGGTGGTTGACCTTTTGCCTTTTATAAACAAAAATTTAATCATTTTGATCCGTTTAGGGCCGGAAGGATGAGATAATTCCCCTGTAATACGGTACCTGATGTATCTATACTGAAACGTTTTGTTAACCGCGTTTTTAAACGAATTTGGTTCCATTAATCCCTGAGGTATAAGTGTTGTTTGTTTTAATACTGGACTGCTTCGTTGGTCGAGTATTGGCAAGGGTGATTTCTGAGCAAAGGAACTCCTATTCCATTTCTGTTCGTTTCATTCAGTTCGTTCATTTTTTATTTTATTAAAAAATTCGGCTAGCGTGCATACTGATCACTCGATGGTAAGGATGGTAGGTTCATGTTGTATGACACATAGAATTTATAACATAACTAATAGAGAGTGGATACGTACGGATTGACTAGGCCCTTCGTCCAATAGCTTTATTGAACTTACCTCAGGTCTAAATATCAGGAACTGCTGGTTGTTCTGGTACAACCGGACTGACTGTAAGGAGTCGCCATTTGGAATCTTCCACGAGCAGTAGATCTCCCAGCCGATGTCCTGCTTCCACTCGTTCGTTAAGTTCATTTCTATGGCTCCAACGGCAACTGAAAAACCAAAAGGTTGAAAGTCAAATCCTTTATTTCAACTAGGTACACACACAATGACATATATTTAAGAAAACGCTCTTAAAAAGTTAATTAAAATAAAAAAAAAATCATCCATTAAGATCATCCCGGGAAAATCCCCTGCTGGACTTTGCGTATCCTTTACAAAGAGGGTATTTATGACCTCCACGCTTGTCTGACGGCTTGGGTTTGGGACATTAGTGAGGTACCACAACTACACTATCTGACAGTTAAAATAGAGAATTTATCTATTTAAAAGGTGCCCAACTCTAAAATGTGTTTTTCTTCTAAATAGAAACTTCTAACCCACATAGCATTATAGTTATGTTTATTATTTACCAACCCACGTCACAAGAATATCGAACGCTTACCTCTAAACGAAAAAGCAGCTACTTACGTGGAAAGCTTTACCTTCTCAGAAGTTTGGCAAAAAGTTAAATTGAAAATGAAACGGTATGAACGTAGGTAGCAACATTACATTTATTTTCTTACAAAAACGTCTCACCTTTTCCAACCTTTTCAGTGTAGTTGTGAACGAGAAAATTATTCCATATTCCGAAGTAAATTAAACAATTAATCAGCGTGAATGCATGGCCAGCAATTTTAAAGTTTAAAGTCACGCACGCCTCCATTTAAATGCGCGATTGAACACGTGATAATAACAGTCGCACTGTGACTAAAATTCAGTTTGCGAACCAAATAAATATGTTAGAAAATTACTTTGTTAACATTTCTACGAAACTTTAATTTTGCTAGAAATGTTAAGGGCGCATTTTTAATATTGCATGTTACTTTAAAATGCTTTTGTGATGTACCTACTTCAAAGGTAGGTATATAGGTACAACGTACGTTGTATGGCTCAAAACCCAGTGCATCTACGTTTGAATATGTATTTTAGCAATTTTGTTACTTTATATGTATCTAATATTTACTGAAGCTCTTGTAGCTTTGAAGGTTTTCAACGCTTACGAATTTTCTATTTCATTCTGTTAAAGTTTTGTTCAAATAAACAGGTCCAAAGGCGGTTTGGTAAAACAATGTTGTATTCAGTAAAACTTTTCGTTCCTACCTAATTTTGATAATGTATCTTGGTACCTTCTACTTCATTATTAATGTGTTTTAAAATTCAATCAGATTATTGGCTTTGTTAAGATACCTATTATATTTTTAATGGATGTTGTCAATGTGATTCAACATCAACAGCCCGTGACAAATATCATTGTTTGGCAATGGGCGCCCACTACATATTTATTTACTTACAGTTTTCCACGGGCCTCCCATTATATCTTCTTTTAGTAGACAAGTTGTACATTATATTTATATTTTATGGGCCGACGTTTGTCCTCTATCTTGCCTAGTGGTAAGCGACGATGCGGCCAACGATTGAGCACGTCTGCCCATAAGCATCCTATTCACTCAGGCCTTAAAGACACCATGTTTATACCTTTCAAGTAACACAGAATCTGACAAAGAGTTCCACTCTTTAGCAGTACGCACAAGGAAGCTCGCAGCGAAACGCTTCGTGCGAGTGGGGCATCCACCATGAAACGGTGGCGCTTTGCCGATTGTTTTCTGATATGATGGTGGAAAGGACTGGGAGGAATCAAGTTGTGCACTTTCTTCGCACACTCAACTATGTTCGAGGCTTTGAAGCCTCGAACTATGAAGATTTTGTTTTCTAGCGCATTCAACTGGTATTTAACCAAGCCGTCTCAAAGATGAGAACAGTACTCCATACGGGACCGAATCTGTGGTTGGGGTACAAGCTCAGCAATTGTAAATCGCAATTTAAAATGTTCAAAGATGAGAAGTGTGTCCTTGTGCTTATCTTGAGCTAATTTTGTTTATACACCAGCGTAATAATTATAATAAAAATTAAAAACAACTTATATGTAAAGACAGATAAGTAGATATATTGTTTTAAAATAATAATTTTTATCATTTGAGCATACAGTTAACAGTTAAAGAACATTGTGAGCAAGCGATACTAGTCTTTGTATTATATTGATTTAAGCTGTCAAATACAATAAAGATCATCGATCTAGCCCGTATAATGATAATTTTTCTTTTGTGCCGTCAAAAGGTACAATTTAACACCCTATTCAAAGGACTCCTTGTTATGTTTTCGTGTTTTTTAAATTAAACAAATTATTATAAGTCGAGGGGAGTGACTTTCTCATTAGTATCGTATGTTGGTTTATGTCAGTCATTTGTTTTTGAACACGTAAGCTGTCTGTATGTTGATAGCTATATGACTATGTATGACACAGATGATTTTGTATCTAAATGAATTTGTTCACATTTTTTAATTATTGTTCTGTGTTTTTATTTCATTTCTTACAACTAATGTTTGCATTTATTCCTTTTGTTTTATATCATGGACCAATAAAATAATTAATATACGGTAATAGACACTCCTATAACACATAGAGATAGGAGTAATATTCCTAAAATAGTTAAAATACAATAAGGTGGCAAACGAGCAGACGGATTACCTTATGGTAAGCAATCGGCGCTGTTGACACCAACGGAGTGACAAGTGCGTTGCCAGCCTTTTGTATTAAGTAATTGAAAAAGAAACGCTCAGTAAAATAATTTTAACAACCAAACAACATTGTTAACAACTTATTAAACGTCTCATAATCAGTAAGGGTGTAGCCGAATCATTTAAAAATACTTACTATCTAATTGAAGCAAGCGAGCGACGCAAACAAACGGGCACTATCTAACCGGTTGGTCTTCTTAATTCGCTCAATTGGACGGTCGTCTCTAATGCGTAATGTAGCATATTTGGAATAAGGAACATGATATGCGTGGAGAAGAAATATTTAGTTTCTAGTCTTTTAGGGGAACATTTTTATTAATAGATAATGCGGGTTTTGTGTTGTGGGTTCTTTTGTCAACACTATTTAACTTACACTACAGTCTGATCTGGAATTGAATGCTAATATTAAAGATATTTGAAATGGGGATCAAATTCGTCAGTCAGTTGCTCGCTTAGTCACTGCGGCAACTGACTAAATTTGACCTTCCCTAGGTACTTGCAAATATGAACACAGACACAAATCCTTACTAATATTATAAATTTGAAAGTGAGTTTGTTTGTTTGTTCCACCTACACGCCGTAACTACTCAACCGATTGCTTTGAATTTTTGCAGACGTAAAGTTAGAAGTCCGGATTAAATAATAGGGTACTTTTTAACCCGGAAAGATTTGATATTCTCGAAGGAAAAAAAAGTATTGGTATAGATGGCGCTGTGTGTATTGGTATATGTCACATAGGCTACTTTTTATCCATTTGTGACGCGAGCGAAGCCACGGGTAAAAACTAGTATATCATAAAGACGATATTTGTATTGTACAAAACCAGCCTAATTTGGTGTGATATAGTCCTTCCTAATGACATTGTTCAGATAGGAAGCTCCGTACGAGTAAATAGGTAGCTATCTATAGCAAAGATGTCACTAATTGCGACGGGAGTTAGACATCAAATTGTACTTTGCAGGGCCGAAATCTTGTCTCATTTTGGATAAAAGAACTAGTCACTTAGAAAAAGGAAGCTTCTAATGAGCGAAGGACTTTCTTCTTACAAAAAAGGCCTCGACATTTCGACTTAAAAAATACTTTGACGCGAAAAGAAATTTTATTCATCATTCTATTTTGGTTAAGTACTCGGTATTTATCCATCAGTATTTATTAAGGACGCCATAAAGCGGGCATTATGTCCTTTCATTGCCTCGTATGATATTAAATAATTGATTTTAATTGGCGTTTATTAAACATGTGCGGTGACGCCGAGCGATGCGATGGGAAAAAATATGCAACTGTTCATTAGTGATGCGGGATTTTATGCTATAATTTATTTATTTATTATACATAAGGATACAGACGTCAGATTAAAATCATACACAACAATCTTAAATATAAATAACCTGAGTGAACCTGAAGTCCAATTACACCTGTACATAACCTACTTATATTAAATTACACAAACAATTCCCAAATGTTAATTCGCTTTATCAATTTATCAAAGTTCAATTTATGAAAACTAGGAATTACTAAAAAGCGACCATACAATATTGTTCTGCTTTTAGCTTTTTACCTCTTCACACTGTTTTAACTGAAAATGAATATTAAAAACATGATCTAAGTCTTCTAAACAACTTTGCGAGTAGAAGTTTAAATCTGTCTCGTATTTTTTGTAATAGGGTAGATGACTAATTTTTATTTTAATGCCCGTCTGGTAGATTCTTTTAAAACATTACACACGTATTTTTTAGTTTTTTTACAGAAACGAATACTTTCGTTTTATCTAAGTATTGTTTTATTATTCGCCAAAATAAAAAAAAATGCTTTTCTAATATTTTTTCATTACCTAACTTACGGACTAATTAGATTTTTAATTTTCATACCCTGTCATCATCCCAATTGCAAATTATTGTCTACTACTTAATCCGAACAAGGGCCAAGACTTGGAACAGGTTACCTACGAGTAGATACATAACAATATAAGGTCGGAAAAGTTTGATCATGAAAACAATATTTGTTTGACCATTATCTTATGATGAAATAAAATTTTCCTTTTTTTTTTTTTTTTTTTTTATTTAAACAAAACATTGCCCCACACTAGGATTATCTCCTGTGTCGTGGGTGCATTTACAAACATACAAGTTCACAATACACATGACACCCAGACCCGAAACAACAATTTGTGGATCACACAAAGTGTTGTTCCGTGCGGGAATCGAACCCGCGACACGTTGCACGGCAGCCGGTTCCCCAGCCACCGCACCAACCGTGCAGTCAAATGCTTTAATGCTTTGTTACCTAGATAGCGATCATATCAAGACTAAATAAAACCAAAAATGGTTCACAAAAACCTCTTCGCCTTAGCCTAGATCAATAGCGTCCTAACTGGAACCATGTATTGAAGAGATTTATAGGAAAGCAGTGACAGTTTGTTTACTCGTTATTTATGAGAAGTGCTGAAGGTAACCCTTTTCGTTTTTACGGCGAATCGGACACGACACTTTATCTTTGCAAGTTTAAAACTGTAGACACGTGGTTGAGTGCTTTATGGGCATATTATATAGTATTTTGATGGACCATAACATACTTATATATGTCTTTATTCCAATGGGAAATAGAATATATCTATTCGCCAATTACTTGAAGAGTTCCATAATGACGGACGAACTGCCGGGGCATTTTTAAACTTCGAAGAGTAATCTCGGAAACTGAATGGGCCAATAATGCTCTCTTCGGCTACGGAATCAAGATCTGCGAGTATTTGGCCCCCTTTTAATGGAATAGTAGTCAAAGTAGTGATGGTAACTAAACAACTATCAATACTGTACAATGTAATACCCACTTTTCACTATTTATGTTATGAGTCCCATGTAATAGGGGGTGAGCCTATTGCCATATACCGGGCACATTTCCAGACCCCGCGCTACTACTGAGATTTTTTTTAAAACTTAGTAATTCCCCTATGCGCTGGATTGGAATCCCAGGGAAAAAGGAAGCGTGGCCGCCCTCGGCAAACCTGGCGTCGTTCTGTGATAGCAGAAGCGGCGAGCACCGGAATGACGTGGTGCGAGGTGAAGCGAGAAGCTCAAGATCGATCGAGATGGAGACCGTCTGTGGACGCCCTCTGCCCCATCTAGGGGACATAGGACTATAAGTCAAGTAAGTCAGTAATTCCCCGCCCGACCCGGGAATCGAACCCGAGACCCTTTGCCCGGCAGTCTCACTTGCGACATTTACATTGTACAGTGACATTAAGCGCCGTAATGTGATATTATGTTATGTTTACAATCATCACCAGTCATGAACACGTGCAAAAACAGAGGAGAAACGCAAGTGCATAGCATAGATACTTAAAATATAGAAGGGATTTCCCGGATTGCTCGTCATTCACTCTTGTAGACGCTGAACCCACGACACTCGCCCTGATTGACCATGATTGTTTTGTAATACTGTATAACTACTGTCTACTAGTGAATTGAAGTACTTGTGTTAGTTATCAGTGTCAATGTCCAATTATTTGATCAAGTTTGAAGGTTGCTCTAGAAGTCAAGACAGGGGAACAAGATGGTCACTAATTTTAGATATTTTCTGAATTACCTAGATGTTGAAAGTATTAGTTTTCATAGCTTTTCCTTTGCTTACTTAGATATATGGATCAAGTAAGGAATTAATCTGTTTTCAAAATTGAGAAAATGAACATAATTTCACGGCAATTTTTTTCATAATCTTTTCTTATTACACAACAGAAAGTGAAATGCAAAGATATTTTCGATAATTTAAAATGGTTTCTCAAAAAAAAAACGACGTGTCTTCATCATCTCAAAATTACAATCATAATCATCATCATAACATCACGCCTTTTTATCCCCGAAGGGGTAGCAGAGGTGCACATTTATGTTTTGAGTCACTAATTTGGCCAAAAGAAAACTGGATTTAGTTAAAAAAATTATATTACACTAAGCGTACAAACTATTAGAAAAACTTCCTTCTATTATTAACTACCCGAAAACATTACATTAGTTACAATATTCTTAAAAATAAATAAATGACTTGATGATAAGTGGATTGTAAAGATAAACGGGTAATTTCAAAAACATTATTTTCAAAATTTTGTTAGAAGTGACCTTCCCTATGATAAATACATGACCGCACACGCTTCTTTATCTCTGTGGCGGTGACACTTGAACTGAATAAGTGTGTTATTTGGCGGCTTCAATTATTTTTTCGCAAAGGATTTCGATTTTTTTTATGGCATAAGCCGGTAAACGACCCGACGGATCACCTGATGGTAAGCAATCGGCGTCGCCATGGACACCTGGAACACTAGAAGCGTTACAAGTGCGTTACCGGCCTTTTGGGGATTAGGAGTTTGAGGATCGTTGGGGATTCAGGGATTGGGGAGATTGGGGAAGGGGAGGGTAATTGGGCCTCCGGTAACCTCGCTCACACGAGGAAACACAACGCAAGCGTTGCTTCACGTCGGTTTTCTGTGAGGCCGTGGTATCACTCCGGTCGAGCCGGCCCAATCGTGCCGAAGCGTGGCTCTCCCACTCTTAAACGATAGAAGGAATTCACCAAAACCGAAAATGTTCAATATCTGAGAAACTTGTCACTTTCGGATTAGGGACCTCAGGGCTATTTTTGTAGGAAATTAGTTGCATTATCACCTCCCGAGTGAATATGTCGAGTTACAAGTGACCCTGTATACAGTCTGAACCCTTTAACAATTATTATTTCTATTGAATATACCAATATTAATAAATTTACAACAAAATAATAAATTATTACAAAAAATACTAAACAAGGAAAAAAAAAACAAAAATCTTACCGAACACCACAAAAAAATATAGAACAATCACTTTCGTATCCATTTTCCAGTTTACCACAGAACAAAAATCACTCAAACACAATAAAAAAAATAAATGAAAAGCTACTATTGTTATATAGCCACTAAAACGCATGAACAATGTAACGATGTGTGTGCGCATGACACGATCGTTTCGAGTGTACTGAGATGAGCAGTGCGTGCGCAAACTGTGACCGTATATTGTTCATTCGACGAATTAGGGAGCGGCCTTTGTGTACGTACACGAAATGTAAAATTCTGTGTAATATTTGTGAATATTGTTTGGTAAAATGGAAAGCTGAAGAAGTATGTAAGATTTGTCGGTGGTATGGTTCTTTAGTTTTGCGTAGGTACATGGGAAAATTGTGTGGTATTTTGTTTATGATAAGACATTACTTGGTTCATAATTGCAACCAATAAGACAACATAAATAGTTTATCAAAATGAGGGATTCGAATTTCATATACATATTTGTCTTAGAGTGACTTGATAGATGACGGTTACTAAAATAAAGCATTTATAACTTTTGGGATTCAGTAAGTGTAAACAATGCCTTAATACCTAGTCTAAAGATGTTTGTTGTTAAAAACCATATACACATTAATACTTTTTGTTAAAAACCTCAAACAGGGTGGCCGTTATTTTGTTTCGAGTAGTATATAAAACAGTACGTATTACCATTCACAAAAATATTATAAAAACTATGATTTTCAAAATAGAAACCTTCATAGATTTTGAAATAAAACAATTATCTTTCAGCTAATGTTCTTTGTAGGTATTTTACACAACAGTTCCAGATAGACTAATGTGTGGGTCAGCCATGCTTCGGCACGAATGGGCTGGCTCGACCGGAGTGATACCACGGCTTCACAGAAAACCGACGTGAAGCAACGCTTGCGTTGTGTTTTGTGAGTGAGGTTACCACCCTCCCCCTTCCCCAATCGCCCCAACCTCCTGAACTGAATCTCCAACAATCCTAAAATCCCTAGTCCCCAAAAGGCCGGTAATGCACTTGTAACGACTCTGATGTTCCGGGTGTATGGGGGACACCGATCGCTCACCATCATCGTCTGCTCGTTTACCGGCTTATGCCATAAAAAAGTAGACTTGCACCCCATCTGACAGATTTTTGTCTACAGGTCATAAAAATCTGCAACTAACTATCATACTGCTACGTAACTATGTCGTGATAATAGATATGTAAAACATTAAAAACCTCACGTGAATGACGTGTTCTGAAAGAAAGAAAAAATGGATTTAACCCCCGATTGTTTCTAACAGTAACAGGCGATGCTTTTAAAATAATAGCTCTAATAATGGACGCCCACTAATTGAATGAACGTGCTGTAATCAACCACCACTCGTACATGATTTTAGTTCTAATAGATGCCGTTCACGCCACTACAAAACGATTTCCAACTCATTGATTTTAATTTTATAAGTTCATGTTAATGTTTGGTCTTTTTGTATGCGAAAGGATCACGTTTCAATAGCTAGGGGACTAGAAAACACATGTAAGTACTTATATGAATTATTTTGTTATGCTTTTAGAACAAGAGTTCATATTTTACTATAAAATTGAGTATGATCAGTACAAACCTGTCGATAAATTTGGTTGCTAGAGATGGAATTTTGACACATTGTGTATGGAGTTTTATGTCAAATATTTCCATTAATTAAATACACATATACGTAGGTTATTGGTGCACGGGCCTGCGGACGGCGAGCATGGGTAGCTTGCCGCCCGCCCAGAACCAGACTCGACCGTACGGCGACTCGCGTTCCGTACGCGCCTCAAAGAGCCATCACACCACCACGGATGGGGCCCAATAGGGCTGATGTCGATACAGAGCCGCGGAGGACTTTACGGCTTGCCGGGGCTCCGGCTCGAAGGGCAGGAGAAGGAACAAGGTAGTTTTTAGGCAGTAGTAGTCTGATACTCCCTCCCTCCTCACCCTGGCGGGAGAAGTCATTCGATGATTTTCCCCCCTTGAAAAAAAGTTAGGGTATTGATACCACGGTTGTTAGTGATAATGATAATTGGTAGTCAGATATTTTCATTTTCACAGGCTTTGTATTACATTCATAAGAGAATAATAACTATCCTACTCTTTTATTTATTTATTTATTGAACATCAGTTTTGAACAACAATTCAGATTCACCGTGTCATCTTTAAAAGAAATTGACAGAATAAAATACTCCACTCATTAACTGTTCAACGGAAAATGTTAAAGGCAAATTCTGTGCAAGCATCGGTCGGCCGACGTCCACTACGACACAAAGAGTTAATTATGCAAAAAAGCATTTTCCTCTTCATTGTAGTACTTAACGTTTCCAGTCTTTTTACCTTTACTTTTATGAAAATAAATACCAAAAATCCACTTAGTTCAATTGGATTATGAGCTTACACACTGCATTCGGTCGTTACTATAAAATATTCAAATTGCAAACTCAGACGCATATTTCGGTTCGTACTCAATATTTCCGGACGGATTTTCGTTTGCTCCGTCCGGTATTAAAATTATGAAAAAATATTTTAAATTCTCCGTGTCTGCGGACGGCTGGTATTGCTGAACACGGATTTAAAGGATTAGTGTCTAAGGATTTACTGTACATAAATTAAAGTGAAATTGCGTAAAGTAAATTTAGATTTTTTTGTCTGATACTGAATTAGATTTGGTGTTAATCTTGTTTCATTTGGATTTAGAAGGCTTAAAGATATCGGTTCTATCTACAAGAGCTTCGACTTAGAAAGATGAACAACGTAAAATTGAGTTTAATGTTCGTAACTATATACTGGTGGGTATACAATTTACATAACAATGAGCTAGTCGGATGCATCATAACATTATTTACATATACAAATAGATTGAAACCACACTGACGGAATTGCTATTATAACCTACATCGCTAATCATGAGTTAAATCACAAAATTAACCGAATGAGTAAACCACTGTACAATTACAACGAAACAAGGTTTGTCGTTTTTAATACTTCTGTGGTTTCTCGTATGTTAGACTGATATAGAATATTGATAGACATAAATATATGAATAGAGACATGGATTTGAAAAAAAAGAACAAAATATTGTTATTCGACAATCAGAGTCATCATCATTGTCCTTTGAGTACCCATTGTTAACTTAGGCCTCTTTTGGCACGGAGAAGCTTCAAGCATTAATCACCACGCAGGATGAGAGTAAAATGTTTATCCATTCTATGCAAGATGGTCTACAATCGAACAAGCAAAAGCAAAGCAAGTATACTAAATTAATTATTATATTTTCGGCATACTCGTAACTGTTTGACGAGGAACTCGACTAGTTTCAAGCCATGCTAGAGGCTTGCATAGCAATGCGACATTTGCCGTGTCGCGAGTTCGCGACTCGCGACACGGCAAATGTCGTATTGCTACGTCATAATTATTATGATGACGATAGGTCGTGGTGGCCCGGAGAGGTCGTGGTGGCCCGGAGGTTTAAGACGCCCACTTCTCATGCATGAGGGTGCGGGTTCGAAACCTACCAACGGCAAGTACCAATGTGACTTTTTCCGAGTTATGTGTACTTTCTAAGATTATTTAGACACCACTGACAAACGGTGAAGGAAAAACATCGTGAGGAAACCTGGACTTATAATTTCTAATTATAAGTTTGAAATCGCCAACCCGCATTGAGCAAGCGTGGTGATTAATGCTCTAACCTTCTCCGTGTGAGAAGAGGCTTTGCTCAGCAGTGGGCATTTATAGGCTGTTGATGATGATGATGAGTAATGCGATTGTTTACTTTTCTATGGCATTTTTTAGATTCTGTTTCTGAATCAGGCGACGTATTTCAAAATTGAAATTAATTGAGTTATCAGTCAATGAAACTTTGAGACAAATAAATGCATTATAAGTAGGTACCTATGTACCTACAACCTACCTGTCAAGGGTAGGTAGAAGTATAGGCTTCTACCTACCCTTGACCGGCTTATTCGTCCTTCTTTAACAACGAGCAAAACTGGCTTAAATAAATATTGACTTAGCAACAACTCGACCAAGATTTTAATTAACAAAACTATACTTCAATACTTCGTTCAGGATTGAGACGCAACTCTTTGTAAATCAATAAGTAATAAAAACTTCTAAAGTGTCCCCATGGTGTTTGAACAACATCACAAAGTTTTAATCGACCTCGTGATTAAGTTCCGACATTCTTCGGGAATTTTCTTTTTTAAATAACTTGTAATTTGTCACTTTTTACGCTCAAAGTTTCAGGCCTTCGAAGCAGTTTGTTACAGAATTACCTTTATGTGTGTAGGTAGGTATTGTTTTTTTTTTTATGAAATGGGATATGTTTTGGTAGATGAGGTTTTTGAATTTATTGATTTATAGCTCCAGAAGACCTTATTTAATTGAAGGTTGGTTTTGTTATGTTTTATGAAATAGAAGGCAAATGAGCAGACGGATCACACCTGATGGCGATCAGCGCCGCCCATGGACACCCGCAACACCAGATGACAATATTTTTACTAATCACTGAGCAGATAGAAAAGAAAATTCTTGAGTAAGAGACACTAGTGAACTAAGGTTATTACGATTGAACAGATATGATTTAAAATAAAGTATGTCATTGTCCATCTTGTGGAACACAATTAGGTTAGATTGACGATTACATCGACAAAACTGATTAGATATCTTTGTTTTAAGGGGGAAAGATCATCGAATGACTGCTCCCGCCTGGGTGAGGCGGGAGGCCGCATCTGTCAGCATCTTACTGACTAAAAACCACCCCGTTCCTTCTCCTGCACGTCGAGCCGGAGCTCCGGTAACCCGTTAGGTTCTCCGCGACTAACTGTAGGTATATGAACTACTTGAACTACTACCACAGTATAAAGATCATGAATTTTAGACTGTGCTACTACTATGTTTTCTTTATTAACTTAAAAACCAATTCCTTCCTCTTAAATTAAAAACACGATATCTATTTTTAGAAGCCTTATCGCTGCTGAACCGAAAAATTCAAACGAGGACCTCAATGGTCGGATAGTTAATCCGAGCTTAAGAAAGGCGGGAAAGAATCGAGGAAGCTATTAGTGGGGACACTTAAATATGCAATTTATCCTCATTAAAATAATGTCGACAGTAACATTAATCACTG